AGTTCAGCACACTTGCAGATTTATAATTATGGTTCGTTTCGTGTGCCCATTAATCTGAATCACTTTGACTTCGCAGTGTAATAAGAAAAAGTTATAGGCTGAGATTACAAATTTCGTGCTTTTTAATTGTTATGTGCTCATTTGAGTTTCGAGTGCTTCAACGAAGTGCATTTTTCACGGGGAACACCATTTCGTTGATGGTGAAAGCTGACGAGCTGACAGTGAACACTATTTGGAAAATTGCAAGTAAAAATAAAATGTTATGTTGTAATATTTATTTCATTTTGGGGTAATATTGAGTTAAAAGGATTATTCGATTATCCAATTTTGCACCGAGTCAGGGCTTATGGAATCTGTGTGTCTGTCTGTCCGTCCGTCCGATTCATGATAAGCCCTTAAGCTTATCCGATCGACTTGAATTTTTTTGTATTTCCATTTTTCGCTACATACGTTACATTAAGAAAATATGAAACAATATTTTATATGTGTCGTCGTTTTCGTAGATTGCAATTGCAATATTTATGTGATATCCCGTAATCCATATTAGTAGAAAATATATATTTATAAGAGGTAATGCAATACATATCACTTCTAACCAGAACGATATTCTACGCCGTTTAGTCAACAAAAAAGGACACTTAAACTCCTTAAAATGGGATCTTTCTGCTGACCTGAATTTGATCCTCACCATCGGACTGACTCACAGAAGGGCAGATCTCATCTCATAGTCCCAGATGAATTTGTTTCTATTTTGGCGAGCTGTATATTTTATGAACCATTGTCTTTTGCTCGTTTCGTATTTCTCAAATTGAAATGGTTTTCAGCCTATGTTTTCGGCCTCGAAGTGGGATTACAAGCTGATGGTTTGGTTGGACACAATTCTTATCCAGTGTCCACTCAACCACCACTTTTAATATTAATGACTTCATTTAAGAGATATTAGAAAAACAACATTACCTGAAAAATATAGGATAAATTCCTTCCTTTACAGCTTCCACCCGTATTTATCGCACCTTAAATGACTGCAGGTCAAGTGATGATGATGTTGCAAGTCGCAACATCTTGTTTGTTGACCACTTTGCTTGCATTATTTGTCCCGATGGATTTTTCCAGCTAATATTAACTTGTATTTTTACATAACACTTGTCTCACCAGATTATCTTCCATCCTCCAAAAGAAGCAAAACATGGACCAACCTGTGCACGCTTAATCGCTTTCTTCTTCTACTCCTGCCACACCGGTGGGAAGAAAATTCGTTACACAAACAACAAATTATCTCGACTCGTAGTTAGCCATCCTTCCAAAATAAGGCTTGTTAGATAACAAAGAAAGTTGCAATTTGCCTCAAGTCAGCCTTGTAATTGGGAATTCTTCTCTCGCACATTTTTGTTCACACACTGTTGTAAACAACACCTCAAAATAGACATAACTTTGTACTAGAAGTCGTAAATTTTACGTGCATGCCTTATTCAAAACACATTATGTGTAATTTCTCTAAAATGAAAATCTCCTCAGTTTCTTTCACCCTGCAACAATCTGGATTATCCAAACTAAAATTTAAACCCTGAAATGAGACACGGGTTTTGAGATAAAGACCGCAATAATCGGGAGAAAAGGCAGCCAACCGGCCTGGGACAGGGTATGCAACAGACTAAAAAATATCCCCACCACTTTCACCCAGAAAGTAGGAAGTTCGCCTGAAAAGGGGAAGAGATCACAGGCAGAACGGGAAATGAAGTGTTTAAGCTCAGTCAACTCTACTCACTCCTCATCTCACTCACCATCGTCATCACCGTCGTCGCATCGCATCGCATCGCATCGTGGCCACTTTGGTGAAAGTGAGGACCAAGAACGCGAGGAAAAGTTATAAGTTGTTCTCCAACTATGTGTGTCCCACTTGTGCGTGGAATTGTGGACAACGAGGATGCTTAACACGACAAAATCAATCACTTTCCAGGCTGACATATGTTATTCATACAAGCAAAAAAACATAACCAGGTCAAAAAACCAGGTTAATTGGGACAGAACATCAAAGCGTCTCAAATTAAAAATTTATGTCGAATCCTATCGAATTTTTTCCACCGTGTGAAAAATGAGCCGGTCCATTAACTGGGCGAACTAATAAATGAGATTTTTTTTTCTCGCGACACATTTATGGTCAGAAATATTCTACAAAATACATAGTACTTTGTGCTGTGTACGTATATACATTCCTCTTTTTCTCAGCCTTACTCCCTCCTCCTTTGAACCCCACTACTTACTTTCCCTTTCACCAAGTGCTAGGAGAAACTGGAAGCTGTACGAAATGGCGTAATCCTCATTCACTCATTCCACCCATTCATACACAATAATCCAAGCCATGTATGGAGAGAGGAATGGAGAAAAAACATCTAAAGACAAGTCGAAAGAAAGTACACAGAAATGGAAGCTTTTTAAGCAATTCGTTCTCAAAACCAGCGTTTCGTTACATCCATCCATCCATCAGTAGCTTTTACTTTACGTTCGTTTTCTTTCTCCACACTCGGCAGCTTTCTCTCTCTTTCTCTTAGATATTTGTACTTTTGGAATTGCTCCCACTACACAAATTCATTTTAATAAAGTTTCACCTGTTCAAAGAGAGATTTCTTGCGAGAGTTTATCAATTTTTACTGCTTTTTCCGGAAAGCTGTTCCATCTCAGGTTGAGATTCTCATATGAAACGACATGATATCCGCATTCTCTTTACATCCTAAGTACTCAGAAAGATGAATCCTTATTCTCATCTATATCTCGGTGGATGGATGTAAGTGTAACGGTCTATAAAACGAAATCACGTCACATTTCCACCCAAATGACATCCCACACCCTACCAACATCTTACTTGATCTCGCCTTGTCACCCGTCACCCCAACTTACGTGCTTAACTTTTATTCGGTATGAATCCAGAAAATAAAGAAAGTACAGTGAGTGATTGGATTGCTTTTATCCTGGTGACTGTACTGCTCGTCATCCTCATCCGCGCCGACATTTATTTTCGCCACTCATGACGTGATAAGATAATTCCCTTCTTTTTTCCTCCCCTCCTAACTTTCTACATTCTTCGCCTTATGCAATTATAAAAGTTGGTGGGAGAAGAGATGTGTCAAAAGGAGTTAAAAAAGCTGTAATACTAATAACGTTGTAAGGAGAAGGTGTTCTTCTTCTTGTGTTATGGGACTCTTGCTTTCTTCTTTTTTTTTTACTTTCGTGGACAAGTAGTTTTGTTGTGTTGTGTAGGCTGGTTTTGGTGTCAGATCAATATTTGTATACTTTTTTTGAAAGATAAAAAAGTTGAGTTTGGAGACTCACTTAAACTTTCCTTGCTTTCATTTTGGCTCAGGATTGTACATAAGTGGGTTGGGTAGCCGGCCAACAAATGACGCGTGTGGATTGGAATTTGGAGGAGGCAACACATTCTTCTTGGGTAATTTACTGTTTTAGAAAGGAGACTAAATGTTTGAGAAGTCGCATTTTATTTATTATTAGAAGGAGGTAAAAATATAAATAAATCCGACTCTGCATTCAAAATCTAAAATTGTGGAGTCTGCATTTAGATATTTACTTTTGAAACAGTTATTTATGAAACGAATTCTGTTTGTCCTTGGTTCTTTGACAGAGTAGCTTTGATCATAGTTTGATCTTTCTGCTTGATCAAAATCTAAATTTTGTTACTTAAGGAAAATGTTATCTATCTAATTGAAAGAAAGCAGAGATTCAAAGGAACGGTTTGTGGTATTTGTTGACTTGGAAGAAAAATCAAATAGTTACTTAAGCTTATAAATATACGCACATATATAGCTTAGAAAACCTTTAGAGTATGTATAAGGCGACGAAATAAGATAAGCCATGCCTTCAAAATCATAGGCTAAACCTTAAATTAGGTGATTTTCCATGCTGGAGTTTGAACTTGTTCGAAATGAGAAACCATTCATTCAGGTTGCGCTGCATATCAATAAGCTTATCAGCAAACTTGGAACATGTGAAGGGCCGTGGTTGTAGTAAAGCAGCAGCGTGTGTGAAAACCAACATAATAAGTCCGTCATCGTATTTCATAATGGTGCCGAACGCACTTTATGAATAAATGGATAGATTTTCAGGGAATTTTTCTCCTTATATCGTCGTCCTTTTAGTTTTGATTCTCTTACTTTCACTGCTTTCTCCTCGTGCATTGCAGATAAGATTACGCTCTTTCCTCCTGTTACTGCGGTCCCCGTTGGAATGTTGAGCTTGCTCTAAAACACCGTTTTATTATATATTTACTACAGATAAATTGTGACGGGAATGAAAAAATTTTACGTTTTTTTTCTTGCTCGGCATCTTGGCGCATTTCTTTTTTCATCTTTTTTGCCCATAGTTCGCCTATGTAGCTGCTTGGTGGGTGCCCTAATTTAAAATATAAAAAAGTGTTTATGACGACTTGGAGGCTTTAAGGATGCGGAAGCAGTTATGGATGTCGTTGTGAAATGGTGGACACTATATTTTTTTGGAGAAGCTAAAGATTTTATGAGAGTATTTTTATGTGCATATATATATTTAGTAAGGAAAGGATGGTCAGAATTTTGTGATAGGGTTTTATAACGGTTATAGTGAGGAGATTGTAAAATTTTTTCATGTTGTAAATGACATCGGCGTGATATATGTAGCACATGATTTGTACTGTGTTTTATGCATGTTCAATATTTTTGGTAAGTTTGCAGTTTACAAACTAGCGCAAGAGGTAATACATATAAATAAATGTTCAAAAATAGCGTGACAATTATCTTATAAACTTCATTAGGCCATAATTCACGGAATTGTCAAGATAATAATTTATGAATTTATTAACGTTCAACGTTAGCATTTATCATGAAATATCATATCTTGCCTGTCAGTTTGATAATTGACAAACAAATCATAGGGCAGGATATGATGAAATATTAGTGATATCACATAAATATAGCGTTTATGGCAGTATAATAAGCAAGTTGAGATTCCATTACATACTTCTGCATATTCTCGCCAGATCCATTGACTTCACTTCATCTAGCGATAGGGTTGATAAACGCATTTGGAACGTGTATAAACGAAGGCAGACTGCAGTAAAATCATTAGTTTATCAGTATACATATTTTGTCTAAGACGCTTTTGAAAATGAAGTTACCAGAAAATTTAAGTGGGATTAAAGAAGCCTTAAAGCTTAATGGAACTTCACTAAAGTCGCTTCTCATTTCAAGAAACATCGACTCCATATCTCACCCAGAATCAAAACATATTATGCAATATTCTACCCCTGGATTGTTCTCCGGTCGTCCTTTGAACCAAACAATGATCGTTCTTTATGGAAAAACTGGATCAGGAAAGTCCACCACAATCAATCGGCTTTTCGACGATGAAGCACTCTGTCGTGTCTCAGATTCTACATCTGAAACATCAAAAGTAACTGAATGCATCAAGGATTTGACCGTGATGTGGCCAAGCATTGATCCCCCAATTTCAGGAAAGTTGTCGATCGTCGATGTGCCTGGTGCGTTAGACACCGATACCCGAAAGGAACTTGAAAACTCTCAAAAAATTTCAAGTTTTCGAAAATTTCATAAAGCCTTACAAGAAAGAAACATCCCATCGAAATTGGCACCGTTTCAACTGTCGTCCAAGGTAATGCACTCAAATCCCATGTATTCAGTGACGTAATAATTTAATCACTTATAATAACAATAGGTATACCCAAACTCGGTTTTATTCGCATTCAATGCCAATGATAACAGAACAGTGGGTCCTGACTCGGATTTGGCAAAATCATTGAAGCTGTTGAAAGCATATAACTTTGTAGATTGCAAAAATCCGAATCTTATCATGGTTGGAACATTTGCATGCAGCCTTGGAATCAACAAGTCGAAATATGAAACGCACATTTCAACTGTTACACAACGCATACAAAAAATTGTACACGGACTATTTGGCATCCAAAATGTTCCCGTCGTATTTGTAGAAAACGAGCCAGGTGACTACAATTTGCGGAAAGATGGGGATTTTTACTTCTTACCTGATGGGTCACAGTCGCATGCGAATTTGATTAAAGCTATGCAATCACAATATGAGAAATCCGTTGATAAGTTAAGTCTTCTCCTTACGTCATGGTACTTCCGGACTGGCTGCCCCGATAAGAAAACTCCTCCGAGGACTGAGACTGTAAATATAATTGAGGAGCAAAAAAATTTGGAAATGGAAACAACAAACATTATTGGACTGTTCAAAGATTTAAACATTGGTGGAGATTTTGACGAGGTACTATTATTGCTCATCAGAAAACAATATAATCTTAATTATCATAATAAACATAATAAAAATACTTAGATCAGAAACTAACTTTTTAGATTACTCCTGACTTGAATTTTCATGCCCTGGGAACTGCTTATTGCCCTGTGACAGAGTGCTTAAAGAGTCACTACCTTTTTAGCTCCACAAATGACAAAAATAAACTTCAAGTTGAAAAATCAAAATTCCTTATTCCAAAATACGTACAACCCTACGTACAAAACAAGGCAATTTTCAAGAGTATCAGTTGCTATTCAAAACATGATTATGAACGGAGTAAGGCTGAACAGTACAGCTTCGATGCTGGGCTCAATCTTGTCGTTAGCGTGAGTTCGACTGGACGTTGGACGTCAGAAACAACCACCACGAATCAAGACATAATAATCTCGATTCTTTTTGAGCAACAAGTTTGTTCACTTCACATCGATAACCCAGAGCAGTACGTGAGTCAAGACTTTCTAAAGGTGCTCAATGGCCTACCTGCCACCTACACTGCTGACACTGCCGACGAATTCAGACAATTTTTCGCCAAATATGGAACACATGTAGTGTCCAAACAGAGTCTCGGGGGTTGGATCAAGTTTGATTGTCACATCGGACAAACCTCATTCACTAACCAAACCAAAGAACAGATTGAAGCAAAAGCGCAAGGAGTTTTTAAAAAGATTATTTCGGGGGGAGGGGGATACAGCACTCAAACTGCATTCAACGAACTTCAGCAAGTAGGCATGACGGATGAGCAGGTAACATCATTTAATCACTCCACGGGGTTCAAGGTTACCTTTAGAATGTGATCAACGCGTGGCAAATTGGTAAAAGGGTGAGTGGTAGAGTTCCAGGTCAAAACTTTAGCTTGGTCAGGGGACAAATAACATACAATGATAATAACGATTATTAAGTGGGAAGGTGTTTCACTCGGAAAGGCGAAAAAATGAAACACTACTTGTTATCTTGTTTTAATTTATTGATTTCATACAAATTTCACTATGATCGTCAATTTTTGTGATGTGAATCTACTCTTTCCAATTATTGTCTTGTCCAACTCTTGGAATCACTCTCTTCTTAATGCAAGCCTGATCGACTGTGAAAGGAATTTGGCACAATTCAGCAAACTTGCCGAGAGGAGGAGGGTTGGGTAGAGAGTCGATCTTTAATTCTGTAAAAATCCAGACTCCTTCTTTTGCCAGTTGACGAGCTTGTTTTCGAAGGGTCCCATTTTCGTCCAAATTTTTGATCTCTGGCTTCGTAATTATAAATCTCGCCCCGTCAGGATGTTGCTCATTCCATTCCTCCGCGTATTCCTAAAAAATAATGATTAATAATTAGTTCATTTTATATTTAAAATTTATACAAAAGTTGGAAACAAAAAATGAAACATTAAATTACCATCAAGAAGGCCTCGGCGTTATGAGCAGAAAATTGGTTGTAGCACTGGACTGCTACAACCTGGTTGCACTCGTTGCTGGGGTCAGATGTCATTATATACACAGGAAGGTTTGGTTTCTCAAAATGGTAGTGAGCACATGTTATAAAGCCGCCCCTATGTCCTGCATCCCATTGCCCGATATAAATGTTCATTTTGAAGTTGGGGTCAGTCAACTTATCTACTGATAATTGTCCAATTTTTGGAGAGACAACCAATATATATAATACGTATATTGGGGGAATCTTGTTAGATCTCGCGGGGTTGAAAACATTATCGGGCAATTGATTGTTTGATGCAATAGGCTCTTGAGATGTATTCCAACTGGTCAATAGGTCTTGATTCAAGAAACAAATTTGCCCATCTTTCCAATTATTGACTTGTCCAACTCTTGGAATCACTCTCTTCTTGATGGAAGAATGGTTGACTGTGAAAGGAATTCTGCAAAGATCAGCAAACTTTCCGAGTGGGGGAGGGTTGGGTAGAGAGTCGTTCTTTAATTCTGTAAAAATCCAGACTCCTTCTTTTGCCAGTTGACGAGCTTGTTTTCGAAGGGTCCCATTTTCGTCCAAATGGTTGATCTCTGGCTTCGTAATTATGAACCTGGCCCCGTCAGGGTGTTGCTCATTCCATTCCTCCGCGTATTCCTAAAAAATAATGACTTAATTAATGCAACTTTTTGTTTAACATAAATCCAACACTTGGAAAGGGAAACAAAATTACCATCAAATAACCCTCGACGTTGTGAGCAGAAAATTGGTTGTAGCACTGGACTGCTAAAACCTGGTTGCACTCGTTGCTGGGGTCAGGTGTTAGGATATACACAGGAAGGTTTGGGCACACAAAATGGTGGTGAGCACATGTTATGAAGCCATCGTGACTCCCTGCGTCCCACTGCCCGATATAAATGTGCATTTTGAAGTTGGGGTCAGTCAAGTTATCTACTGATAATTGTCCAACTTTTGGAGAGACAACCAATATGTACAGGACATATGTTGGGGGAAGCTCACTTAAACGCTTGCGGTTGGCTTGGGCGTGTTTTCTTTTTATTTCGGGAATTTGAATATAATTCTTAATAGGCTGAGCAATATTCTTCCTCCAGATTGTTGGTAGCTCGGATTTCAGGTAGGAATTGCGCCCGTTACTCTGCTCTACTGCAAATCCTTCATTTTTTATCCAATAGACGTCCTTTTGCACATGGTAATCAACCAGATCACTGAATTGTTGGAACGTGGGGTAGTGTTGGGCGTAGCTTCCTTTTCCTATTACCATCAACCAGTCCCGGAACATAACACGGTTAATGTGTTGAAGAGGGTTGTACGAGAACTATATAGATAAATAAACGGAAATTAATTAATTTCAATAATTCCAATAATTGGACCTAGTAAATGCAACGATAGAAAACTTACCAGTTCAGGCAAAACTAGACGCCGCGTGGTTGTGATTTTGACCAAACCGGGATACATTTTAGGGATACGTTTTTTGTCTATACTCTCATAATCGAAGAAAACGATATTTGGACCAGGGTTAAATAATGCTGTCTTAATAATATTCATGGGCTCTTCGTCCTCTGTGTAGTAGCTGTCCAATCGTTGGAATACGTCGTAGTCAATAATTCCGACGCCACCATATCTTGCCCACGTTTTTAGAGAATCGACGTGCTGGTTAATGTCCTCTCCTTCCCAGAGGTCGTGAACAAGTTGACGTTGTTCCGAGTCGACGTACCGAAATTCTTGTCGTATTCCATCTGACCAGATTTCTGTTTTTATGGGGGGGCAGAGGATGAGAATGTGGCGAATCCCCGTTATTGTGTGATTTTCCAACACGACCTGCGCGAATGCTGCTAACTGGAGTTCTCGACCAGGGCCCTGCAAAGCATCAAATTCATTTCAACGACATTAGTTATCGCATCCAAATTTTGGAATATGTATTTATAATTAATTATCTCTTCATCTAAAAATTATTGTGCATGTTGACCACTAAAATAGGAAACTTGGAGATTGTTGAGTACTTATTAGAAACTTGTGGAGCAGATAACCATCGGAGGGGGTGACCCTCCTCTCGTTTCGTCTCTGAAGGCAATCACTCCGCAAGTTTTGACCACGTGGTTGGCTTCAGTGAAGGAAAAACCGTCCGAGCTGGAACATACTCGTGTCCTGTATCCGTACTATAATTTAAACCTGGGAAAAAATAGGGAAGCCCTGTGGGGCGCTACGTTTGAATATTTGAAGAACGAATTGAAACAAAAAATTGCTGAAACAAGGGAGAACTTGAGTAAAAAAGGTGAGACAGCTGCGACCAGTAAGGCGTCATCATCCTGTGTCCCTGCATGGGCCACTGTCATCACGAAACATGGACCCGAGAGGGTGGATAGGCTGAAAAAATTTGAGAAAATTCTCACAATTGGAAAGTCTGGTGAAAAGAAATGGACCCCATTTTACGGTTATGCTCATCGCGAAGTGGATACTGTGACGGAGTTCCTGGTACTTGAGCTTGACAATGGAAAAACGTTGACCATTACTCGTGATCATTTGATGTTCACAATCAGCAAATGTGGAGAAAGGGTGGATAAAATGGCTCAAAATGTAATTCAAGGTTTGTGTGAAATACTTTAGCGAATCCTTTCGTAGAATTACAATTTGTAACCGAATTGTATGTAATTTGTTCATTAGGCGACTTCGTCTTCAGCATGGATTCCGATACCGAGGGGATGAAGAAAGCCCAAGTTATTGCAAAAACGGTGACTACATCCACCGGAATCTATAGCCCTTTAACTATGGAGGGAACACTGCTTGTGGAAAATGTGCTAATTTCGTCATACGCTGACATTGAAAACTTTGCCCTGGCACATAACGCATTTCTTCCGTTACGATTGTGGGCAAAGGCTGGGAAAAGGTTTAACAAGCAGGAGAATGTGATTGAGGAGGGGATCCATCCTTATGCAAAAGTTTTGATGAAAGTGCGTAACATGGCTCCTGGATTGGTTTGATTATGTGGCATTTAATGGTTTTAAAAAGTTATTAGATACTTATTGTGAGGTGACACAATTCCATTCTTCTTGAATTTTATTTACCAGGGATTTACACACAGTTAGCATATATGAACATAATTTATACTCCGAGATTTTGATTTGGTTTGTAATTATGTAAAATTTGTTAAACTAAGTCATTAATAGTGTCATAAAAAGTATTTGTAAGAAAACAGTATCGCTAAACAGTATCATTATTCTGTTAAGCCTAATTTAAATATGGTCTACAAATTTTACGTCTTATATACTTCAAATTATGTAAATGTATGTTATGTATTATGCATGTATGTATGTATGTATGTATGCATCCATGTATTTCCGCTACATTGTTCCCTTATTAGTTAGTAGACTTAATAGAATGACACTAAATTAACCAACTTGGATTATCATCATTTTACTTTTACTTAATTTGTATTCATCCTTTAATCCTTCCGAATGACAAAAGAAAAATTGCCTCGAGTAGTGCCAAACTAATTATTAGGCATTTTTGGTGTTAGGGTGCGACGAACATGCCACGTAATTAGCTACCTTGTTACGTTACACGGCATCTTCAAATGAATATTATACCAGCCCAAATTTATAAGACCTGTCTACACATAATTTGAACCTATGCTGATGATGTTATTGTACTTATCACGTCGCGATGCCGATGTTTGTAAGAAATAAGACAACAATGTAATAAATGTAACAGCAGAATAACACTGTTACTGCACGTACTTAATAAAATAATGAAACTGACTTGGTTTGTTTGGCGTCTCATAATATGGCTTTGGCTGGTTGCTGATGACTGGGGCTTACGGTAGGCAGTTGAAGGATGAGAATTACGATAAGTGAGGGAAGCGAGAGAGAGTGAGATTTGGTAGAAATTGAAATAAAATTGACCCAACGCATGAAATATTTTGCAGTTTTAGATCAGTTTTTGCTCACAGAGGTTGTCGAGGTCGTGCTGCGTCTGTGTGTTTACGTTTTTGATTTTGCTACATGTTAGAATTTGTGTGGTTTTGGTTTTGATAAAAAGTTAGCCAAAATACGGGAAACTTTTCTGGCACGAATTATACGGTTGGACTCGAGAAGTAAGGATAATTAGTGAATTTTGAAGACTTTAACTTAAGAATTTTTATCTTTTATTTTTTTCTCAAAATTTTATTATAAAATTTTGCTGGAAAACTACCTAAATTAATTTATGTCATAAATATTCTTCGACGTATAAGGTACCAAGAATTTCTAATTTTTTTACAATAATAGTTTGATTTGATAACAATCAACCTGACGAAAGTAAGAGTGATACGAATTTTATGGCACTTGTGTCATTCGTCTAACACATGTAACGTGTTTTGACTTTTTTTAATTATTGCCGTCTAAAAAAACGGACCTGTTATTCAAACTATGCAGCGTATAAGTTGCTTGATTAAACGAGTTATTCGTTAACAAGTTACATTACCGTAGTTTGAGACAATTTACCGGCAGGTTTCTAACAATTATTGATGAACGACCTTCATTTTTGTGTCTTACTTTATTTTATTGCATGATTGCTTGCTATGTTGCCTTTCTACAAGTAACATTTTAGCATAATTTGCGTTATTTTGTGGTAGTATGGACATAGAAAATCTTTCAATTTCCACATTTCATTCAAGTACAAGTTCAAGTACCTCATATTTACCAGCTAATAATTGGTTGCAGCAGTGCATTGTCTGCATGCATAATTTAATCATAATAGAAAACGCAGCAACAGCGTTAAAACATCAATAAGTTGAAACGAAACCACTAATTACAGTGAGCACTTCTCCATTTCATCCACTTTTTTCTAGTATAATAACCTAACCTACGTCCTCCTAGGAGAACGAGATGAAAGATGTTATGACAGACAAAGGCAGACCAAGTTTCATGAAAAACATAATAGAAATTTTATAATGATTCTACTACCTACAAGAAAACTAACTTCTTGTGTAAAGTTGCATTAAATGAAATCGAACTGAGGAGTAGAAGGTCACTACTTGTCGGGCCCCGATTTCGATCTCCTTTGGATATGTTGTAGTACTGCATGAGTGTAGAAAAAGTGAAGGAGGGTTAGACTCCATGAGCCCATTTACGCCCGCCACGCCCCCTTAAAGGCGCCCAAACCCCCAGAGTTGGCGCACTAAATTCATCGTCAAAAATCGAGTTTTGGTCAGATTTTCAAGAAATTTACATTTTTGTGATCCCAGATAGTTGCTCTATCATATCCAATAGCAAACTCAACTTTTTTGAAATTTTCAATATTTTCGAAGATTTTCTGACCAAGGGTATGTATTGAAAAATTTCGAAATTTCAAAAAAGTTGAGTTTGCTATTGGATATGATAGAGCAACTATCTGGGATAACAAAAATGTAAATTTTTTGAAAATCTGACCAAAACTCGATTTTTGGCGATGATTTTAGTGCGGCAACTCTGGGGGTTTAGGCGCCTTCGAGGGGGTGTGGCGGGCGTAAATGGGCTCATGGAGTCTAACCCTCCTTCACTTTTTCTACACTCATGTAGTACTACAACATATCCAAAGGAGATCGAAATCGGGGCCCGACAAGTAGTGACCTTCTACTCCTGAGAAATTTACCCAACTTTGTTTTGTTGATTTTATGAAGTAGCGTCAGTCAGGTCAGTTTGTCTCAAATTTTATTTAATGAGAGGAATATTCAGCTTATTTAGTCTTAAATTTTATGTATGAGGGGAAATGTTCAACTTATTTTTTCTCAAATTTTATGTTTAACGAGAGGAAATATTCAGCTTATTTTTTCTCAAATTTTATGTTTAACGAGAGGAAATATTTAGTTTGTTTTGTCTCAAATTTTATTTAACGTGAGGAAATATTAAGCTCATTTTGTCTGAAATTTTACTTCACGATGGGAAATATTCAGCTTATTTCCTTCCTGTACATACATACATAACTAGAACTTTGTTTATTTAGGTCCGATTGAGAGTTTAAAATTAAAAAAGAAATTAAATATGGTCAAGATTTGAGTAAATTATTATTTTTCATTATTTATTCAAAGCTGTCACAAATAGGGCAACTTAATATGTACAAGATAAGTCCGTATCAGATGTAATACTTTTTCAAGATGGTTAATTTGATATTAAATTCATCTCTTGAAGACTCGGCTTCCGTAATAAATAATGATGATGACTCCAACGTGTTGAGTAGGAAGACGGTTAAAAAGAAGCCGAGATTATTTTAGTAAATAAGAAACAAGTTAACTTAAATGTATACGAACTGATCAGTGAAAAGTAAAAGCGAGCGTGTTGCGTCCTAAAATGGCATCGAACCATGAAACAAACTAATTAAATGAGGATACATAAGCAATAATAATAATGATACTATTTGTTTTAATAGTTATTTTTATTGTGAGCACAGACCACGTTGGATTGACTGACTTTTGATAAATTTGATTACAAGGGTTGATAGTTAAGAAAAAAACGATGCATCTGTGAGATCCATATACCACTTTTTTCTAGAATTCTCACTGCGGCATAATACATGAAATTAATATTATTATAACTTGGAGGAGAGAGATTGTTACTAAATTGTAGGTACATATTTATGTAGATGTTGTTTGTTGGTTCACGACGTGTCGAATATCGTTTTCGTTTTTCATTTGCATTCCGTTAGTTGGTCAGTGCGTAAGTAGAAAGAAAAGACCACTTGCTACTCAAAAACTTGTCTGCGTCGGTCGAGTGACAGTGCCGTTGGGGTGACAGTGATTAATTCCTTTAATTAAAAAATTTAACATTTCAGAAAAACAAACATGGAAAAAGTTTTGTCGGTGGGTCGACACCTTATTATTTTGGTGTCGATACTTCCTTCAATATTAGCCGCGCCCCGGCCAGAAGCTCCCGTGGCGAATTATATCGCCAACTTTTATGATCCACACCCAATCTCGACGTATGGAGCGCATCCGTTTCATATAAATTCGCACTCGAGTGAGACACCGGCGGACATCCACCGGGACGACGTTCATGTAGGAAACAGTCGGCGTGGAACGAGCCATGAGGATCATGACGATTATTCATACAATTCTTACAGTCAACCTCGATACCGGCCGAGGAGTCATCATTCGTACGGAAATTCAAAGTAAGGTCCATTTTTTATATGCAAATTTAAGAGTTAATTATTGGACGTTATGCATTTAGTAAATATCCAAAATATTCTGGGGAACATCACGACGACCATGACGCCCAAGATTCGCCAAGCTATTCATCCCCAAGTAAATCGGGTTATAATCCGTACAAAGCTGGACGAGATTACTCCCCGTTTCAAGGTTATGCTCCTGAAGGATGGTTCAACACGATGCAGGGAGGTTATGACGACTACGGCTACAATTACGACAGGGCTGGGTCAAACAGTCCGGCGTATAAGGGACCCCCAAGGAAGAGTTCGTACAATGGGGGGTATGGCAGTACTGGACCGTCTTCCATGGAGCATGATCATCATCCATCCGTTTACTCGTTTGGAGCTGGAGCACCTGAATTTGTCTCGTACACGGGTAAAAATTTATTTTTTTGGACCTTTTAAGTACTCGGCATAGTTTATAAAAGTCAATTTGACAGAGGATGACGAACCCAAACACACATTTTCCACGCTTAAATCGGGAAATCGACGTCCTTCCAACGGCTACGGAGAGGATCCTTACTTTACATTCGGACCAAAAAAGAAGACCTCGACGAAACCGGTTTCCTCACTTTTTGACATTTTAAGTGCTGTTACGGGAGAATCGTCAAAATCATCTTCTGGCAGTTATCGACTTGGCGGAAACAAGTACTCGGGACCGAAGGCGAGCAGCAACAAATATTCAAGCTCTGGTCGTCCAAAATCGAGTAGCAGACCGTCGTCATCGTACTATGATAAGGGTAACAAAAAATCTACAACAGTCGACCCTTCAAGTCGACATTCCTTGTACAGTTCTTCACCTCCTTCCTCTTTTGAAGATTATCATAACACTAATTCTATCGAGTATAACCCCACTAATTATCAAACTCGGTCCAAATCCCGATCAAAACCGTCGTATAATTATAGCAAATTCTCCACACTTGCGCCATACAAGGCGTCAGGTTCCAGCAGATTTGATAGTCATCATGCGTACAACCGGAAGTATAATTGGGAGAATGACGGATGGACTGTCACTCATTAAAACCCAAAATTTAACAATGAGATGCTTCCTAATTTAACAATTTGTATACGTAGCTTGCCCTTAATTTTCAATTATTCACACTATTTATTTTTTATCTTTGTGTGCCATACATATCATCATCTCAACACCATAATTTTATTGTGCACTAACAACACAATCAATTAACAATGCTACAGCACAGCTTAATATTTTGCTTGTTGAGATCCCATTCACTGTAAAGTTGTCACGTTCATCGCATCTTCAGTGACTTGGCAGAATGCATTCATCCTGCAATCGGGACAATATTAGGTGTTGATTTTATTTACTTGTGAAAAGAAAGTTATGCAATAATAAGGACGGAAAAGGAAGGAAGTGGCACAAGTACATGCATACGAGCTACTTTAAAATCGAGTTCAACTTGATTATGGGTACATTTGCCATTATTTTCCCTTTACATAATCCTGCACGACACGGAAAGGAAGTTAAGGGAAACTTTTTTCAGGTTTTATGACACGTTATTAATTGTGAGGGAGTAGACATGAAAGGAAAAAAGCGAGATAATAGAATGAATAACATGCTAGATTAAGAGACATCATTAACGGATCAAATGTACATAGCTGGTCATCAAAGTCGACAACGCGTCCAATTACGTAATCCCTAAACAACCGGATTTGTACCCCAAAAAAACGTCTATAATCTTTTAATTCCAAAATCTACAAACAAAACACAAATCCAGTCTGATTAACTTTCAGCTTAGAAATCACACTTTTGAAAATCAACATACTTAATTTTTATTAACTCGTTAATTCGTTTATTAATTTTACTAAATCTTTTAACCAAAACAATTTAGAAACAAAATATTTTTTTTAAAAACTTTCTAAATAATAATCGAAGAAATCATTTATTTTTTGGCAAATGTGACAGACTATAAAGATGATCACCCAATTGAGGATGACGAACCAATAATCTTCGAAGAGTTTGAGCAGATAACGGATGACAGCAACAGGAAAGATGTTTTGCATGACGATGCAGATGAACAGTATGGTAAATCTGGTAGTAAAAGGGGCCAAGAAGATAAGCACAGGTCGCACCGCTCACCTAGCACACGCTCAAAAAAGCACCACAATCGACACAATAAGCGCCAAAACAGCAACACCAAGCAGCAGCTTTCGCACGATAATAATAAGAACAATAATAAGCAACGTTCACAAGAACATTCTAGGAACGAGGGAGGAGAAAGACGTCCCCAAAGTAAACGCCCACGCAGCAAATCCCCCCTCGATCTTTTGCGAAGGTTGAGAAGGAAGCCTAGCAGACCCACGAATTAGTTAATTAATTAATGAGTTAATTGTCTGTTGTAAGTATTAATTTATAAACATGGTACAAGTTTACAGTGAAATTGTTCGTATGCCACTTACCTACATAAGTTGTGTCTTTGTTTTGTATACCATTTTTATATCACTGCATGATTCTCAGATTTTGCAGCTTTATTTTGTGTAAATAAAGATTAAGTGTGACCATTAATATCGATATTTGAATAACTTTATCATTTAATTGTACAAAAATTATGGTAAAAAAATTTAACGTATTAACTAAAACGACATGTCATCCATGCCCGCCATGAAATTAGATTTTGACGACTTTGAAAACTTATCTTCGTCCTCCTCCTGTTCCACAACGACGGGATTGTCACCGTCCGCTTGAGATTTTCTTGACAAACTTTGCTTAGCTTCCTGAACCTTCTTTTTCTTTCCGTTGTCGGAACTCTTTTTTATTTCCGAGTCTTTTTTCAATGTGTTAGAAATTTTGCTAGACTTTGCATACGGATTCGCGACCAGTTCGTGGTCCGCGTCGGGGTCTTGATCCTCTTCGTCTTCAAAATTTTTCTTCTTGTGGGTAGGCCTATGTTTCCGTCTAGGAAAATCGTCGTTGTCCCCCATCCCACCCCCCATTTCAAATTTCTCGAACGAGTTGATCTCGAATCGTCCGGGGGCCTTTATTCTGCCCACGTGCTTGTAGGCGAGGCCACCTACGCCCCCATGTTTCTTGGATGATCCACCATCATAATCGTCATCATCACCATCGTGGCTGGACTTTGATGATTTGCGGTCGTCGTCATCTTGTGTTTTTTTCTGTTTTGGACGTTTCACTTTATCGCGTGGACCACTCGGACCTGAAATTTCTTCTGAAGTTATCACTGTTCCATCCTTGAGTTTGATCTGGCTCTTTCTTTTCTTTGGTTTTGGTGGGGGTGGCGGATTGTGATGTTTCCTAGGTTTATGGACGGGGGGTGGCTGACCAGGTTCTGGTTTGGCGTATGGGTTAGGCGGTAAGTAAATGTTGATAACGGGCTGATTGTTGTTGATCACTTTGGTGGTTGAACCGGGTGTAGGTGTGTGTGCATCTTGGTGTGTCTTCTTTTTTGGCTTGGGCGTCGTTCCATGTCCATGAGCGAGAGATTTGCCGGTTTTCTTGTGCAGTTCGGTTTCATTATGGGCTGCAGGAGTTTTTTCGGATTCTGGTGGAGAAATTATTTCAGGTGCTCCTGTCTCTTTTGGGGTTGTGACCTCCTGAGGTGGCTGCTTATCAGGTTTTTCCTTGCCTGGAGGCTGACCAGGGTCGACAACTGGTGTTGGAGTCTGGTTTTGTTCATCGGGTGTCGGTGTTGCCGAGTTGGGAGTGTCGGTCGTCTCGCTTTCAGAAGTGGTTGTATTTTCCTTGACCCATTTCGTAACTTGGGTTTGGAACTGGGGCTTCTCCGATTGCTCAGGTTCTTCTACGGGTGTTGGGGTGCTTTCAGTAGGAGAACCTTCGTCAGTGTCCTTTGGCGTTGTTTGCGGACCTATTTCGACTACTTCTGGTGGTGGTGGCCCTGGGTCAGGAACTGGCGGAGGAGGTGTACCAGCCCTTTCGGTGGGTGGGGCCTTTGTAACTGAGTCTAAATATGATGGACAAATGGTAATTACTCACATTACAATAAAAATATTTAAGATTTCTCACGTGGTGGTGGTGGGGGTTGTGTGGAAGGTAATGTCCTTGGGGTACTCTGAACTTGTGGGGGTGGTTCTGTTACCGAGGGTGCGGCTTCAGTGGTAGCAGGGTTCTCTGTCGTGGGTGGTTGCTGCTCAGTCGTCCCCTCAGGTGCGGCGCCTGGCCTCGGCCGTATTCCAAAACCTCGTCCTTCAATCTTACCCTCTAAAATACATAAAAATCAGACAAGATAATTAATTTTTTTATGAGGTGATGGACCCACTATGCTGTTGTCCAGCAAGGTCACTCAGTTTTACTCCACCCTCTGTAGTAGGTTTTTCTGTAGTCGTTGTGGTTGTTGTAGTAGTAGTGGTAGTAGTAGTTTTAGGAGCTTTAGTGGTGGTGGTGGTGGTTGTTGAAGACACATCCGGTGTTGGTCTATTCGGTTTTCCATTCATTGAGCGACCTTGAATCTTACCAGATTCATCGGGGGGAGTTGTTGATACTTGTTTCGGTGGGGCTGTAGTAGTTACATTAATTGTGGGGGGTTTAGTGGTCGTCGACGCTGGTTTTCTCGGTGGTTTTTGAGGGACGTCGACTTTGACGCCGACCACGTCAACCTTATTTATGAAGTTGGAATATCAATGAAACCAAGATAAAATTAGCAAGCCTTCGGCTTACCCCAATAACTGGAGATCCATCGGCTTCCGGTACGCTGCCAGAATAAATGAAAAGTATGGCTAACCACCAAGTGCAAAATCCTCGTATGAGAATCATCTCTCTATAAGAAAATCCTGTAAATACGGAGTCATTCGCTAACTTTGCTTTATAAATTATACATATGCTACATATGGGTTACAGTCAGTATTACATATTATTTATGCGTAGTGTCGTCACCCTCAACGGAAAATCCGTGACCTCGCAGCAGCTCCATTCAATCAAACTGTGGAAATTTTATGGCAGACAAAGCCATCATAAATGTTAAATTGGTAATTGTTTCCTGTGCTTATGTTAAAATTTTCATGCAAAAGTTCCATAATAAGTAATTGGATCAAACGTGTTTTATTCATAAATTCTATGATATTTCCTCGCTTTTATTAATTAAATAATTTCATAATTACTACTATTTCATATAAAAAATAATTCATATGTATTTAAACGTCACTTTATGGAGGGGTTGGCACTGTTGTGGATATTTGTCGCGGTAATCCTGTCGTAATAACGGCAGCCGCCGCCGAGGTAATCTGCTTAGGCGGTGGCGGTGGTGCAGGAGTCGTGGAGGGCGATTCCTCCTTCTTCTTAGGCTTCTTATTACCACCGCCTATGGATGCAAATAAGTAGGTCATGAAACAATGCAAACACAAAAATGGTTAGTTAGGTACGTTGTTTTGTTGTTTGTAACCCCACGAAATCTTTATTTCGTCTAACAACTTTTGACACGGTTAGTAAGTTAGTTACTGCACTTATCAAGAATTGATAAAGAGTTTTGAGGGGCATTTTTAAGTTGCTTCTGCTGCCGGACTTTTCTCTTTTTTACCTTCGTCATCATTGTTATTTTCGCCCTCTTTAGGTTTTCCTTTTCCTTTATGATGCTTTTTGTGCTTTCTTTTACGTTTCTTCTTTTTACCACCTTCGCCATCCGCGTCGCCACCGTTTTCTCCTTTGCCATCCTCATCATCGCCAGATTTCTTGACGCCCTTTTCTGAATAATAGACCACAATTTTTGTAAAATCTGAAATCAAGCCTCAAATAAAAGCTTAGCCTCACCTCCTTCAGCGTCGGCTTCCTCAGCATCGTCGTCATCATCGTCGTCGTCATCGCCTTCAGTTTCTTTCTTTTTATTGCCGTGACCTTTCTTTTTGCCTTTGTGTTTTCCGAAGCTACGACCGCCTTGACCATGTCTAGGAGGCGCAACAGGAGACTCCTCAATGGGGTTCGGTGGCGCTACAGGATTCGGAGGTGCGACAGGTGCGATAGGCGCAGGTGGTTCAGGTTCTTTATTTCCCACCAGGTTCTGAACTAATTTGACACCTTTTAAAGCCTGAAAAGTGTAAAAATTTAGTTCAAGTTTTATCTGAAAATGTATTTATTTTCGTGCACTTACACCCGCCACATCAAGCGGCGTTCCTTGGCTGGGGCTCGGTCCAATTTCCAACGAGATGAAGACGATGACCACCAAGGACAGTAACACCCCATAGTTGTTGGCTATCCGCATTTTTGTCGTAGTTTTTACGTATGTACGGTACGAGTAGGTCGGGTTCAGTTGCAATTTGTAATTGTAACATTTTATTGAAAATAAGCTTATGGCATGAGTTGTATGTATGACGTGTGTACCTTTGTCTTGAAGGAATTTTAAAAATAATTTTAAAAAACAATATACCGTAAATTTTATTGGGTGACGAAAACCAGTACCAGTTCGGTCCAAATTTACCCTCACATTTATTTAAACATGTGATTGTTTAAAAGTTTATGATCAAAATAACCTTGTGTACACGTACATAGGTTTTAAATTCCCAAGTTTATTAATTACTATGTTATGCAATAAATTTTGAAGCGTATTAGTTGGTAAGTTAGGATAAGAATGAATTATTTTTGGGGGATAAGATTAGAATTAACTATCGCCAGCAGTGACGGTGACTGTGCCCCCGGCGGCAGGAGGGTCAGCTTGTGGTGGTTCTGGGGCTTGTGGGGGTTCCGGGGCTTTGGGGGGTTCTGGGGCTTGAGGAAGATCTGGTTTTACAAGTTTTTTGCTCTCTTTGACTGGAGCTTGAGCTGGTGGGGGGACTTCTTGGGCTTTAGATTTCCTACTTGGGGGCACATATTCGTCACTCTTGCTTTCTTCTGAACTGTGGTATCGACCCGCTTTTCCTGCCCCGATCTCAGAATGGGAATACTTTTGACGATAATCTTCCCAACGGTTTTTAGCCAGTTTTTTAATCATGGGCTGAAATAGAAAAAAAAAATTCAGTCAGTTGAAACAATAAGCTTGGAAAGAATAAATTATTAAACTTGCAAATGCAACGTCCAATCCGCTGAAAAGGGTGTCGTGAAAAATTCGAGCTTGTCGAAAATCCAGTTCTTGTTCTTCCGGAGTGTACGGTTCCCAAGGTTTGGGCAGAGGAATTCCTTCAGTGGATAAGATAAATAGCGAAGATAACAACCAAATGGCTGCCACTCCAGCAAACAGAGACATTTGACCAACTTGTTTCATTTCCTAAAATAATTAAAGATATTTTGAACAAAAACTTGGCAAAGGTTCTGAATTATTATTTTTTGTTGAAATTACTTGAAAATTCCTTCCAATAATAATTTAATCCTGTGTTGAATGATTCCGATATGGTAAAGATTATCTTATGAAACTCCTACATGCAAAATCTTGACATTGGATTTTGTGAGATTCGGAAGTTTTGAGGGTATTGTGAAGAATAATAATAAAAAATGCTATTGTTTGGAAATTTAATGTGTCCCGTGTACATTATTTTATTGCAAAAGGAGCAATTAAGTTGTATAAATACAATTAGAAGTGTAGCAATTGGGTTAGCATAGGCATGTAAAAATGTGAATTTGACTTAGGAACATCACATTAGAAATTTGCTCTACGTGCTCCTATTAAATTTTTCAGATGAATGTAAATTTTATATTGGTCTACAAACTAATATAAAATATATTTTAATTAGTAGGTTAATTTTGTCCTCTTAAATATTCGTTTGGAAAAACTTACTCCATTGCAGAACAATCAATACATCTTGGAATTTTCAATCTCTGAAAAATTTACCTGTTATTGGGGATTTATGAAATAAAGTTACCGACGTAAAAGTGTGACAAAGATTTTATTCGAGTTTTTTAAAGGCTGAGATTTACTGGAATATGGTAAATATGACCGTTAACTTAGGTTGCTCCAAACGATGTGACTGTACCCTTCAACTTTACTGGCTGGCCTTAACTTTTACCTGGTCATCATGGATTACTGAATTAATTAATTTTGCATATTACACACATGTTTTTCAATTAAACATGTCAAAATTAAAGTACTTACTTTCTTATAAAATACTAATTTATCCTGGAGGAGCAGGAGGAAATGGTACACTATCGATGCCTTGCTTAAACATGGTGGCACCACCACCGATGACTACAAAACAAAATAATAATGCGTATTAAATTTATTTAGGGATGATCCAAGTATAATATTTGGATAAGGCTATTAATGAATGGTGGTCCCTTATGTTCAAATTGAAACAAGATTCTCATCCCATTATTTACTCTAGCTAATTTGAAATTTTTTACCTGGAATAACTGCAAACGGCGAAGCAATGTCTTTCACTGATTGCTTTGGGTTCGCGAAATTGGGCATCGATGGCATTTGGGGGAGGGGTCCAGCCCAGGTCGACGTTATCAAGTAGCTCGAGATAAATAGCAGCCCGACGTAAACAACTGGTGACACATTTGGACCTTTGTGCGTCTTCATATTCTTCACTCGGCAGGATCAGGCGTGCTACATAATAATAAATTATTGAATTATCAGGCTTACCAATTAAATAATTATGAAACAATTATTTGACATAAGTATGTAAAGGAAAGTAAAACAAGTAAATTACAAACTTTGTGATGGGTCCTGACGAATTATTGGCACAATACAGTTCTTGTTGGAATTTGTAACTGTTTAAATGCTTCTTTATCATGTAAGTATTTAAATTTTAAATTGAAGCCATTGTTCCATTCGTAGTTGCCAAATTTTTATTTGCATGTTTACGTCATAGTCGCGACAGTTTAAATGGGTGTAGTTTTAGTAGTTTTAGGTAGAGTTTCAAGATTGACGAACGTGTTCTAATTAATACCTAGCAGATATATATTAGTAATTGAATGTGCTTTTTTTTGTGGCTGTAATTTGAAAATTCTCTCAAAAACTATTCTTGTTAGGGAACAAAATGGACAATTCTTTCATAATGTGGTATCGAAATACTAAACAAACATGTTGCAGGTTGATCGTGATATGAGTATTATTAAAAAATAAGCTCAACTCAAACTTTAGTGTATTTAATATTAAACATTTTTATACACGTCATCAATCATCATTAATAATTGAAAAAATATATAATTGGTGAACATTTCTCCGTGTAGAGAGTAGACTCAATTATGTAAGTGGTGAAAATGGAATGAAAATTTTTATGGACAATTTTTTTGATCATATAATGTTATTAATTTAAATAAAATGTAGGTCAAATTATGATATTATGAGGCGTCCATCATCTTGAGATTGGTTTTGAGTCTTCATCCAGATTACACTGCAAATTAATTAAATTGAATAAGTTGATCAGGCAAAAATTTCCTTCATCAGTTCGACATACCAAGGACGACTATTTTCCTGGAATGGGGACGGCGTCGACACCAGTGTTGAATGCGCCTATTGGGACTGCAGCTCCAGGTACTGGCTGGAACATGCCAGCGGCCGTTTTCATGGTTCCCTTAGGGTCGGCAGGATTCATTCCTCCGGGAAGTTGGGGGCTTGGGAGGGCCGAGGTTGAAACTGATAAGATCAGCAGTGCCAGAAAAAGAGACGCCATCGACTTGAACATTTTATTTCCTACGGTCGAAAAATTATCAAAATTAAGTGGTAAGTTTGGAATTACAGCGTAATTTAATTTAATACTTTGCAGTCGTGTCAGACCTTCTTTGATAAGATTTCCTTTACAGTGAACTCCAAGATCCCTTCTGGTCTTTAAATTCAAGTGTTTGATTTAAATCAGGGGGTTTAAAATTTAAAGGAATTTTTTGCTATTGTTTAATTTAAAAAAATGGATTATTTAGTAATTTCAAAATGTATTTTGCTTTTGACGGCTTTGGTGACGTGGAGAAAAACAATTGCAATTCCTCTGCGTAGGTAACGCCGATATAACTTGAAGGTTTTTTAAAACTTCCATTATTGCATAACTTGTTTTACATACTTGCATATGAAATGAACAGTGAAGAAAGGCAGAAATCGTAGTTACATACGTTGTAGTTCAATTTATGGCGTTTTTCACAATTCATGAAGTCAAATTGAAAGCAAAGTTAGGACTCTCAAAATGTCTGTCTTTCCGACAGGGCCAGAATGACTTGAAATTTTTACCACATACATACTGGACATAGTTAGGAAACGAGTCCGAAGGTGGGTGAAATCGGTTCAATGATTGACCGGTGTGAGTAATGTAGGTAGGTGAGTTATCAGGGACCAAAATTTCAAAACTGTCGTAGAAAGCTGAAGTTTGGTACAAAAAAGACATCAATCTTACCAATTTAGAACAGAGGTAGCTAATAGCTCTTAATGGAGGATTATGAATTCAAATTGGATTTTCGTCTGGAGAGTCAGAGTCACCCAAAGTTCTTATTATCAGCCGAAATTTGGTGAAACTGATTTCTGCGTAACAAATGCATTTTTTAAAAGATTTGAAAGAAGGGTAGGTAAGGGGAAGGAGTTGTAAATACTTTAAAAATTTGGTGCGCCTAGTAATAGAAAATATTTAAAGAGACACTCCCACCACAAGGGCGGTAATAGTAATCCGGTCAAATCAGACAAAATGTTCAACCTTGTCACTGATTCGGGCTAATTGAAGTCTGCAAACTGAAGGCTTTAATAATGAAAAATTATCCACAAAACAGCTTTAGTAACACATCGATAAAAAATTTATTTTCTATGAATCTTTACTGAAAGTATAAATTGTTACACAGAAAATTAATCCGAAACTAGTATGAAATCAATTTAAATTTGCTAAATTTATAAAGTATATTTATAAACTACGTATAAATAAGTAAAGTAAAAGTTTAAATATGGGCTAAAGTACTTGCAGATTTCCAAAGGAGTTTTTATTTTAGGAAATTTGATTCTCATAAAATAGTCACGTTAACTAGTCATTTCATTAAATATCGAAAAACAATTATTTAGTGAATGTGGACAAAAAAATGTCGCGTTCATAAAAGTCACTCCAATCATCGGTCAGCGCGTCTGCCATTCCATACATCGTTACAAATGCCCGTGCTTTAAACTTAATGGATATGGAGATGATTTCACTTTATTACTAACATCAACAATGAATTGATCCATTGTTAAATTGTGTTATATAATTACACATTGAACGAACCCACAACTTACAATTAGTTAATTTTGAATTTTTAACTTTGCTGAATAAATCTGATGATTCCTTTTCAAAATGCTTTTATGTCATAAAAGTTTAACCAAGTCGTAACATGTTTAACGGCCCTCAACTGTGGAAAATTAAAAAAAAAAGTTATATATAAAGTTGCGAACTTTACTATTTAAACCAATGCTATTTATTTTGTTGAGGTGCTTACTGTATGAAGAGAGATCAATTTCATCTGGTAATTCCGTGATGTTAACGTCGAACCGGTTTTGAACCTCATTAAGAATCTTTGTATCATTTTCATCACTGGCAAAAGTGATTGCCAATCCCTGTAAATCAAGCACAAATTAAATTAGTATTAGTTGCATGCTAGCAAAATCGGGGTTGCAGTAACCGGTGTAGTTATAATTTTTAACGTGTATAAATTCATCAGTAAGAGAGAGTTCAGATAGTTAATAATCATTGATTATCATATGTCCCTATCCTTTTCTCATCATTTGAATTTCAAGAAAACTACCCAATTCAATACAAACTAGCAAAGTTTAGAATGCCAAAGACGAAGAGATACAAAGACTACTGGACTGCATCATTTACATACCTTGGTGCCAAATCGTCCAGCTCGAGCAACACGATGCAAATACGTATCCGTATCTTCTGGCATGTCGTAGTTGAAGACGATGTTAACTCGCTCGATATCCATTCCTCGTCCAAACAAGTTGGTTGCAACAAGTATCCTCTTTTGGAAATCCTTGAACTGCTGGTATCTTGAAAGACGGTCCTCTTGTGTCATTCCACGATGAATTGCAATGGCTGGAAAATTCTGCTCCACCAAGAGTTGGGCAAGAGCCATGCATCTTTGTACCGACTTGACGAAAATTACAACCTATACAAATGAAGACAACGAATTTAGACATTTCATCAATTTACTTAACGTCACAACAATTTTGAGGTATATAAAGAAAATCAGACTCGGTCAAAACCCACATAATTAGTTCTGGCGGAAACCGCGAATGAACCAATACTCTTCTCATCATATGAGTTTTCACAAAGACGTTAAAGCAAAAATGTGCATGTACCTGGTTGAATTCCAATGCATCCAAAAGATCAAACAACTTTTTGTTCTTCTCATTTTCCTTAAGCTTCACGTAATGTTGTTGGAGTCCATGAAGGGTCAACTTGGCTTCATCATCGACATAAACTTCCATGGGCTGCAAGAATGAAAGAAAAAAACACATGTAAAGTTAAAACCTCCTAATCTCCTGATATTTTTAATGGTAATTGTTATATGCCTGCCTAACTAGTGGATCGGGGATAATTGTAATTTTTGAATTATCAAAATTAAAAATTTGAAAAAAAACTATATGTTTGCTTTAAAATCATGAACAATCATTCGAATGAGACTGGTAAAAAATATTGAAAACACGGAAAATGACTAATAGTAATTATAATAGTTCACGAAAACTTAATGAATTTAAAATTTAAAGAAATAAAAAATAGAAAACCGTCCTGCCGTCACCACCACCATGCTCGCTCTGGTCAAATTATACTTCTTTAGTACAGCTTGACAACTGCTGGTGTCGGATAATGGGCCAGACGGGGATTTTTTTAACTCGGTGATGCTCGATCCATCGAATAACTGACAAAGGACGCTTGTCGCCGTCACCGCATCACACATCAACTTTTGAGATGAAGGGAATTAAACGGGACACACGAACGAACGATTTCCAAGGAGTAGTCGAAATGAAAAGCATTTGAAATTATCTGATCCTTGGGTCTGACATCGTCACCACCACCATGGGAATTTACTACGTTGGTTTGGATCCAGCACTAATGAATGCAATGTTCGGTTTGATGAATTCGGTGCACTCCACGCAAATTGGATTGGACTTTGTAGAGTTGTAAGGTTGGGTTTGGATGGAAGGAATTTAGGAATGGAAGAAGGTAACATTTCGTGATTTAGGAATATGATACTGTGACCCTCCCCCCCCTTGCCCCTAACTATCTAATTTAATTCTTAATTGTAGTTTTCTTTATAAATTCGTCCTAACCCTATTTTGTTATTATGTCTCTCCTGGACATCGGGCCTAACGACGAATGGTCTTCTACTTCTTTCTTCTGCGACGAGTCTTCTTTCTTCGATGATCTTTCAGGTTACACTGACGCCACCGACGACAAAGTCTTACTAGCTTTCTACTCCGACATGGATGGTTCTCCCTCAGTCTCGCGTGATGGTATTATTTTCGTTAAATACGTAGTAGTAAGACTAACTGACGATATTATTTATTTAGTAAGTCTGATTTATGCAATTTCCCCTAGTACGTTTTTGCTTGGCGTTGTCTGACTGGCTATATTCCGAGTACCAATGACATCGTGTCATCTAGGATGCTTATCTGATTTTAAGTTCAATCTAGCTGGATGAAACTCGTTTCATCGTAATTATTAATTTCTCCACTAGCTCTTCCCCATAACGCTAAACCCCAAACTTAAATTATGCTTGTGATTGTGAACGTAGAAGCAGAAGTTGAGGATAAGGTATAGGTAGTAGTGACAGAGGAGTTTGACGGATACAAGGAGGACGTGATGATGATAATATAGATTAGTGGTCGTAATTACGTCTTGCATAAACTTCTTGCACACGGGTCGAATCTCTTTGCTGAGAGTAGCGGAGAACATCATAACTTGCTTCTCGTGAGGCGTGTTTCGGAAGATTTCCTGAACGTCGCGACGCATATCTGATGAAATAAACAAATTAATATTATAATTAATTAAATATAAGACCTTTAATATTTTAGACAAGGATTAAAAGACTCACCAAGTGCCTCCAACATCTTATCGCACTCATCAAGAATAAACTGTTTCACATTCTTCAAAGATAACTTTTTCGCCTTAATCAACGCCAGAATTCTTCCAGGGGTTCCAACCACAATGTGGGGACAATTGTTCTTCAATGTAGCTTCATTTGTAGCCATTGGGAGTCCTCCGAAAAATACACCAACCTAGGCAAATAGAAAGCAAGAATTGAAATATAATGCTAAAACATACGCATCCAACATATAAATTTTAAATGAATATAAAAAGTAAACTCAGACAATGGCAGGCCTACACATTAATTCAGGTAGAAACCGCGAATGGAACCAAAGTCAATGCTCATCATTGTAATTTGTTTCAACTTTCACTTGAAACAAAGTGTAAAGAGTGTGAAAAGAAAACAATTGATAAATATCCTATGCTCACCTTTGTGTTGGGCATGTATTTGGAGAAACGCTCGTACTCTTTGGATATTTGAAACGCCAACTCTCTTGTGTGACACATGACGAGAACAGAAACTTGTCCATCGACGGGTTCCAACTGTTGAAGAGTAGCCAAGACAAACACTGCAGTTTTTCCCATACCGGATTTTGCCTGGCAAAGAATATCGATTCCCAACACGGCTTGTGGAATACACTCGTGCTGGACTGTGAACAAGGTCAAATTGAAAAATCGATTAGTTAAACTCTTCAAATAAACTATCATTACATCGATCGATTTAATCAAAAAACTCAGACAAGGCCAAGCCCACACATTAATTCAGGTAGAAACCGCGAATGGAACCAAAGCATCTTCATCATCGAAACTAATTTTAATCTACATATTAATTAATTATCAAATTCTCACCTTCTGACGGATGTTCAAAACCACAATCTATTATAGCCCTTAGGATTTCAGGTTTGAGAAGAAAATCCCTGAATCCGGAAGAATGGATGGAGACATAAGTACCCTTGACCTCTTTTTTATTCGCCACGACCCCATCAGCTGCCTCGGTCACCGTGGTTTGTTCAGCATTTTCCTCCTCCTCGTAGTCTAAAAGGTCATCGTTGTCTGCCATGTTTTAGTATTGCACAAGTACAACACACGAATCTGCAATATTTATAACTAGTGTCAAATTTGTTAACTAATCAATCAATTGAAAATTAACATAACGACTGACTGCCATTTTATTTTTCTCAAAAGCCATGCCGGCTAAAAATACATTACTTCCCGGCAGGAAAAACTGCTCAAAAACTACTCATTTTCACAAATTCTACACCCATCCTTACGAAATTCACTCCCCATAATATATTCCCACAAGGGGATTAAAGTATTATCAAAATTACGAAACGTTTTATGAAAACTTACCGAAAAACGTAAATTTTTGTGGCAGCAGAAAAAATAACACTGCGAAATCGTTGAAGGGCAAAGAGTGAGTGAAAATGCCAACGAGCGTCGTCACTCAAGTCGGCGTGGAGAGAGTGCCAGCTAACATGACAGATTCCATAGCACGGGAGAGAGCAGTGGCTGACTTGATATAAATTCTGTTCCCTTGTCAAAGTCACGTGATGGTGAGGTGGGAATGCAAACTTTGAAAGGAAATGTTATTTATGGGTGGGTCGGATTGAAATAATATTTTTAGTTGGAAACTTTAACCAACTTTAGAAATTTAAATTATTGTTCGTTAAAAACTTGATTGGAAAATATTTTGATTGAGAAGGTAAGTGTGCACATTTGTGTAGTATTTATTTTGGTTTTGTTAAGAACAACTTGATCTGTTGTGTTCTATAAACTTTGTTGTGATTAATTTAAAATTTTATGTAATTGTAAATTGCAATTTAGTAATTAAGCATGTTAATCTTAAAGATGCTAAATTTCAGAACTATAAACGGCCCACAGTGGTGGAAACAATGCAATTTAAAGTTGGTGGAATGGATCAAATAGATAATGATCCGTCTTCCTCCAGGATCGTTTCCCCAGAGGAAGCGGAAGAAGTAGGAGGACTGCTTCCGGACGTTGTGTTAGTAGCGGAGGGTTCTGCAGAAGAAGTTGAAGATGAGGGGGACGAGGTTCAACTTCCGGAAGAATTGGAAGAGGATGAATTTGGAAATCATGGTACGCAAAATAAATATAATTCATGGTTTGAAGTGGATTGACATAATTTGAAAATTTCAAATTGAAATGTTCACAGAAATATCCGTTTTGAGCCGACAACTTGATCAGCTACAGTCTGTCCTAGACGAAATTGAATCTCGGAATGACAACATCCATAAAGAATTGTTGGAAATTTTATATTCTAATCGTGAAGTGAGGAAAACGCTGAGTGCTGAAAATCAAAATACAAATAATACTGAACCAGCTGTGGTATCCAGTTCTTCTGATGGCGGTGAATCTTCACCCTCAATAAATAGTGCAGTAGAGCAATCTACTAATGAACTCAGTAATGACACGATGGATTTACTCAAGCTGGTCAAGACAGTGACGGAAGAAATTGATAAGCTGTAGTTTAACTAGTGAAAGAGTAATAATTGTGTATGTAGTCACATCTTTCTTACAATTAGATTGATGGAAATATAATGTTTTTGTATTTTGAATGTACTAGTCACTAGTACATAATTGAATTACTAGTCAGTGTCAAAATAGTGCATAGTCAAATACGTCAATAATTAGTTATGCAGTTTGAAAATTTCATTCCAATATTATTCATGTTCCATTTTCAGTAACATTCCGTATTTATCTCACTAAAGAATCTGGATTTCTTTTTTCATATCTTGATATAATAGTGACATATTATAATATGTTTCAGAATTGTTTGCTGGCCGAGTGATAATAATGTTAGTAAAGCAAATAAATGTATTGGTGCTGAAAAAAGCAATTGCTTTAAGAATGATATTATTCATTTTTTGGAAAATACGGGTCCGCCTGCAGCCCAGACGAGCATTGCTTCGTAGAGGACTTGGTCAATCTCTAAAATCAGATTGGCATTGGATTGCTTTTGTTGGAGGAAACACTTGTCCACAATCATCATTCCTCGAGTATGTTGTCCGCTCAGTTCTACAGTGCAGTGATACGGATCTGATTTTTTGATAACCTTAATATTTCAAGTTTACAATTTCCGGTTAGGTTATCAATTGACAAGTACTAATTTTATGTTATGGCTTACATTTTGATTTATGAGACATGCTGCTAACACGGCGTCACTCACCAACCAATTTTCTTGATACGTAGTAAGAATCTTGGCTTCAATTTTGTTTAGCAAATTCATCTCTTTTGTGCGAATGTTACCAAGAATGCCCGTTCTCCAGGCCTGCATTTGTAGTAATAATATTATAATCTCATGAAAATGATTGAAAAATAGCATGTCAATCCATTTTCATATTATTACATGAGACAAAGTTCCAAATTTCACACAAGTTTCCCACGGAAGAATATTTATTGTGCAATAGGGCCCAAAATTATTCAGTACCACAGTTGCAGCTTCTGGGTCAACGAAAAAATTGAACTCGCTGCTGACCGTAACATTCCCCAGGCCTTAATTACAAATTGCAGGATAAAATATGGACCAATTTACCAGTAAAAAAAATTACGCATTAGTAATTATTACCCTCCATGTTTCCCCCAAGAATAAATATTTCCTTGACCAAGTTCTTCAAGTCTGGTCTAAATTTTACAGCCATTGCCAAATTGGTGAGTGGTCCAAGGCAAAGAATTGTCAATTTTCCTAATGCACACAAAGCAGTTTGAATTCGCATATGAAAATTATAATGTTTTTTTAATTGTACCCGGATAAGCATCTGCAAATTTGATGATGGCTTCGACCGAATGACGAGGTTGCACTCGTGCTGGTATTGGGGGCAGACTGGCATCTCCAAACCCATCTTGACCATGATAACGCTGTGTATTATTGATATACTTGCCCACCATCGAGCTATCCATGCCACTAAAGACGGGAATCTATACATAAAAATTATTATAATAATTAGCACGACAATTAACTATATTTAACTCAAATTGCACCACTAAATACATTGTTTTCATGAACGGTGTCCAGAACACGAGTCACATTATTTGCAACATGCTCAACCGAAGTGTTTCCATACACGGTTGTGATTCCCACAATTTTGAAGCCATTGTTTGACCGATGTGCAGCCAGTGCCATGTACAATGCCCAAGCGTCCTCCGTTCCAGCGTCCGTGTCGATAAGAACATATTTCTGGGTTCCATTAGTGTGGTCTTCTCCATTGTTAAAAATGTGCGAAGGAGGAGCCGCAGTGGTCGTAATTGTCAAGCCATTCTTAAAATATGACACGCCCTGATTTATTTTTCTATGTATTTAATAATGTTAAATCAAATTACAATGTTTTCAGAGATAGCATCCACATCGAAATGATTATGATGGGCTGTCTCTTGGTAAATTGATTCTCCAAGTAAATGTGAAATGGGCATGTTGACTCCAATAATACGAAAATAATATGATAAGCGAAGGGCTCAAAGAAAACTGATACAAAACTGAAATGCAGTTTCCTTTTAATATTTTAATGCACAAAGTCAAAATAATTAAACACACCGGAAATTGAAACCACCGAGCGAGCGATTGTGATAAGACTAGTAATTAGATCAACCACTGACTTGTCATATTGCTCACTAGAAACTAAACTATCAAAACTCAGCTAATTAATACTGATGTACATATAAATATTTTTAATTATGATAAATACACAGGAAAATCAGGTCAGCATTTTTTTTACAAAATATATGTCCAGCTCGTTCCAATTTATGGCCGTGGACCCCCAGCTGCCCAAATTAGCATGGCTTCATACCGACTCAAATTCACGCTCATGATAACCTTTACATTTTTAGGTTTTGCACTGTTTGGATTTCTATCCAGAACCATCATCCCTCTCGTCAATTCGCCAGTTAATTCCACATCGCAGCGTTGGTCTTCAAGCTCAAGCATTATCTGATTTTGGGATGGGAATTAAGAATTGAAAATATTTCTAAAATGTAGCCAGTCAAGAAAATATTTTTAATTTCTTACGGTTGGGTCAATGACGCAAGCAATGAGAATGGGATCTGGAGCCAACCAGTAATCGGTAACCTCGCCCAAGTTCTTGGCTTCAATTGCATTCATCAGAGCCATCGTGGGCGTCCCCATATTTCCAAGATTTTGTGTTCGGAAATCCTGCATGAGGAATAATTTATTCTCTAAAATGTTAAATACTAATTCTCAAATACTTACGTGTGTTGATTTGGTTTCGAGCATAATTTCCCAGGGAAGGTCATAAATGGGGGTTCCTTCAAAGCTGTCAAGTACCACTTGCGCAGCTTCCGGATCCACGAAAAAGTTAAATTCGGCACTGCTGCTCACACCCACGACATTTCCAACGCCTAAAAGTTGTGATGGAAAATCCAGTATTTTTTAGTCAGGGCTTATGGAACCGTCATGTCTCTCCGATAACTCTCGTTAAGCTGACACTATCGAATCGAGGCGAGAGTTGGTATACATGCAACATGGAAAAAATAAGGAACTACATAAGCTCGAAGAGAACAAAAGTTGCAGGTTCAAAAGTATGAAGTGAATTTTAATTTTTTTTTGCGAGGAGAGGTGGCCCTACAGGTGACTGAGGTGACCCACACTGCTTTTGAAATTAGCTTTAGAAAAACTGAAATTTTAGATTACGGGTTAATTTTCGACTGATTACGATAAGTGAGGTCTTTTGATTGCACAAGTGCAGACCCTGGCTCGAACTAAATAAGCACTTGTTTTTTCAATAAAAGTTGTTCAATACCTTGAATATTTCCACCCAAAACGTAAATCTCTTTAAACCAATTTTTAATTTGGGGCTGCATTTTAACAGCCATTGCCAGATTGGTGAGTGGTCCAAAACAAACCATAGTTAGTTGTCCTACACATAATATTACAATTTTAATGGTTAGTAGTCCATTTCATTGAAATAATTTACAAAATAAATACCTTGATACATTTCTGCTAGTCTTATAATTGCTTGAATGGAATGTTCCGCTTGCACCCGGGTGGGAATCGGTGGGAGGTTCGCATCTCCAAAACCATCCTCCCCATGATACGGCGGATCTTCCAGAAATCGGAAATCGCTCAACATAAAGCCGTCCATTCCTTTGTATATCGGTGTCTGCATGAAGTCGCCAATTCGTCAATTTCATGAAAAGTTAGTCACACATTATGCTTAATTGATACCGTTGTGTCCTGAACGGTGTCCAGAACACGAGTCACGTTGTTGGCGACATTGTCCACCATCGTGTTTCCACACGAGGTCGTGATCCCCACAATGCGAAACAAGGGCGGATTAAGGTCTCTATGTGCCGCCAACGCCATGAATAACCCCCACGCGTCATCCGTTCCAGCGTCGGTGTCGATAAGCACAAGTTTTTCAGCCATTATCGTTTCAGGCAAGTGTGAAGCTTGAAAAATTGTGATGAGCAAGTGCCAAGTTGATATTCATTGTTACAAAAAACGCATGGTTTTATACATATGAGTGTAATCGCTCGTTGAGCTTTTTATCGATATGCAAATGTACTTAGGATTAGTTTTTATGTATGTAAACTGGACCAAATAATCAATCATTATCAATTATTTCGATTAGACAAATAGTTGAAGATGTCCCAAAATTATACAAATTGTATAATACAATGCATGCAATTATGTAAACTTTGTGCAATTTTTAATTGATTTTGTCATGACGTGTTGAACTCTCAGGCTCAACGTGACGTTATGAAATTGTGACAATTGTTACATAATATTTTTATGATGCAAATTTCATACACAGATGATCTGTGACAGATCGGAATCAATATTTATTCAACACTTAAAGATAACCTATGCATGTATAACAACACAAATTGCATATGATATGATTTTATAATGTAATTACGTACTAAATGACTGATCCTGAGTTGGTCACCCTTCAACCTTGTTATACTATTCTTATCCAAATAAACTAAATTCTACACATAAAGCTTATATCACAGATAACCCTTTTCACTTGTAGTGATTTATAAAAAATCAGCAATAAATATTTAAACAGTTAAAATTCTATTTCATTATGCAATTTTCATAATGTAAACGAAAGTAAATGTTTTTCTCGTGTATGGTTATCTAACCATGACCTGTTTTTAAGGATATGTTCCCAGAATTTGAATCATTTTCCTTCGTTCATCGCTGGGGATGGGGATTCCTAAATTTTCGGCGTATTTTGCCATCGCTGCTCGAAACAGTTCGGGCTGCTTTTCGACAAATAGGGTCGCCCAATCTTCAACTTTTTGTAATTGGTTCCCAATACATTGTTCGCAGACTCCTTCCAGCAATATTTTTTCGACACGGGCTAAAAAAATAAAGTAAAAAAGTAGTTCAATAATTAAATTGGTCCAAATATTAGCTTTTTGGCTTATCAACTATGTTAAAATATTTAGAATTTTATTTTGTGTGCATGAAGGACAAGCTGAAATGACAACAAAGTGCAGTATCTTGTGCGATATATATTAAGATTTAAGGTCTCATGAATTATAAAAAAACACCTAAAATCGGCTGAAAATTATTTCGTCAACACTAAATCAAATTATTCACGATGGAAAAAGTTGTTAAGATGCTATCCAGTACACTTATCATTAATCATTTAATTGTAGATCAGGAACTTCCTCAACTTCCACATTATTGACCCAATAAGTTGGACAACCTCATTAAAAAGTATGGCCAATATGAGTACAAATCAAGATCAACAATCAAGATCAGTTCATTTCGTATGCTGCAACACATCATATTTGTAATCTCTACACGATGATGAGAATGAGACTACTTTTTGTAGGAAGTTGGGAACTACATATGTACTATAAAAACTGTAATGATTTCTTCCTGGACTAAAATCAGTCACAAACAAACAAACTTCTTTGTTAGTAGGTCTAGGTATATATGTTATTGACTTCTTATTTACATAGTTCTGGATGAAATAAAGGCATTGATTGATTATGTAAATTTGTAATTATTTAAACGCCGGTTCTATCGTAGTACCCAAACGTTTATTTGTAGAACTTGTACAGTTGTACACCTGATGTGAAAGTTTAATCAGAATCAAATTATGACAATACGAAAATTAGATCTGCTTTACCTATCCCACATAAGTATGAAACTACAGGTATGGATGACGATGACATCATCATCATTTATTAAAATTTACTTTTCAGTTTTGATTCCATAATTTGGTACTTATTTTGTTAGTTTAACCTAGCAATTAAATTTGGCATTAGTGAACTTTGAACTTGATCATACTGAGTGAAAAAGTGGTAATTTGTAGAAACTGAGAGGTACTTCCTAGAACCAATATCACGGTTTAATAATGAACACTTAACGTACATACATATGTAACTAGGAAATCTCGTTAAACCCGTTTGGATGAACTACCATTTTTTCCAGTGACTTTGTCATCAATTACGTAAGAGAAAAGGCTTGGTGCAAAATCACTGTCAAGTGTGTAAAGTAACAAAAAGAGGATTGGGCCTAATAAATTGTAGAGTGAGAAGATTTAACTTTGTGAATTAGCAAAACTAGGAAGAGCGACCTATCGCAATAATTTGCTAATTGTTCTTCTTGTTCAAAGTGTAAAAGATTATTTAATAAAAAGTAATAAATCATTAATATTTGTATGCTTCACTCCACGCACAATGTTATGAATTTGCATAGTCAAATGACATTAAAACAAATCGAGGTCGTCGTCGAACCGATGGGTACATTTGCTATGTAACTTTTTCAGTAATGTTGAATATCTATGTATGCATGCATGCATGAGTCATGATTTCATCAGTTGTGAAAGTCAAATTTAATGCCCCACTCCTGGTCAATGTACGTCATCGAAAGCCTGTTTCTTTAAATTCTCACAAACTTCTCCCTGATTAGGAACAGGTCCGGGTCTTACATATGTAATGCGTCACAGGGCATATGAGCTACGACCATCCTACAACACTTGAACAATTTTTCCACTTTCTTTGGTGAGGGGAGGCATCCTCACGATTTCAAAGATTTTATCATATTGATCATTTGGATCTTCAACAATGATATGCAGAATTTTTAATCCGGAATTTGTAACTAATATGAATTGAAGTTTCTATTAAGTAGAATATACTATATATCATGCACAATGTTAATCAAACTAAATTTTGATACTCGGCAATTAATATAATGAGGAGGACTCAAAGGTCAAAAATCAAGTTTATTGGATATCGTCATTTCTAGACTTGTCTAGTGCAGGAATGCAACTTTTTCTAATTCTGCATAAATCCTGCAAATTCTAATGCATAAATTCTGCATCCTGGCTGGATGTTGCAATCATGTGATGCAAAATTGCAGATCACATGCAGTCTGCATTAATAAGTCTGCATTAAGTTTATGATTGTGCGGTTTTTACTTGCATGTATATGAAAAATATATGCACAGATGTACAAATTTACATCGACCGAATATTGATCGCTGACTTACGTTTTAGCCACCTCCCAATAACATCACAAGGAGCTCCCTGCAAAATAATTTTCAAAAAATGCTCATATATTCCCGAATTTAGAGCAAACCAATTTTTTTCAATTTGTATGCCATACCATAAGCACGCATCTTAACTGGAATTTTAGGACGAATGGATGTCCTAAAATTCGCCACCCTTTGGTCTGCTCATCAAATAAAGGAAGTCCTACCAAAGGATACTGTGGTCCTGGCAAGGTTGTTTTTTCCACCTTGAACTTGACATCGCCTTCCACGCTGTGATACCCCAATAACTGAGATAAGATCACAAAAACTGCGAAATTTTTGATCCCAAGCAATAATATCGACGAGGGAATTGAATTGGACATTTTCGATATTTTTGTTCCAAGGGATCCTGCGTTTTTTTTCTAATTGTACGATTTGCTACTGATTCACAGGGCTGCCTATTAAACTTGATTGATGAAGGACTACCGGTTTCTTCATGACAAGATCATTAAGATCATTTCCCTTGGCGTGCTTCCGTTCATGTTTGTATTTTGAGAACACACAAAACACGCAAATTGATGGCTTTTAGAAGTTTTTTTGACCATGCACTTGAACACTGAGGTTATATAATTTGTTATTCAGTACTCCAGGGTTCCAGCGCTTATCTTAATAACTTGCAATTTTTCACTTTTGCTAATTTTCGTTATTCAGATCCAAAAGGTCCAGGATTTTACGTAACGAGAAAGTCCGTTGAAATTTTTAGAAATACAGGGCAGGACAATTAAAACTCTTAAAACCTACGGCTTCTACTCTAAATACAAGAATGTCTCAATTTCCCAATCAAATTAAACCAAACGAATTTATGTTAAGAACTAAACTTCTTAGGCAAGAATAAAGTAAGGAGTGAAGTCGAAATTGAAAATGTGTTAAGTTATCTACTAATAATTTCCAGCGGCTGAAGATTCATTTTCATAGACAAGATTGTCGAGATATGGCATCGTGATTGTTGTGGTTTGGACGAAATGAAGCAACCTTTCATTGTTCATCATCTGTGTTGCACGTATGTATTCCTTGGTGGATGGTGGAAAGGTGGTATTGGTATTTGCATGCAAAAATCATATATGACTAGATGACCCTCACCCTCGTCAAGTCAATAGGTAAGTTGTAGAGGTGAAATGGATATCCATATTATCCAATCCATTTGGGATCCAATCCAATCCATGGATATGGATTGGATTGGATTGTTGGGGATCTGGATTGGATTGGATGGATTTTTGGTTGTGGAAAAATTATGGATTGGATTGGATTGGATAATCGGAAATCTGGATTGGATTGGATGGATTTTCGGTTGTGGAAAAATTATGATTTTCACTGTGTGACCTTATGTATAGAAATCATGAAATCATAACCAGGACTTTACGTCATTCCTAATATTTTAAAATCTGTCTTTATCTACTTATATTTTTAACTTGAAGCAGGCGAGTGTATTGCTGGTTTGGCCGGTAACATATTGGTATGTGAAAAGAGAGTCAAATTCACTAATGTTAGCATTTAATTTTTATCGATTGGCTTTTGTCGGAACAAGTTCTGTTATATTAAAAATGTACCTAAATTTAACAATGGGTGTGCATATCGTGGTAGAATTTATTTTTAAATATTATATCAATGTTTTTAAACTGGATTATATTGGTTAAAACTAGTGCTGGATAATATAGATTTTTTTGTGTTTGATTTGAATCGGATTGGATTTTTAGTGGTTTAAAAGTTATGGATTGGATTGGATATTTTTTTGCAAAATTTCGAATGGATTGGATGGATTGGATAAACCCAAATGGATTATGGATTGGATGGATTTTTTAGGACAAAAGTAAAAATGGATTGGATGGATTGGATTAATACAAATGGATTATGGATTGGATGGATTTTTCGTTTTGGCAATCCATTTCACCTCTAGTAAGTTGCTCTATTTCATGATCATGGACAACTAATAAGCTAAGCTGAATAAATAGATTACTACACGAATTTTTATAAATTCGACCAAATATTTAGTTACGCTTTGAGTTTGGATTCACAATTATAACAGATTTGAAATGTGTAAAAACTACATTGCAATCACATGAGCTTGATAAATTCATCACTAGGAAATTAAAGTTGTACATGTCGTAATTTTCAAATGCGTATAAATAAGTATGTTCAAATTGTCTAAAATCACAGTGTGATTATCACACCCTTTTATTCTTCTTTTATGATTCATTTGCATCGGAACGACAAAAAATTAAAATTATGTAGTTGACACCTTAAACGATAATAATGCGCATAATTTGGTAATGTTTCACCCAAAATAAGTAGCGAATTAATAAGGAAAAATATTTTAATAACTCCTTCTCAAAATTAATGATGACTGTTACACACATTTTGTAACATCAAACAAAATCTTGTTCTTCCACCATGCTCAACAATTAAAATGTTGTTAATAATATGACAACAGGAATGAATTGAAAGATGGATGAATTACAACCTTGACCATTCAGTCATATCTCAAAATTTCACATCACAATTAAATATTTATTCAACTGCCTCAAGTAAGTAAACATTATGATTTATGTGTTCAGAGTCGTCTCATCTTATTCTTCCTACAATTTGTCAATTTGGATATTTCGTAATAATATGAATAGCATGCTCCATACCAAAATTAGCAATCACAACTCACATGCTAGTAAAAAATCACTGATCATAGATATCTGATAAGATTACTGCTAGTAATTATTTTGAGCGTGCTAAAATTGTTGAGCCGACCAAACCAAGAAGACACTGTCCAAGCAGGAAGTAAAGGAAGTCTAGCATTGGAATCCAACCAATTCGCCAACTACAAAGCACACCAGGAATAATAGCAGGTCTGCAAATTGGTTTATCACTTCCACATAAATTGAACTTTTGTATATGTTGCTGATGTTTTTCGGAATTAGGAAATTGTGGTGTGGAATCAGTCTTCGTTAATGATTATGGATTCACATCGCATCTCGTCTGTAATGCATGGATAACTTGAATGTATGGATAAGTTGAAGTTTTTTTGCAAATGAGCATTATTACAGTGGAAACTAGTGGAAAGAAGAATGTATGTAATCGTGTAATGACTTCATTTACCTTGCCCATGCTATTTTCTTAACAAACATTTCTTAATATTGCTCAATTCACTTGTAGGAAAAATCTCTTCCACGAGGAAACTTCCACGTTGACTAAGTCGTAGTCTGTAGTCTTCCTATTCTTCCAGATCATGTATTCTACTTCGCAAAAAATTATTAACATTATACAAATTTTTTTAACAAAGTTTTGTAATCTAGAAAGGAACTTGCTTTATTCATACATTGATATTTTTTACAATCAAAAGATTTCATTACTGGCGTTGTACGGATGACAGATTTATCGTAAATTGGGAATGTCTTCAATATTTAGTGAGGTGAATGTGAAGGCCAATTTTAATAATATAATGTATGAAATTTTGCTAAGGTGGTGGCTGGTATATTTCAATCACATTTAATATTTTCGTAGAAATAAATTCCGTAGTTTAGCGTGCCTGCAACTTGGGTGGGGGATCGTTGAATGGGTGTGAGTATGATTTATGAAGTGAATGTCAAGGTGCAGGTAAATAATTAATTTACCAATTAGACTATTTGACAAATAACGTGTTTTGTAGTAATTTCCTGAGAATCATTTACACGTGCTGTGCGAATGATGTCACATTTTTGACAATTTACGCACCGAATCTCAGTTTAATTTTAGAAATGACAACTTTTACAAATTTTTAATAATTTACTTAATTATGGAGATGAATTGCATACATTTCTTCTTCCTAGGCTGGGAAGACAATGTGGTTACTCATGCTAAAGTCAATTTCATCTATTCCGTAAAGTCCCCACACTAGCATTTTTTCATATTCTTGCAAATCAATCTTGGTCACTGCCAAGACGTTGTCCTCTTCTCCAGAAAGTCTGGGCCGATCCAACACCAATTGTCCACGAGTATGAAATCCATTCAGTTCAATTCGACAAAAGTGACTCTGAACTTCCATAGTTATCTGAAAATCAATTAATTACGTAAGGATGCCAAACTGTGTCCCCACGGAGAGGGGAGTGGTTAAGAAGGTGCGTTAAACTAGTTAATTTCCTCCACTACTAAAAGTAGAACTAATTACAACAGCATATTTTTGGGTACTATACTTTTGAGCTGAGCATAACGGCAGGGACAAGAGCGTCACAGGACACCCAGCCATCATGGATTTTTGTATTTCGAGACAAAATTTTTTCTTCAATCGCATTCATCATGTCAGCTTCACTCGACGTCACCTTTCCCAATACGTCCGTTCGCCATTCCTACATAATTAATTACATATGTAGTCTATTTGAGGCTTAATTGATGATAGATAAATGATGATCCTTACGAGTGGCATTTTGGCCTCTATTTTGCACGTTTCCCACGGTATGAGGAGGATTGGTTGTCTCCAAGGACTTTCCAAAACGACATGGACAGATTCAGGATCCGCCCAAAAGTTAAATTCTGCACAAGCTCTGATATTTCCGACTCCTGTTGAATCATAATTTTCAATGCACTGTAAAATTTTTTATTAAAAATGACGGATAAAGTAAACAAACCCCAAACGTTTCCACCCATGACGCACAGCTCTTTGATCGACTGACTGAACGTTGGATCCATATTAATTGCTAATGCAATGTTGGTCAACGGCCCGATTGCTATGATGGTCAGCTTCCCTATGAAATTGTGTACAAATTTTGAGTGTAAATTTTCAATTACATAAATAATAAAATGTAATCACCTTCATATTCATGTGCTAAACGGACAAGTGCATGAACAGCGTGTTCATGTTCAATCCTTGGTTCAATTTTTGAAAAATCAGCATCACCAAAGCCGTCAGTTCCATGGTAGAAAGACGACCTTTTCTCAGTTCGATACACCAGCGGTCTGTCCGCTCCACGGAAAATTGGAATCTGTAAAACAATTCTTACATAACTGTGATGTTCTAATTGAATTTTGTGACATTTAACATGCATCGACTAACCTCATCGCTGAGCTTGGCGACCTCTACGACCCTGGTCACATTAACGCAGACGTTATCCAGAGCAGTGTTCCCGTGAACGCAAGTGATGCCAAGGATTCGCCACGCGATATCGGCCTGTTTATGAGCTCGTAAAGATATGAATAGGGCCAGAGCGTCGTCTAAGCCGGCATCCGTGTCGATTACGACTAATCTTTCTTCCGGCTATTAAATAAATACTACTTTTATGGATTGTACATATAAATTTATATTTCTTAAAATAATTATTTTACCATTTTGGAAATAAACTTGTAGAATGGTTCTCCAAAGAAATGACTAGTCAACTAAACTAAATCAGTTCAAGTGGCTCAAGTATTTAGAAAATATGGATTATTTACGTCAGAAAAGTAACAGGAACCAATTATAATGGTGAAGCCAGATTAAGATGGGTTTAGATATGTATGAAATGATACATGTCAACGGTTGGATTAAGGATTATAAAACTTTACAGAGTTAAGTATAATATTCCACGCATTATGTACATTAGACAAATAATGAAGATAAACCAGATGTACAAAATAGGTAGATAATCATGTTCATTTATTTAAGAGCCTTCTTCTTTGATTTCTTAAACTTGGATCCAACAGATGCCATAGGCTTAATAACCATACTAGAATTATCATTTATCTTCTTATTAATTCTGTTTATAGTGGACGAGTTGGACGTTGGACATTGTGCATTTATCAGGTGACATGTTCCACATGGTGATTCACAGTGCGACCAGGTTGATTTGACGCATCTTTTACAAGACAGACAGTGAATGTATGTCTCACCTCCGTCCTAAAAAATCATGCATGACCATTTAAATTTTGAATTAATAATGCAATTTTGTATGTACCTTTGTTGGGCATGTTTTGCAAAGGTCACAATGCAAATTTCTTCGTTCGACCCATTTCTGACAAATATCACAGTACCGGTAAAGGTCGGGTGGCAACTTCATTAAAGATAACGGGATCGTTGTAAATATGCGAACAGGGGAAGACTTTCCGTTTCCAGATCCTTCTGCTTTTTCTGAACAAAATTATAATTATTTGTGAAACTCTTTTTATTAAATGATAACATTTTCTGCATTCTTACCTTTAAATTTAGGATGATTCTTGTACAGCACTTTATAATCGCTCATTTTTAAATTAGAGTCTGGGCATTTGTTCAGAATGTGTCCTTCCATGAAGTATGGAAAAATCCAGAGGACTACAAATCACACATCATTAAAATTCCCCCCTTTATAATTTTCTAATTACGACAAATATACCTTCACATCTATTAGAACTTTGTGAGTGGTACTGGCGAAAGTCTTTTTGTACGCTACTTAAAGCTCCATTCCATATCAGTTCGACTTTAGCTCCAAACGGAGGGTCAGTCACAATTGCTAGTGATTCTGAATTTTGCAAAAACTTGTCGTAATTTTCTCTTCCATTACGACCGTCATCGAAAAAATGGTGATTACACATATTGTAATAAGCGCATTCCGTGGCAGGAAACTGTTGTATCTGCAGATAAAATGTGAACATAATATTAAAATTTTCATAATTCATACTTGTATAAGAACAATGATATGATTAATATTATACCAGCCGTTCATCAATGTCCAACAAGAATGAGTCAATCTTTAGAGAAGGATGCCGCTTAAAAAAATGATGTAAACTTGGAGTTCCGATACAAATGATGTTAGAAATCCCAACATCTTGGAACAATTTGATGAAGAAATTAACAGTCTGTTCAGTAAAGTGATATTGTGCCTCTCCCATATCGCGCTGAGTTGGTGGAGGAAGTGAGGGCATGTTCTTATTTGAATCATTGTTCCTTTTAACATTGTCGTCATCGTTTGGCATCATTTTCCTCTTCTTGCTATTAGGTGATGCTAATAAAGCCTCTTCCGGTGGGATCCATTCCTCCTCCGAGAGGTAAAAGGGGCACAGTTTTCGACACCGATAAGCAGAGCAAGAGAAAAATCTGGAACCATTCCGTTCGAACAGGATTGTTGGGCCTGCGTAAAACCACATTAAATTGCAGTTAACAAATACAAAATGTTAATAAAGTTTCTAATAAATAACATAACATAATACCATGTTCACAGCTTGGATTTAGCTTAAGATCCCTGATGACCGCAACAGTTTTATAAAATTCTTGCGGGTTTGGATTGACGAATTCTTTTTTAAATTTCGGTTTCATTATAAATACAGCACAATACAATCGGTTAACGCTATTCGTTCAGTGATTTTAATTTAATCTGATTCCTACCTTTGAAATAGTTCAGATTTAAAAAGTATTCTAACTAAAAATTAGATCTGGCTATTAATTTTAATTAAATATGACTGACTAGCAAGCAATCAAAATATTTCTCTCTGACTCATTGAATCATGCGGTCCATTCCATGCGGAAGCAACTTTTTCCCAAACTCAAAGGGGTGAATAAATTGTACTCGACTTGGAACCCACTCATAAACTTGATGTAAATTTGTGAGAGTAATATGCATTTTTTAAATCTGTTATTTTCACTTTATTGGTATTACTTTATCGTAATTTATTAAGTACATACTTATACTAAAAGTCAAATATTCAGAATTTTTTATACGATAAAGTGACAATGATCATAGAATCAAAATTCATACTCTTGAAATTAGATCCCTCGGAATAATTGTACATGGTAGAAAATGGTGATAGCTGCAGAATATGCAGATATTTAATATATAATTGAGAAAGCAAGAAAAAGAAAGATACATAATGGATATTTAGTATGCAATAAAATCAACTATTTTGAGACAACAATTCTATGCATTTCCAGATCTTCAAACTTCTAATGGATCTTATGGTAGATCAAATTCAATTTATTAATTTACTAAAAAATAGTAAATTAATACTATATGCAGTAATTACTACTATAGTTTTACACGGGTCGTTGTAACACATAAGTTGCAAATTTTGCAGCCGCAGCAGCTCGACACGTAATTACAGCCACGTCCTTTACAACCTCTTTAACAACCGTTCTAGTCGCGATTTTTCCCATTTGTTTGCCACCTTCTTTAGCCAAGTCTTTAGCCCCCTCTTTAGCAATTTGTTTTCCACCCTCCTTCAAGACCTGCTTCCCTCCTTCCTTGGCGATGGAGCGGCCAACGGAACTCAGTGTTCCCAAACTTATCACGTCAAGGATAAGCCCTCCCAGGCCAAGGGCAACGTTTGAAGTTGCACCTAATGCATTTCCATCTTCGGCGTCTTCCACGCCTTGCACAATGTTTCGCACGCTGCCGACAACGGGGACAATGTCCCACCAAGAAAATGGGGTATTTGAACCACGAGGAGAAGGTGCAGGTGCCGGAATTGGCGTTGGTGGTTTTATCGGGGTGGGAGTTTTTACCGGAATTTTACCCAGTTCAATAGTCGCTTTAAACAATTCCTTTAAAAATTTTCTATACAGACTGTAACAATTGCCAAAATGTTTTGAAAATTTGGTCCAATTTATCCGTTCATAGACAGATTCCCTCACATCTTCTTCAGCAAGCTCTAACTCGTTCAACAATTCCCCTTTTAAAGTCGGATGTAAAACTGTATCTTCGTCGTCGTCGTCTTCTTCTTCATCGTCATCGTCATCGTCATCATCCATTTTCATAGTTATCAAAAATTTCCCACGCGTAGGCCGGTCAAGATATTCTGGGTCTTCGTAGTATAAAATTATCTCAAATTCTACGCAGGGTTTGACATTTTTGGGGAGGGTGAGCCAAGCCAAAATTATTTTCTCGACGCCTTTACGCCACCACTTGTTGAGACCGTATATACCCCGATTGATCCTCTTGTCTTGGGGAAATAGGTTAAATTCCACCATTTTTCCTCCCAATTGTGCCGCAATTATGTGACCGCAATCATCCCCTTTTCGTTTTCCTCGGTAGCGAATCATTCTCGCCAAATTTTTATTGACATTGGTCTTTTCCCCAGTTCCGACATGTTTTGGTAATATTGACGCGAAGAGGTAGCAAGGTTTGTACCCGTCACCGGACAAAGCCCGGCTTACTTTTACGTGTCGAATTGGTCGATGTAGCCGAGACTGGAAATTAGAAGGGTCATAATGCTCCTCTAGCCAGGGAGTGGCAAGATATTCCTGGTACAAGTTTCCACCACTGGTTGGAACTGCGATGGGGGGAGAATCCTGATCGGCATCGATTTCAAATTCGATTACAGCCATTGCAACCTGGTACGACGCATTAAGAGATTTGTGCACTATTAAACATACAGATCTTATATATTGGGGGACCTCAGACACACGAAAAAATCGTCGCTTAGAATTTCGCTTCATTTTTCGCTTATCGATAACATGGCCAAAATTATGAAAATTTCAAAATTTTGTTCTGATTGTAGCTAACCGACCTTAACCCAACCTCTGAGTTGAGTTTCTGTTCGCTTGCCCCAGAGCTCGCTTATCAGGAGGTAAGCGAAAAACGAAGCGAAATTTTAAGCGACGATTTTTTCGTGTGTCTGAGGTCCCCCATTAATTTCTTACCAGTTCAAGTCACGCCTAATTAAAATACACCTTATTTTACACAAAAACAAAATTGTTCGACGAGCTCTTGGTAGTATGCAAATGTGAAATGGTTGTTACTTAACGTAAGTATGCATGTCTTTATTTGGACTGTCTTCCATCAAAACTCACGAAATCCAGCAAGTTAAAGTTTTCTCATGAGAAAACAAGATGATCATGATTCAAGTCAAGCAATTCAACTGCATCAAATCCCATGTATGTACCAGTAGCAAAAATAGCTTTCAACTCATGATTCCATTTCAAGGCGAAGAAGCAATAAATAGCTTGACGTTAGATAACACAATGTTTAAAGCGTTCGCGAATTTCTTTCAGTCATGAATTTGGCATGCATGTTTATATTGAAGTTCCGTTCATTTGTGGACATATGTATTTGTGATGCACGTTTTCCATAAATAGTAAAGATTTTTTTATGCATGCCTTTTGCTCAATTGTGATGCTAAATACTAAACTAATAATGGATGAAAGTGTTTTTATTATTATTAGAGATTAGATTGTATATGTTCCATCAATCTTAATTGCACTTTAAATGTTTTCTGATAATGCAAAATCAAGGTCAAGTGATATGCGTGACGTGTATACATTTTATTTTCCAGTATAACAAGATCATACCAAAATTAGCTTAACAACTACATTCAAGTAAATATTTACATATAATATTTTAATTATTTCTAGTCTAAAAGGTGTATATCTTGCCCAAGAGATCCTTGTTTCGCTTCCCTTAAGGGACGAATATACACAATCCCCACAGTTCTTTCTAACTCTCTCATGTAAAATTGCACTATTATAAGTGTGAAAATTCTATAGATTTTTGTCAAGTCGTACAGCCCGTCAAGCGTGTTGTAATGTGATCTTGTTAATTTTACAATGGAACATATTGACACGGTTAAGAGGAGGATGAGGCGTATCCAAAACCATTTCTTGCACCAATGATGAATTTCCTGGAATTATAAAAGGTAATTATTAAAGTTTCCTCTGAAATTTGGCACTTATCAAAAGTATTTACCTCTCTGACACCGCGTCGCAACATGCCGAAAAGATAGCCTTCTACAATGCCTACAAATAACATGAAAAGGAGAAGGCCTGACACGGTGTATGCTGTAATTTTAAATAATTTTAAAAAATTAAGCTCTATAAATATGTAAGTCATGATTTAAAAAAATAGTAATTATTTACTGTGTATCTGAGTTTTTAAATGTGGCGAGCTCCATTTTCCTTCACTAATTTCTTCGTAAATGTAACGTGCCCAAGAGCACGTTTCAGCTTGTTCGCAGTCTTTTTTGAGATAGTCGAAGGGGTCAACGAACCCGAGCACGTAGCCGATATTCACAGTTTCAAAGGTCATAGGTATTGAGACAAAGGCCTAGAATTTCGAAATTTGAAGTCAGTTTTTGTGGATCTTTAATTAGACTAATATTCGTACCAAGTCCAGTATAGCAATTGCACGGACAGAATTTCGCAGTGTGGAAGATTGCGGGGACCAACAGAATTTTGGCATTTTCTAAAAATTTGTTGGACTATTTCGCCACTTGTGAAATTTTTGTAGATTTTGTAATTATCAAATTGATGTAGATTACTCGTCGATAGTTAGTGGATCGTTATGATATGACACTTGCATTTACATGCATTTTAATAAAAAAATTCTGTCAATGTAATAATTCCATGTGCCATTAACATATCACTTTACAGCACATTTAATAATAACAACACAGATAACAGAGCAGTATATACCTAGTTAAACTTAACTTTAACTTATCATTGGAACAATTCTGAGTGTAATGTAATGAGATTTAATTATTTCTAGCACTTAAATAAATGACTGAACGTGGAGAGAGCAACAAGACAGACTTTTTTTTACTATCATCTGTGCTCTTTTAATCAATAAAATGCCTGGTTTGGGATAGATTTAATATAACTTATATGGAACACTTTGTTGTGCTTTATAAGAGGTTCGGGTTCGTTATTATTATAACAAAAGTCTGGTTGCGTGTTATGCAATGAGTTTGAAAAGCCTTGAGATGGTGTCGAGTTTAAAATAGGCATGGATGGCATGCTTCATCTTAAATTACATCATTGCATGCATTTCTTGTGTCTTTTTCGTGAGAGATCATGTGCATTTAGAGTAAATCATAGTACACCGTAAATGATGGATATGTATGTAGTTCCTTTATTTACTTGGAATACATTCTATTAATCCTATTTAAGCCTGAACCAGGACTTATGTAATCTTTATGCCTATCCATCTGTAATTTGTGCACTTAATAAATCCTGGCTCGGGCTATGCAAAGCTGTTTGTATTATGAGAAGTTGTTATTAGAGTAATTTTTTTTTCCATCTCTATTATGAATAAGTGCAGATCGTGAAATATCTAATTTTGTCTAAATATTTTTTTCTTGCATGACAAAAACACTTTATTCCGGGTAATATATTTAATTTTGCAGGACGAAATATGTATAAAAACTAAAGCAGATTACATCTCGTCATGCGACAACTATTATAAGCAAATACTATATTCGCATTTCGTAACATGCCTGAAATTTTGACTAAAGTACTAAACCTATGTATATATATACAACGGGGATGCCAAATAAAATCATTACCCGAGTCCTACCCAACCCACATACATAATACCCTCATTCATGAAAAGGTGAAAGAAATTAATGCTCCGGAACTTGTGGGTTGATGAATAGAATCAGGAAATGTTAAGATCTCGTTTAATTTATTTATATACAGAAAACTGTGCAAGTAAATATGCCTTAGATTTCTGAAAGGCGTGTATTTTCTTTGGGCTAAAAGCAATTATTTTATTACGGAAGTTTGCAAGATGGGTGTTGTTTAGCATGACTTATTACCCATCAACAAAAGCAACATTTTGACTTGAAATGTCACTTGTTAAAGTTTAACGTGCGGATTTTATTGCCCTATTTTTAGCAAGAATAAGCTACTGGATATTTTGAGACGCATGCTTATCGAGTACAACCAACAAATTGGTAATCACCTGTCTCCTCGTTCCTCGCAACAAAAAAATTGGTGGAAGGTGCCAGAGAAAGCAAAGCAAAAGACTGTGCTGCCGATTTCGGCAGACAAGGACAAGGTTGGTCTAAAAGCTATACTCATATGCAAATGAGCTAATCTCATCATCCTGTTCCTATACGTACACCAGCTTCATATTCATGAACGCCTTATCTCCAACCACAAAACGCTTGATTTTGTAACAAACTGAGCCGTTTTTTGATGAAATCCTTGATGTTTATGTATGACTGAGTAATTTCGTAGATCATAAATTTATCGTCAGCAGAGTAAGGTCGGCCAACCTCAATTTCTCCGAATTTTCCGCGAATATTGACAAATGTAGTGAAATGATGAAATTCATGATTTTGAATGTCAGCCTGAATGTACTCACAACTCAAGTTAAGTGGGACAATTATCATTTGTTGAAGGATTTGTGGAAATGTTTTCTGCACACATCCACATAAAATTTGGAGGATGAGATACATAAAAAAGTTTGAAATATGCAAAAAATGCGGTTCCAAACATGCTACGGTTAATAAAAACCTTCCGATAAAAAATGACCCATTGATCCACATATCGAATTGCAAAATTGGGCCAACCTAAACTTTAATATAAACTAAACGGAGGCGTCAGCGTCAGTTCCGTTTCGAAATCAGGAGGAAACTTGCTCCAAATAATTTTCCTGTATGGGATTATTCAGAAAATCTGTGAATTGAATGACTCCGTTGAATGATGCATACACACTGTTAAAAGATCAATATTTTTATTTCATAGACGTGCCCACGCATAAAAAAGTGTCCAAAGATTCTTGTTATTGTTATTTGCGTAAATGAGAGATGACGGCAAAGATTGAGATGTTGATTTTACTGCGAGGGTGATTTTCTGTACGAGATTTGTGCTCGAGTCCTTAATCACTTGGTTCCGTAACAAAGTGGGACAAGCTGCCAAGAAAGAGAGACAGATCCGGTGTAGTAAATAAATTTAGTTGGTTTAGTTGGTAGTAGTGGGAAGTATGATGGAATGAGAATAGTATCATTAGCATTAGTCATTAGTTTTAGCACGTTCCTTACATTCTCATGTTTTTGGAAGTAGTAGTAACAGCCAACAGGGTGGCTAGATATGTATGTCCGCATCGGGTTTCCTTTCGGATCGCAAATTTGCACACGTTCTTTACCATGCTCTCAAAGTAATAATCTGCAATCTGAAATGCTGTACTAAGCTAAGTAATCGCGTACCACTCCGGGATGGGATTTCTTGGCTTGGTTCATTGGGAAATGTGGGATTAGATGAGTGTGAGACGCGTTTGCGACATAAAGTAGTCTGACCTAGTGAATTGAGCGAAGTGGTTGTTGTTTTGTGTTAGTGGAGTTTGTCGTTACCGTTTTTGGATACAGTGACGATACATGTTTTTCTTGCAGTCGGAGAGGCTTATTCACTGGTGACTGGTCAGTGCTGTACTTTCTCTGGTGAAAGGAAGAGAAAATTTTTGGAAATTTTGTTTCCAATAGTGGTGAAAGCAAGGTGAAAGTTTGTGAAGAAAAGAAAAATAATTCAGGAAAGTTTGAAAGTTTTGATAATTGTGGATCCATGCCTGCCAAAAATATGGATGTCATCGACGTATTAGGTAACAAGACTTGACAAAACTTCTTAAGACAAGATTTCTCATAGGTTGGGAATTTCAGGGGACCTCCTGATCGATCTGGAGAAGACGGCAGCGTCTACCTCCTCCCCTCGAGCAAGGGAACAAGATCAGATTCAAAAGTCATACGCGCCTAGTCGACCACTCCCATCAAATAGCAACATGAATAACCTTAACTCAAATTTTAACAGCAGTAACAAGTTGTTGGTCATCCCTCCTTCTGTGGAACCTTCGTTCTTATACGCGCCGGACAAGGATATAATTACAGGTAGGGTTGGTAGATCAAATAGGAAAATATCCGACCCGATCCAGCCGATTTCTTTATCCGGGAGTTTACTAGAACTTGGGTCCGACGGATCGGATAAGAGAATATCCGATCCATCAGATCCATGTTATAGTAAACAGCCGGATAATCCGGTCGGATCGAATATCCTCAGATAACCAAACCTGTAAATTTTACAGGGTTGCCACTGGTCAGAACGGCGTCCCCCGCTCAAATGAGTCCACGCATCATGAGCTCGCCAAGACCAGGGTCAGCCTTGTCAAATGTAGCTCTCGATCCGGATGAAACACCGTCCTTTTCAGTCAATGATGGAAATCAGGACTTTAAGTTCCAGAGTTACCACTTGGACTACAAATACACCCCACCTCCCATTAAGGGGCCGTGTTGCGTGTGTGGAGATGGAATCATGGGGGCTGTAAGTCTATTCTGATATCTCAGCATCAAAAATTCTAACTGGTTTTTCTATAATTCATGAAACTGATTGGAAATATTGATCAAACCTTTTTACGAGGAAAATAATTAGATCTCTTTAATCTGATAAGAGCACTACAGTAGAATTTACCCCTTTGGTGGATACTGACCAATAAAGTATGCATTTCTTAACTGTATACAAATATTTTCTCGCAGATGGTCACAGCTTTGGATAAGATGTGGTATTGTAAAATATAAATATGAACAATTGATTAAGACGCACCTAAATTTATTAAGTAACGGCACATTATTTCCGAGCATTTAGGCATCCGGAACATTTTTTATGCGTCCATTGCGGGATTGAACTTCGTTCCCCTATGTACTTGGAGCACGATGGTCAACCCTATTGTAAAGTGTGTCACGGAAAGGTTTGTCAAATTGTTTCCTAAACATGGTACCTTTCCTCGACAATCTTGTACATAAAGAGCTTTCCACCCATTCTGTTTAAGCTGTTCCTCCCACCATGCGCTGGGTGTGGCAAGGACATTACCGGGGTCAGTTTTTTGACAACAAAATTATTTTTTTAACCTTTCAATGAAGGCTAAATCATTTATTATGAAATTCCTACTTTTTATGTAGAACTACATCAAAGCAATGGAGAAAATTTGGCATCCACCATGCTTTCAATGCACTCGGTGTCGAAAGGTGCTCACACCTACGACTTTCTTCCCCAAGGAGGGAAAACCTTATTGCGAGGACGACTTTCACGACTTGTTCTCTCCGAAATGCTGGGGTTGTAAGAAACCAATAAAAGATGTGAGTTGAATTTTTGCAAGCTAATCAGCTAACAAATATCATGCCTTATTATTAACGTTTTTAGACTTAAAAAGTTTAGCAACTTTTCAAACTTTTGTAATTTATTAGTTAGTTTAATGTAGTGAAATGCATAACTTATACGTCAAAATAAAAATATTTAAAAATTTTCTATACAAAATATACAAACAGATAAAAATAGCACAAATTTTGTTACAAAATACATAAAATAACTAAACACATTCGAAAAATAAAATTACAATCGTCGCTTAAATTAGTCAAAAAAATTTAGACTTATCCATAAAATAACATTGATAATGAAAAATATTAATTTTAATGCCATTGCTTTAGGATCGAAAAATTTCCGTCCTCGGACGGCACTGGCATCCCGAACATTTTAAATGCTGCGAATGCGGAATTCAACTAAACCCCAATAATTTCAAAGAAAAGAATGGAAAACTCTATTGCGAAAAGGATTTCAACAATCTATTCATGCCGAAATGTGGAGGTTGCAATACTCCCGTGGTTTCCGTAAGTAAATAAAAAAACAGTAGTCTATTTTACTTCCTTCCTCATTTGCTCAGAGTAGTTTAAACAAAAGTCAAGGTCTTGTATACGTCGTCCTATATTTGACCATGATTCTACTTCTGGGAGGGATAAACTTAATTAGTGCACAAGTAAATTTTACGTAAAGATAACCCACCCACCCACCTACCACCATTCAGTCAATCTTGATCGTAACATAAACTTCCTTCCTCCTAAGTTTACGTTAATAATAAGAGCTTGCTTTTCTCTCTGGCATTTCGAGGTTAGTCGCGTTATTATACAGGATGAGATGGCAAGATGAAGGTCTTTTCTCGGTTTTTACTTGCTATCTTAGCTACATAGCAAAATATGTATCCGTCCGTGTGTTCAATGTCTTTCCTCAATTCATTCATCCTGCCAACTTTCTATGCTTATCACCTACCTCTTATTTTTTATGAATAGAACGGCCTAACCGCAATGGGCAAAACTTGGCATCCTCACTGCTTCAACTGCACCGAATGCAAAAAGCAACTCAATCCTGATCGCTTCTTTGAAAAGAATGGACTTCCCTATTGTGAGGACGACTTTCATAAATTGTTTTCCCCAAAATGTGCCGGATGTCGGCAACCAATTAAGGATGTATGCGTTCCATATTTTTAAATGATCATTGTAAGATTTGCATTAATTTACATAATTTCGGATTTATTACAGCAAAACAAAATGATCAACGCCATGTGCAAACCGTGGCATCCGAACCATTTTACTTGCACTGAGTGTAGCAAGGTTCTCACTCCGGAGAATTTTTTCGAAAAGAATGGGCTGCCTTATTGCGAGGATGACTTTCACAAGTTGTTTTCTCCAAAATGTGCTGGCTGTCAGAGGCCGATTAAAGATGTAAATACATATTTAACTACTAATTAAGCATGGTTAACATGGGTTAATTAAGCGTGACGATGCATTCTTTAATTTTATGTATGTACGACTAGCCGAAGAAAGTACTTAACGTGATGGGAAAGCAATTCCATCCGGAACATTTTAATTGCACGGAATGCGGAAAGATTCTACAGCCTGATAATTACTTTGAGAAGAATGGGCTTCCCTATTGTGAAGATGATTTTCATAAATTATTTTCAGCTAAATGTGCCGGATGTGGGGGCCCGATTAAAGATGTAAATATGCAAAATAGTCTATTTAATTTTGGACATTTTTGTGGTATTAATTTACTGATTTTTTTTTCTAGCCAACTAAAATGGTTGTAGCTCAAGGGAAAAAATTTCACCCGGAGCACTTTAATTGCACGGAATGTGGAAAAATTCTCTCTCCAAATAATTTCTTTGAGAAAGATGGATTGCCTTATTGCGAGGATGATTTTCACAAATTGTTCTCACCCCGTTGTGCCGGATGTGGGGAGCCGATCAGAGATGTGAGTGAATATCAGTGTTTATCCGTGGTTTTAACTATTGTCCAAAGGAACAGTCCAAAACCGGTTTTAACTTGTTTTGGACACCGAATTTTGAAATGTGCTAAAGTGTCCAAAATAGAAAAAAAATAATATTACAAGTCCTTCTTTATTGAATCTTTCGGTAATCTGTTGACGTATATTATGTAATCTCACATTCTGAGCATTTTGGTATGCAATACGGCAAGGTTTAGAAATTTCTTAATTTCTCTTAGTTTCTCTTAACTTCTCTTAGTGGTATTACAAACCAAAATTCTCAAAATTAAGGCGAGAACACATATCTGTCCTTAGATTTTCAAAAAAGTGAACTTGTAACATTTTGCCATATTTTCCAATGTTTAATGATTTGGACAATTTGAACGCCAAAAATTATTTTCGAGACTTTTGGACTGGACTGTGTCCAAAAAGATTGCGAAACCGTGGATTAATAAGTACAAGAATTCAACCATTAAAATATTCATTTCTAACAAGACCACTTTTTTCACTGATTACAGAAATATGTTTTCGCCATGGGTAAATATTTCCATCCGCATCATTTCACATGTTCCGAGTGTGGAAAGCAACTGAAGGAAAATGAGTTCATGGAAAAGGATGGACGCATTTATTGCATGGACGACTTTTTGAACTTGTTTGCACCAAAGTGTGTAGCTTGTCGAAAACCGATTAAAGAAGAATATTGCCTCGTAGCTTTGGAAGGAGATTGGCATTCTAACTGTTTCAGATGCAAAGTATGTAAATACGTGTATTGAAATTAGTATAATTCGTTCTAATTGCACGTTTTCTTGAACTAATTAAAATTTTGGGGGCAGGATTGCAATTGTCTTTTGGAAGACCGAAACTTTTTCGAGATTGATGGCGAACCATATTGCGAACAACATTTTCACGCGAGACAATGTCCCGATTGTGTAAAAATTCGGCGAGAACAAAACAGATATTTTGGCATCTCCATTACCACTCCGATGGGTCCGTCTCGCTGGGCGTCACAAGTTTCGTTAAAATCTCTCATTGAAGATGAGACGATAACCACCACCACGACAAAAGGGGGCGTTAACAACAGCTCGAATTTTCTCGTTGATGACGGTGGTCGTCCAAATTCAGCTTTGTCGCAATACTCGACAAACTCTTATGACACGGCTTTTACAGATATGGGAGGCAGGTCGTCGCCATCGATGAGGTGAGACGATCACAACGAAGGCATCCAAAATTGGTTGTAAATTTTACAAAAAACTGGTTTTATAACACTTCAAACCAAGTTTTCGATTTTTTACAAAAATTGTTTTGGAGCCACTAAATATTTGTAATTTCTTATTTTTCATGTAAGAATTCACACGCTAAAAAATCCGTACGGTGTTTAAGTACGGACGTATCAAAAATTGCCCCCAGAGCCATCCCCACTTAATCCAAGTACAATTGCACTTCGTGCAAGTGCGAATATATGTACTTTAGTTAAGTGGGGATGGCTCTGGGGGCAATTTTTGATACGTCTGTACTGAAATACCGTAAGGATTTTTTAGCGTGCATTGTTCTGAAATATTGTTTTCCAAATTAATGCCTAAAGTTTGTTATACTTTAAACTTCCTCAAATCATGTTTACAAAATTTTTAAAACTTGGTGTTAACCCGAAAATCGGCTCAACGAACATTTCAAAAACCGGAAAAATCGAAAACTGGTTTTATGAAAGTTTGCAAAAAATCGAAAGCCCGTTTTTCAAAATTTTCGGTTTTGGTTGCCCTACGGGGTATAAATCTGAATAAAATTATCTAAATTTCTGCATATAAATAACGCAGGTCATACACAATCCCCATTGAACGTGAGGGAGGTAGGACGTATAGGAACGGAGGCTTTGAAAATGGAGGCCATGTTCACGGCGAAACATGCAACCACTCCCATGAAGAGTATCAAACTCAAAGTCAAAGATCAAGTTTGAAACGAGGCCAACAACTGGGTCAGTCTGAACAGAAATTAAACAATGGATCATCATCATCAAGCAACATGGGAAAATGGAGTGGTTCTCAAAACAATTTGCAGTACATTGCAAGAAATGAAAACCCATACAATTATTTGGAACAAGGAAAGTTCCCCGTGGAATCGAAACATATTCGATTTTCAGACACTGTAACGCAACGAGAGTTTGAAAAGGATGGCAAGTATTATTAATAAATAGAGGAAAACTAATTAGTAAAAGTGCAATGAAAGGAGAATTTGTAAGTTGATTTTAATTAAAATTCTAAAAAAAGTTAAGAAATGATATTATGGAGAAAGCAATAAAATTCAAATTGTGTGAAAGTTTTACTGTAAATAAATGAATTTCTGGATTATGACAAAAAATATTTTACATGAAATCGTGAAATATGTACATTTCTGAGTTGGAAATTTGTAAACTTGAAAAAATGTTTCCGGCTATATGTAAATATTTACTAATATGTAAAATATAGATGTGAAAGTACAATTTACTTTATTTAAAAGGAAATCAATAAAATTGTTTATTGGTGATTTTTTATCATTTGTAATAATTTATTTTTAACAGCAATGTCTGCTAGCTTGATATTTTACATCTATTCCACCATTTCTGCTGGTCTGACATGCAATGTAGGGAGGGGAACATTCCTGGTTTCCAAAACAAGGACAGGTTATCGAATTGCACCCATCGTTATATGAAAATGTCGCAATTCTGCCCGTATACTGGCAGGAATATTCTGGAAAAATATCATTTTAATCCAATTACTATTCTAATAATCAAATTAAACTTTACCCAGGTTCAATTTTTATCAAGAAGTAAAATATTTAAAGGTCTTACGCAAACCCCAAATTGACTCGACTTCTGGAGCCATGATAACTCCCAAAATTAAGACGATACTCAAAATCTTCGATAAGTTTTTCGTCATTTTTTGAAGTGTCAAACTATCAAAGTTATTAAACCCTGAATATGCCACGTCTTATGCTACTAAAGAAATGAAACTAAGCCATTTCCGATTACTACTTGCATACATACATATGTTTGTTTACTCGTAGTGGTTGCATAAAACCACTTTTGATACGGAGTAAATTAAGTTTGGAGATAACATTAATTAAAACCACGTAAAAATAGACCATGAGCAAGGAAAATGGAAAATGGAAGGGAAACGTCAACTATATACTCATTATACAATATTCTTCCAATAAATAGAAGAAATTGGATTTTTTGCGCTAGCCTAGACCAGTGACACGAGTATTTTCTTGACTTGACAATATTAATCAATTATGCACCCTAAAACTACTTTATTTTTGGTAGATGTTTTATTTTCTTTTTATCAAAAAGAAATTCAACTGAAATGGGAAAATGATCGATTTTTAGTCAAGGCTTATGGAATCGTCATGTGACATGACTCATCGCAGTCTGTCCATCCGAAACAGGATAAAGCCAAAACGGCTGAACCGATTGAGTTTAAACATTTGCATAGGTATCTATGTTAGTTAGACAAAGTTAAGTTTGCAGATGACCAATATGGGTCAACTTAGGTTGACCTGTGGGAGTATTTGGTATGGAGGCTAAAATTGACTACTGAGGTGGTCCAAATACAACTTTGGAAGTTCAAGATTTTCGGAGTTCCCCTAGTCTTCAGGGGGAATGATTTGTAAATCCTTGAAAAATGTGGTGCCAAAGTGTAGAAAATATTGACATTCGATATCGATAGCCCGGTCAATATCGACAAAAATTTAGAAAACGAGTCTGTCCCCGACTCGGGCTAAGTGAAGTCTACGCTGTAGCTTATTAATTATATTACTAGGAATAAGAAGCACACGTAAATAGCAAAGCTGGTTATAAATAATTGTAAATTCGGGCAGAGCCGACTGAACGTTAAAATGGTTTTATCCGCAACAATGTTCTCTTGACTTGACGCGTGGCAAGGAATTAGTAAAATTTCCTCAACAATCAAAAAATATAAAGGAATAGGCATAAAAAAGCAGATACTACCAATTTTAAGATTCATACTATAGCTTTCTACTATTTCATGGTTTACTGTATATAGAGCTAAGGTTTAAATTCCCATTTTTTATCACATTTTTATAATATTAATAAGTGTCGTTTTGAGGTATTATTGCCATTCGTGTTTATGACCATGCCTGTTAATCATTCGTTTAAGACACTCTTATCATTATTATTCTGTGGGAATTCCATAAGAGATCCGAACTATTAGGCAGGGTTATCTCATGGATGTGCCATTACTAAACCAAGCTATATTCTGATCAGTCCCAATTGCAAAAAGTCCATTTAGTTGAAAATAACCGTTTTCAGCAATAAAATTATGAAAACTTCAAAATCAGATCTCAAATTTCTCCCATTTACAAAAGAAGGATGGTTAGACTACAGTTCGGAAGAATTAGCCCCACATTCCAGCTACGAACCATACGCGTGGGAGGTGTTCGACTGGAAGTCATTTGTGCAATGGGTCAACAGAAATATGCACATTTCCATTGTAATCAGCGTGGTCTACATCGCAGTGATATTTTCACTTCAAGCTTTCATGCGAAACCGGAAACCATTCGGATTAAAGAGAGAGCTTGCCATTTGGAATGGTGCTTTGGGGCTCTTTTCAATTATGGGGTTGACTCGGGTCCTGCCAGATTTGTGGGGTCAGATAAATCGGCCTAATGGACTGTATCACGCACTCTGTGTCAAGTAAGTAAGGTCATGAAAATATAGAAGATAAGCGTGCCATAATTTTTTTATAGGGAGAGGATAAGCGTCCCTATGATATTTTGGGGAGGACTATTCGTGATTTCAAAAGTCGTAGAGTTGGGTATGTGATTTCATGTAATCTTTTGAAATTTAGAGGTATTTTGAAATATGTATTTCTAAAATTTTAGGTGACACCATCTTCATCGTGTTAAGAAAAAAACCAGTTCAGTTCCTTCAGTACTTTCATCACGCATTGTCACTCACGCTGGCGTGGACCACTGGACCATATCTTGAACCAATATGTAGATTCTACATATTAATGAACTACGGGGTAAATACATCGTAAAATTATTTTTTTCTCACGAAATTCACTTAATTAAGTTGTCCACGATACTTCCAGGTGCACAGCTTAATGTATCCGTACTTTGCGCTTAAGGTGAGAAAGCAATATCATCTGAAGCTTAATTGAGCATTTATTAGGGTTCCGAAAATGTGACATTAAAGTCGATCAGAAAAATACTTAACGTAGCGATTTCACAAATGGTTAAAAATGCACCCGTTTAAAAAAATTGTGAATTTGTATGATCAATTGCAGTCAATGAACGTCCACATCCCGAGACAATTCGCAAATATAATTACGGCTTTGCAATTGATACAAATGGTGATTGGTGTGACCATAAATGTCTGGACGTCATACCTCTATTGTAGGTTGTTCTAATTTAATTAATCCAATTTTTGTTTGCTAATTTTCTATCCGATTACAGATATCTTCGGATCCTGTCACCGATACGAGTTCTCCATAAAAATGATATGGATAGCGTATGGCAGCTTTTTAGTTCTATTCGGGGATCTTTTTTACCGTCTCGTGCTCAAGAGGACGAAAAAGTCAAGTCCTGTCAACAAGCAGAATTAAGGATACATGAGATAACTCTTAGTAATTAACGTGTATCATAGTACTTACATATGTATGTAGTATCTGTTAATTATGTGCATATGAATGTACAATGCTACATTATGCACAGTTGGTAGTCTGACAGAACAAAATGACCTTGCTTAGCAAAAATGTGCACAATGACAAGGAAAAATAAAGCTAAGGTGGTTTATCCTTATTTAATAAGAGGGAAATTACTTTAATACATCATGTTTTATCGTACTTATGTATCATATACTATGTATCGCCTGGGAATATTCTGTAATTCACACGTGCGATAGACAGCACAGCAAGCGTCTATAATTACACGTCCGACGGTCGAATACGTCAAATTTTAATGAAACTCGTTAACGATGAAATACATAAACCATTGCAAACAAAGTGTAACAAAGGGGTGAAACCAAATGAGATATATGTGCTTTATTACGTCGTCTTCCGTTAACTAATGTCTAAAACGCTAGAAACTAGAAATTCTACATTTTCTAACTTTAACCTCGGTCACCGTTTGTCGAAATGATGATGGTCCTCGCCTTGAACTACGTCTAAAACTACAGAAAATCTATTGACATTTTTGACCGCTGACCTCATCGTCGTGATTTTATGAAAATCTTCGAACTTAAAGGCGTGGTTCAAAAGGACTCCTCCCCCAAAATTTGAAACACATTTGCGAAAACCGCATGTCGAAATTCAGATCAGTTCGGAAGCTGTCTAGATATGGACCAACGGACATTTCTATAATATGGTTTCACACTGTCTGTAACAATAAATCCATTCTACACAAGACAATACACGTGTTTTTATCATAACATCGCCTGGGAATTTCTATCTGCTACACAATGCATTCCAGATTTGATATAAATATAAACGTAGGTCTATATAAATATCGAGTATTTGTAAAAATGCTTCACTATTTTACAGGAGAGGCATTTTAAAATTTTAGTCATTTTTCAACTCTAATTTATTTAGTGGCATTTCTTCACATTATAAAATTCTTTCTTCGATATGGAGTCGATATCGAACCCTGTCTCGTTCACGAAGGAAGGTTGGGTTGATTACCGCCGCGAGAAGTTGGCACCCCCCTCCAGTTACGAGCCATTTTGGTGGGAGAACTTCGATTGGCAGACTTGGGGGGAAGTGGGGAACAGAAATAAGCATTACCCCGTCATAATCAGTGGGGTTTACATCGCCATAATATTTGGACTTCGAGCTTTTATGCGAAACAGGAAGCCATTCGTGCTCAAGAGAGAACTCGTCGTTTGGAATGGAGCTCTGGGTCTGTTTTCCATTTTGGGCGTGATCAGGGTGCTTCCAGACCTGTGGGGCAAGATCAATCGACCCAATGGCCTGCATTATGCGCTCTGTGTCAAGTATGTAAATTGGTCGTGCTGTTATGTACACATTAATTGCAAATATTTTACTTTTAGGGACGACATTAGTATTCCAATGTCATTTTGGGCAGCAGCATTTGTAATTTCGAAAATTGTAGAGTTGGGTAAATAACATAACAGCATGGCTTTTGTATGTATGCGTTTATATGAAATTAATTAGCGTTTCACTAAAGGTGACACGGTGTTCATTGTGTTGAGGAAAAAACCACTCAAATTTCTGCAATGGTTCCATCATTCCGTGTGAGATTCACGTGATTTTAATTAACTTGACACTATCCCAGTTAATTAAATGTATTATTAATTTCAGGTGACCCTAATTTCCACGTGGAACACGGGACCTTACTTGGAACCTATCGCGAGATTTTACATCGTCATAAACTATGGGGTATACTTTGTAAAATTGTGACATTGTGAAATGGAAAAATAGATCAGAATATATATGTACGTATGATTGTTAATCCAGGTCCACAGCCTGATGTACCCGTATTTCTCCTTGATGGCTTTGGGAGTCCGAATTCCCCGAAAAGCAGCAAACGTGGTGACATTTTTACAATTAGTCCAGATGTTGGTGGGCGTCACGATCAATTTGTACACGTCGTATCTCTACTGTAAGTTTAAATTTGTTCTTAATTTGATAAAAATTAACGTCTTTGAGTTCATTCATTCATTTTATCAATTCTGTGTGTGTCCAAGATTTTCACGCATCATGCTACCGTCATCCCTTCTCAATCATAATGATGTGGATAGTTTATGGAAGCTTCGTCGTTCTGTTTGGAGATTTATTTTATCGTCTCGTCATTAAGAAGAAAAGTGATAAATGTGTGAAAGTAGAATAAGTTTTATTTGTACATAAACTTTAATATTATTTTGAACCGAGTGACATTAATAGCAAATAAAGGTAGTTTCCAAACATCTGTATGCAGCATTAGCGTCCGTACCTGCCATATCCTAAAAAATAGAATAATTTGAACTATGTACATGGATAAGACGAGTTACATAAAAACTATTTCTCGCTGTTTGAAATAAAAAAAATAACGGAGAAAAAATAAAAGGTACGAAAATTTTTCGCTTACCTCCATATCCTATTGAAATTCCAAAAATTAAACAGTATTAATTTTCAAAATTTATAAACTGGCTTAGATCAAATTTAAAGATTTGTAGTACCTCCATATCCTATTCAAAATTTAAAAAAATGTAGGTATTAATGAATGAATAACCAGAATATGTGAAGTTTAAAAATTTTAGTACCTCCATATCCTGTTGAAAATTTGGAAAATAAACGTGTAAATTTTCAAAATTAGTAACCAGAATTTGTAAAAATTACAAAAATTTCTAACCTCCATATCCTGAAAATAAAATTAAAATGAAGATGTTAATTTTCAAAATTAATAACCCAAATTTCTCAAATAAAAAAATGTCTAACCTCCATATCCTGTTGAGATTTCAAAGATTGTGATATTAATTTTCAAAATTAATCAGCAAAATCTCACAAAATTAAAAAAAATGTATTACCTCCGTATCCTGATAAAATTGCAAAAATTTAAGTCTTGGTTTATTTGTGCATAAAAAATTGAAATATGCGAAATTAATAATCATTACCTCCGTATCCTGTTTAATAAAAAGTTAGGTATTAATTTATTATCAAAAATAATAACGCAAATGTGGAAAAAATATATTTGTTACCTCCATATCCTGTTGAAATTTTGAAATTCAAAAATTTAGGTATTGGTTTTTAAAATTGTAATAACCGAAATTCACTACGTTAAAAATTCTCACCTCCGTATCCTGAAATTTTAAAAATCAAGATATATTAATTTTTGGAATTACACTACTTAATAACCAGACTTTCACGATATTATAAAATTTCTATTACCTCCGTATCCTGTTTGAAATTTAAAAATAATTGGATCAATTTATTTCCAAAAATTAATAATCAAAATATGTGAAATTAAAAAAGCTCACCTCCGTATCCTGTTTTAACAATTTGTTAATTTTTTTTAGTAAAACAAAAAAATATTATTAAGAGATCAAGACCTAATAACCAGAATTCTCACCTCCATATCCTGAAATTTATTAGTTTTCAAAATTAATAAACAAAAATTCACGAAATTAAATAATGCTAAATTTTAGTATTTTAGTACCTCCATATCCTGTGTAAAGTATAAAAAATTTACATATTTAGGTATCAATTTATTCTAAGAAAAAATCACCAAAATACCCGCAATTAATTTTTTTTACCTCCGTATCCTGCGCAAAATTAAAAAAATAAGGTATTAATTTTTTATCATCGTTAAGTACAAGCTATGCAATAAATAAATAACAGCAGAGCTTGACATTCATAATTCAGTATAACCTCGACGCCAAAATCGCCTACCTCCTCCGAACCCACCACCACCAATAAGAATTGGGAAGATGAAGGGACCTATTTATTAACATAAAATTAGCAAAAAAGCACCAATATTTACTAAAAGAAAGCGTCTTTTCTTTGCATGCAAATGATTAACAAAGACTTACTCGATAATGCCGCATCAATGCACAACAGGACGACGAAAATGGCCAAAACCCAAGAAATCAACTTCGAATTAATATGGGACATTTTGAAATTGTAATAATTAAATGCACGTGCGTGACCACTGGACAAACTAAAAATGCAAACTGACCCTGCTATGAGGTACGTGGTAAGAATTTATACAACTTATGGCGCATTTTACTGATACCTGCATACGTGGTAGGAAATGTGTGGGTGGGTCATTGTTTTGCTAAGAATTAATGGTCAAGATTTGGAAGCAAAACTCATTAGATAAACGTTCTCGGAATAATGTATGTTGCAAAAAAGTAATAAATGTTCTTTGAACATGACACTTATTCTGTGAACTACACGTTAGTGAACTCCTGCAGATTTGTTCCAGTACCTGTCTCGTCTTTAAACTGGTATTCATAAACATGTTGATGCTAATTGCACAGTTTACTTGGTAAATGGGTGTATATTTATAGTTGGCTAAATGTTTTGCGAAAAAGTTCTTTGTGTCTGGACTTGCTCGGTCAACTACATACAGAATATTTTAGGATTCAGGGATTTACGTTACCTCGTAGTGGAAGTATTGTCCAGACGAAACAATGAGAGGATGATGGTTTATGGTTGGTCCGGTGCTAATCAATTTGCATTTTTGTATCATTAGCAGTTTGTAATGCGTTCTACGTCAGTATTCCAAAATTCAGTGAATTTCCAATGAAGGAGCTTGTGATTTGTTGTGGCGCTATGCATATGCATGTGCGAAAAGTAATGTCTGTGAAGTATTAGTAAGAGTAATTTTCGCAGTCTAGGAAGAGAACTTGTTGTAAGCACAATTATTTAATTATGTGATATACATATGTATGTAAAATGCTATTAATCAAGATCTGGCAATAATGAATTCATTTGTGGGAGTGTTTTTAAAGATTCTGCACAAAATCAAATACAAATTTTGACAAAAGTGAATGAAATCATTACATAAATAGAAAACTCTGATAAACATTTGACCATTGTAACTGATAAAATACAAATTGATTCAATATATGAAATACATATGTAAACAAGTATTTATATTAATGGTAGAAAAAGACATTAAATCTATCATTTCTGTAAAAGAATACCAGTATTTAAAAAAATACAAAAATTAAAATCATTACAACGTGCACAACAACCCTTGATAATAATTTTGTTTCAATTAATTTTTCTTGTTCTTGTTTTTCTTAGATTTCTTCTTCTTCGTCGTTTTCTTTGCATTTGCACTTTCATTGTTGACATTACTAGTAATACAACTACAGTTATCTGCTGTTGATACTGTTTGTCCCTTGCTGGTGAGGGTCTGTTTACTGAGTACGAGTTTGGTTTTCTTGCAGATTATTTTCGAGCTGAGCCGCAGTGTTACCTGTGTGAAAAATGTCAATTAACACAAATTATTAGTATTTTAATAATATAACAATGATTAATTCAAAGCAAGGAGTCAAAACCTTACATCACTCTCCGCGTCTGAGTCAGAGGTCGTAACCTGGGCATCAGGATCCTCACGGCTAGAGAAAGAAAAGTCGCTTTCACTTCCGTCAGTTTCTGTCGACTCTTCAGGTTTGGTAATGGTAACACTTGATTTCGATCCAATAGGCTCCAACGGAACTGATCCTTCATGTTTGGGAGCACTTGATTCACGTTGTCTAATAATTAAACCATGTTTTATGCTTTGCCGAATTGCACAGAGAATACGGTCAGGTGGAATTTTGGTATTTAAAACGAACCCAGTCATAAATTCCAGTGCAGTATGATCAATCTCCGACAACTCTTTGAGGTACTTTAACAACAATTTTATAGTGGTTCTAGTTTCCTCAGAATATATCTTCGGGTTAGCAAGAATTGTAGCGTTTTTACACTTTTCGTCGTAGGTACGCAATGAATCAAGAATAGGAACGGACACTTTATCAAACTTCATCAGAGCTCGAGCTTCTACAATTTCGAAGATTAGACCTTTGACCATTGCAGATTTGTACAGAATTGGCTGTAACTTGACCAGGTTTTCTTCGCTGAATTTCTCCATGAACAAAGTGATGAGAGAGCTTCGACAGATTGAATATATATTCGAAAATTTTGTAAATATTTCGTTTGCCAACGATTGAATCTCCTTTCGTTCGTTGTCCTGCTCGAAGTAACCGGTACGTAGAGGTTTGAATTTATTAATTAAGCGGCGCCCAGTTATTTGTTTCAGTACTTTGTTCGTGTGTAAAGTCGCAAACTTTTTACGCAACTCGAAGAGATCTGGGTCATTTAATTCGTTGTCTTTCATAACGTCGCAATACGACGGCAACGAGTCGTCCTCCAGTTCCAAATCCTGCTTGTCCTTTACTTCGCCTTGTTCCTTAGGTGATGGTTTTGATGGTGTCTGAAGGGTTTCACAGAATTGAATCTTAAATTAAATACCGATTTCAAAGAGATCTTCCCATCATTCCCTGACTGGCTGAACTCTCATAAGAAATTACTTTCATCGTATAAAATTCTATGCATCTGCCCTCCATCGCATCCCGCAGTTGACGAAAATAGAAATTGGGAACCAGTTGCGCATGTTTGAAATTTTGGCGATATGTATGGATGCACAGTAATAATAGTTGCTCACCAAGGTTGACGATTGTATCAGGTCACAAGGACAGTTGGACAAGTCTGCCGGCTCCTTGGATGTGCCAGAAAGTACAGCAGCAGCAGCAGGTCGTAATTCAAAATGTCGAGGTCCAGACGGCATAGGCGTTGGGGCACGAGGTCGTCGTCCAGATTGGACTGGGGTACTAGCACGTCGTGCCTGAACAGGTGGTTCAGATACGATTACGAGTGGAGTTGCGGCACGAGTTTTACTAGCAGGTTGGCGTTTTTTCCGACCCATGATGATGACCTGGGAAGACGAAAAAATATACTTATATTCCAGTACCATTATTAATTTTACCTAAGTAGTATAAAAAATTTTACCTTTATTTGACTACGATTTTAGTTAATGTGCTGCTGGCTGAATTTGCTCGGTTCTTTCGATTCCAGATTATCTTCAACTTTAAAATAAACTGTTCAGTACAATTATGTATAATCATAAATTTGTTCAGAATTAGCAACATAATGAGTTGAAAGCAGTTACACAACTTACCAATTGCTAATGTCAGCCAGTATCACAATTTGAATCAGTTTTTGTGGGATATTTACTTAATTTGTTGGTATTTATTGGGCTACTTTTATAATTGAGCAATTAGATTAATCAATATTTTGGCCGCATCAGCATTATGTCAAAATATAAATGAGATCAGATTACAAAAATACTGTCCGACTTGCAAATTAATTAAAATGAAGCATAGAATAATTAAAATGTGATCTAAAAATTCCAATTTCCAACGAACTCAACCCGACCCATGCTCAACCCTTCCAAAACCCCAACTGATTTTTTTTTCGCAGTTCTCAAGTTGAGAATCTCAACCGTCACTCATTTTTTTGGGGTACGTTGACCTGCCCGAATTTTTAATATGCATATTCATTTACGGATGACTGCAATTTTAACTAATAATTTTTGTGCTACGATAATTTTTAATGGAAGATATGCAATTATTTTATTGGAAGAGTAATGATTAATTAATCTATGTATTATTATTTATTATTTCATAATTTCATAATGTACCATGTTTTTTTAAATTGATAATTAGTTTTAGTAATAACTAGTAATTTTGAAATAGTAATTTATACTCTTTATGACGGTGTTGAGTGCCTCTTCTCCATACTGTTCACTCTTCGTACACGATCCGGCAAAAAGTCTGGAAACTGCGGATAACATGACAGACAGGTTTGTTAATTAATGAACCCATTGATTTTCTCTTGCAGACTTTCTTTTTCAGGATAAACTGTAAAACTTTTTTTACTTACCGGAAATCGTTCCAGTCTCCAAAAGTTTCCTGCTTGTCGCTTAGAATCTGATTGATAGTATCTCACCACAATTTCCAAGTTTGGCAAATCCATTTTGAGCATGTGGAAGGGGAGGACGCTTTTGAAAGTGTCGTCAGTAACGGACAGATATGTGAGACCTCTGAGTTTGGATAAGTATCCGAGTGATTCTTCCAGACAGATGGGCTAATGTAGAAATTCGAGTTGAGAGAAAGTTTGTGGTTTTGCTTAAATTTAGATTGAAGTTTTATATACCGTGATTGCAGGTGGTAACACGAGTCGTTTCAAATTATCGAGTAAACCAACCCCGTAAATGATGAGAGATGCCGAAAACTGAGAGCCATACGCATCCTGGCGAGAACCAGTCAAAATTTCGAAAGTTTCAAGACCTGTAAGCTTATCAAATATTTTAAACTGCAAAGAAATATGTACAAGCACACTTTACAAATTACGGTTATTAACCTCTTAATAATCCAAGGTGTGGATACTCCTCCAATTTGGCGAGATGTTCAGCACTCTGGAATTCCTCTTCTCCAGCGTGCTTTAAACGGCTCGGGGTCAAAGCGAGGACTCCTGCTCCGGTGAAAGCCTGTTCGCAAACTTTTGTCCGGATATGAAGCACCAGTCTGCGTATTCTTTGCATATGGAGCCAAATAAGTCGCAAGTCTTCGTCAAAGTAAATATCTGTTTCGAAAGAGGTGATATTGCAAAAGACTCGAGATTTCCATTCTACATCGAGACCAAATTCGTCATTTCCTAGGATTCTGAGGTGTCGGGCGGTTGGACAAGAGGGCAGTTGATCATAGTCGTCAAAACTGTTAGCGACAGGATTTGGCGTGGTGATTGATGGTTTTGTCAAGTGGGGGCTTTGCGTCGTTGTTGTGATATCTTCTATTGTGGTTGGACCATCTTTTGCGTCTGTAACCTCATTCCCATTGTTTTGGTTCTGTTAATAACATGAAAAGGAGAAAGTAAGTGAAAGCGTAGACATTATTTTATTTGAAATGGGGTACTGTTCTGGAACAGTGTGTCTCAAAGTCATATAAACTTTTAAATGTCCGTTCTTATCATTTGTTATTAAAGTAAACTTGGCTTTTCCGGATTTTGGAATCCTGTTTACGATGAGACGGGGACAAGTTGGATATTGCAAGATTTCAGAATTAAGCCTGAAGGGATTTCATTTCGCCGCAACAAAGCCAAGAACCTAAAACCTCACTGTATGTATTTATTTATAAGTCTGCACAACTTTAATAACAAAACAACAACGTTTCAAAATGAGAGATGAATAAGATTATCTTTTTGTCCAGGGCTTCAACCGCAGCCCAGCACGACATATGTATGAATGAAGAAAATGAGTGAGTGGGGATTTACATGAGACGACAAAACATGGTCCAAACCTTATAATTAAGTTTGAAGGGAGACAACAAAGGAAGACAACAAAATTAAGTGCCATCATATTTATGTAAAGAAATAACCTACCAAATTATGCTCCTGGCTGTGATGACTCTTCTGACTCGAACTGCTCGCCGTCGTGGTCGACTCTGATTCATCGTATGACGAAGCACACCCACCACCTCCTCCGCTACCACCTCCCACACTATAACCCCCACAAGAGCTTTCGCTTAATGGAAGCAGTTCATTGTCGTACACTCCTATGAAGCTCTTAACGTTGGGCATCCGTCTGAGAAAAGTTTTAAGATTCGAGTCCAACAATAGCTTCGCTGTCCCCACCCGTGGGAAACACCAGGGAAGTTCTTGCTCGCTGAGCAGTTGTGGGAAATGTGTGCGAACCTGGAGGTCTAAATATACCAGGGATGGACCAAGTTTATACAGCCATGCACACAAATATTCCCAATCCGGCTCCGTCTTTATGAACACTTGGGCCGAAAAACTGCGAAGTTTCAGTTCTTCTCGTAACTTCAACGTTGAAATTTTGCGAAAGTCTTCCCCACTGAGAACTGTCCCATCCGAGTCGAGGTCCAGTCTGGTCAATCTAAACCAAGTGGGATTACTTTAATTCATGCAAAATCAGAGAAAAAATTGGAGCCGTACCTCGAGTAATGGCCTGTTTTCATTATGTTGCATAAAATGTCAATTATGTCCACCCTGCGAACCAACGTCCACTGCTTTTTGGCTCCAGTGTAACGATACGTAAACTCTTGCAGCGAGGGCATCAACGCCATAAATTCCTCGAGAGCATTTTTATTCATGAAACATTTATTGTCCGTCGTGAAGGTAAACTTTTTCAGATTTACGAGCGTTTTACGGAGAGATTCTTCCGTTGGAAAGAATACGTTCTCAGCCCCCGGAATCATTTGTGGTGATGGAGAAGGTGATGGCGTGGGTGTTGAGGTGGACGAAGTACCAGAACCACCACCACCGCTGTAAGAGGAACTTGACGAGGGATCTTTTTGGAATTGGAGGGTAAGAATGGACAACTGAGGACAAGATGTGGACAACATTTCTCGAAATTCACGAAGTGCTTTCTCCGTATAAAGATTAAATTGGATGAATTTCAGTTCAGTTATTTGGGCCCCGTAGGTAGTAAAGAAATACTCCTCCCAAGTTTGACGAGGATTTCTGGAAATTTTTAGGTTACAATTAAGCCTTGCAAAAATTCCGGTAATACATTTATATTTCCATTTCCTCGGGGTGGAACTGGAAATAGATGATTGAAATCTACACCCACCTATATTTTGAATGCATGTAATCAAGTATCCCAGTTTTATACGGGATCGGTGGCGGATCCTCAGGGAAAGAAGCGAAGAACGCGAAAGCATGTAATGGATGAATATTGCATAGCCTTGACTTCTTGGAGGGGGCACAACTCTTCTCAAGCACTTTCATCAAGTTCTTGCAGTCTGCTTTGGTGTGAAGTAGAATTGGTTGGATTCGGGTCGAGAGTTCGAAAGTGGCGTCCGAATGCCAAGCCTGGTTCACGTAACGCGTTGCTTTCAGATCTTCCACGGAGAGAAAGGTACAGATTCGCTGGCGAACCTGAAAATAAAATGAAAGGATTGCGTTGTGTGATCCTGCTCAATGAAAAATGTTAATGGAGCCCTTGGGACCATTTCAGCTTACTTAAGTACATATTTATGCACATATGTAGCTTATGTAGTTAGCCTTGAGCCAAGTTAAAAATAAAAGTATTTGCGAAAGTGATTTTTTGCGTTCGTCACTGCATCGTCGTTGAAGATGCATTATGTGCAAACTCACTTTTTAGTTGTTTCATCCATCTCATGGTAAAACCCATGTAGGAATTATAACGAAAACGCCTAATAAATAAGGTAGCACATAATAATGCACCTTCAACAATAGAGAACACGCTAGAATTCGCTGGATGCTATGATATTATGCGAACAAAGACAAATTTCGGACAAGTTATGAGCCCTTTCCAGTGGCCGCGGAAGCCGTGGGGACATTAACCTTGTAGGATAGGGGAGGAAGGGGTTTATTTATATAACATGGGCATATGATGGGGACGTCAAATGCCCGTGGGGACATTGTCCCTCGGTCCCCACAATTCCGCGGCCACTGGCCCTTTCATGCATACATGAAATCTACATGGTCGTAAATTATACTGCAAACACATTATTCAAATCATTTGCTACGTGGGTGGGTGGTTATTCTGTATGTGCTTGATTCAAGAATGAAGAAAGCCGCCTGCCAATTAATTTCAGCTCTCTCTACATTTGTTTGGCTTTCACATTCACTCGACCTCAACTTCATCAAATATTAATTAATTTAAATTGCGACTTTCCCTCAAAGTGTAAATTGCCTTTTGTTTGATTTTGGTTTCTAGATATCAATCAAATGTTATTTTAGTTTGTAGTAAGTTTGAAAACCATCCGTATTTACTCTCTTTCTGCATATCCACCCACACGTTCGTCAATCCAATCCACAATCTGTTCATGGCAGAAACAAAACAGTGTGATATGTATGTGTACATCAATACATTTACATTTAATACCCACAGGCGTGAACAAGCATTGGGTTGAAATCCAATAATAAGGATTTGGAACAATACAGTGTGATAATTACGATTCAATAAATTAAGTAATTATCGCACTCATAATCATACCCCGGACAAATATTTTTTTATCCTACCCTACTCATGCAACACGAGTAGGGTAGGATAAAAAAATATTTGTCCGGGGTATGCTCATAATCCGTTATCAGTGAAAGGATTTCCAATTCCAACAAGTGCAAAACGAACCGTTTGAGACGACACATGCTTTGTTGGGTTGAGTGAAAGGTTAACATTCTCACTTCAGTCCCTCATACGTAAACCTTTGTAGTGTCAATCTCACTTTTGATTAATTTAGTAGGCTAGACATACACACAATTTTTCTACTGGCGACTGACTAGAAACGACGACGCAAATCGGTGTCAAGAATTGTCCGTAGAATTCAATTTCCTTTCCCCCCGAATCTCTCAAACTCAAAGGTAATTTAATTAAATTGGCTTTGATTTCATTTTAATAAATAAATGTCGTCTCGACATCATGAAAGAATTCCACTCTTTGATTGACAATATAGCTTCATTTCCGTATATCTTGAATAGCGCATTTCATGAACTGTGCCAACATACGTACGTATGCAAATCATGTCAAATGCCTTATACGAATATGTGTACAACACGTATGCATTTTTCCCCTGAACTGAAAATGAAAACCGTTTCACATCATAAATTGAATGAGTAAACCTTACCGTGGCAAAACCCAGAGGGGTTTGATGTACCCTACGTTGCGAATTGTGACGAACCTTGGCCCCAAATTTTGAAGATGGTTGTAACTTTGATTCCATTTTCGTTTCGCCGTGCGTCACACACCTTGGTTTAGATTCAGGTTTTAAATTCACCTTGTAATCTGAGAGATTGCTCTGCTACTTCAATTCCACTGCGAATCCTCGTCCAACACGGTTGAGTCGAGATTCACTATATTTTCACTGCAATGTTGAGCCGCTTTCACCTTCAGAATATTTTGACGGGCACCTATCTATGTAGGTGTTCAGTTGTATGTATGTAAAAGTTGTGGTATACATAAAATCCACTGGGAACTAGCAATACGTAAAGTTTACTTCACTCACATGGGATTGCTTGCTTTCTCTCCAAGCTATATCCCTAAATTTGTATGCCTGCCAGACTTTCACTAACTGTTACAAAGTGAAAATTAAATCAATTCAGGATTCATTTTTCAGGTTCGAAAATCCATCCAAATTTTCATCTGACAGCGAGATTGTCACGAAAGTGGGCATTAATAGAGTTTCCAAGTCCATCAGTTTGTAGCCTTCGACTGAGAGCTTTTATTGTGTCGGGAGGAGACTGCAAAACCTTCCGGATTACATGTGAGTGAATGTGAACATGAAAACGACGACCACTAAATTCTGCATGTCCATTCCCAGCGGAAATCGTTTTTCAATCTCATCCAGCTTTATGTATCTCGCTCAGAGAGAGAAAGTATTTCATGACATGGGAGAGGAGTGAAATTGATTTAGTTTTATTAGTATTATTCAACACTTGGACAGGACATGGACACTTTGTAATCTTGCTGTGTCACTCGTATCACAAGGCTGGTTGGGTTTTCTAGATATTTCTGGGAGGAAAAGATGGTCACAAAGGGACAAATTCGTCCTTGTCGTCCTGAAATAAATATAAATAGTCCAAAATAATATACACACAAACATATTTTTGCATATTATGCAAGTAAGTTTTTTTTGCATTGTCAATTTATGTGGACATGTGTGTCACCCAAACTTATTAATATACATACATATTTATGCATACAAAATACTTTTGCATTGTCACTTTATTTATAAATGGACATGTACGTACGTGTCACCCAAACTTATTAATTAAAAATCCCATTAATAACCTACTCTTCCAGGAAATATAATGACGCCAAAAGTAGGTGATGATGTTGAGTTGATTGATGTTCAAATAAACAAACAACAATGTTATTCGACATAACTTTGTTTGGAATCCTGTCATCCTTTTTCCAGTTCTGCCTGCCACCCACCTTCGTCCACCCACCAGCTTTATGTTCAAATAGACTTCTTCTTACACCCAATGTGACGCAGTGTGTGCAATGCAATGCGAAACTGTGACCTTTAATAAATACGATTACTGCCTCAGCTCTGATGAGCTTCCGGGCTTATGACATGAGTCAATACTTGCTATAAAAACAATGCGCGTGGTCTGAGGTCATGTTACGGATGGATTTTGTGACTCATTCCTGAAAGGACAGTCGGTCGGTAGGAAGAGAGAAAACTAAATTAATCCGTAACGTAAGCCCATAATGCATGCAAACAAGAAAATAAGAGATTCAGTTTCATCATCTTAAATGTCACATTATGCGAAGGATGACGGTTTTGCTCACTCGCTGTCGTCTCCAATCTTGGAAAATTAAAATGTAATTGTGAGCAGGGAAAGGCAAACCGAGTGACGGGCAACTTTTACCGGTGTCAAGTTGAACGCAGATGTGATGAACATTTGTAATTTTGTCGTGTAACAAGATGAGGGAAACTCGATCCTGTCTCAGGCAACGAGTTTCTTATGTTGCACAAAGAAGACCAGCGAAATTATTTAGGGATACTTGAGACGTACTTTACGTAAGTAATGATGACATTGATAAGTGGGTTTTGTGGTGCTGGCAAAAAAAACTTCAACTTGTCCATACTTTTTTTAAAGGAAAGGAACAACAAGAATTCTTTTAAAATTTGTATTTTTTTGCTTAAAAATTGCCTTATTTTTTTACCGTGTTAAATTTTACTGAGAAAAAAAGACGAGAAAATATAATGAGATACTTTCTCTTACTTTATTATTTTATTGGCTGAATGAATCGTGTTCAATTAAATTTACATTAAACAAAAAAAGATTCGTTGTAGTCCAGGAAGTCAGAATTGTATGGCGTGTACTATCTCAAACTTGTGCTTTGTACTTTTCATGCATGAAGTACCACCATCCTTTCCCTACTCTTTTTATTTAAGAAAATTCATGCAAATTTAATACAAAAGTTGCAAAAATAAAGCAAATATATAGGTACTGTACATACACCAAGATCACTGCCTATTTATTACAAGTATTCGAAGAATTGTCGTAGACAAGTCGAGCCAGGTAAAAGTAAAATAATAAATCAAACTTTCTCCACTGTTCTCCACACTTGAGAAAACATGCCCAATTTATATTTAAGTTGCAACTTTCAAACATAAAAACTTCTTTCCATCCATGATTTTAATTTAGTTTTCATCAAATTGCTAATTATTCAGTCAGACGAAACATATTCAATTTCCCTCTGTTGACCAACCGCTTGGCCATGAGTTGTTTTCCTTCTGCTTGTAAATCTGCATGCAATGAAGTTAATTGGATGGAAATTGAAGTGACTCTCTCTCAAAGGATAGACAGACGGCGACATCAACAATTCTCAGTACTGTCGTCGAGCCACTTTATTCACTCACTCACTTTTCGCCAGTTTGTAAATAAATAAGTAAGTACTTACACACAGCAAATGCAATTCGTGTTCTTGAGCACGGAGATTGAGCATTGGCTGCCAGACGGAATAAGTCACGAGCACGTAGACAGAGTGACGATGACATGGTGGAGAAAGTGAGCGAAATCTGGCTACATGCAAGGAGGAAAAGTGAGAATGTTTGCCATTTTACGCGAAAAAAGTGAAAGCATTCCGCACACAGAAACACGACAATAAAAAAGAATTGCATAAAAGTTACGAGGTATTAAATAATAAATGCGACGAATTTTGCGCTATAAGTTGCATTCGGCAGCAAGATAAATCCTATTTTCATCTTGAAATGCTATGTATAATAAAAGCAAGTCTAGTCTTCCGAAAATATAATATTTTATAAGTCAGCTTCCACTTGAAATACTTTGCATATTTACATAACAGATTGAATTTTGCATCCAGTCAGGTCTACGACCACATCTCCTCCAGCAACTTTCTCCACCACGACCGCAAAAGTAAAACTAAACCAATTTATTTATTTTGCATGGAGGACATATTTAGTATTTGAGGCGTTGGCCTCATTTCATGGATGGATGTATGGCACATGCAAATCTTATAATTTACATAAACTGTTTAACATCCGGATAGAAGAAAATTATAGTGTATAAAATTCCCAGTATGTAAATACATGCATAAATCCATTAAGAAAATTGACCAAAATTTGGATTAACTAAAAGTCATTAACTGTTATTAAAATATTATGCAAAACGTTGAAACAATTTTTTATAGATAGTTCACGAGTTTCTTTTCATAAAAACTTGGAAATATTTCATTTCCACATTTCAGAAGCAGCATTTATCATATTTTAGGCAAAAATGCAAGTCAACGACTGTGCGAGTACATAGTATGCGTAATTTCTGAGAATAATGATGACATATCACTTCATGGTTGAGAGATGCAATTCATACCTTTGTAATTGGAGATGGCATAGAAATATTTTAATTATGATGAATGGGTTGACTAAATTGTAGCATAGCGTGAAAGTTGAAAATAATTAATGACTTTTTCCCATTATGCCGACATCACCCACCAGCATAACACTATTATCTAAATGTGAACAGGTCTTTTTTGTCTGATCCATTCTCATATTTCCCATAATGAAACTTTGCAAGTTATATATGCAAAATGAGAGGTCTATAATTTTATTTTCGTAAATGGTGTGAATTTTATGTAAATTTTATGGACCAAAATTATACTTACAATTTACTCATTAATACATGCATTACTACCCATCTTTTGACTTCCTTCTTGGAAAAGTGTTGTATTGCTGCGTAGTCAGGATGTAAATCCTTCGCTAAAAAGCATGTCCCACTTTTCTAAATTAACTCACACAGTAATGGCCATAATTTCTCGGTAGGTATTTGCACAATTAGTCTTCCAGCCTAATATTAATCTCTATTTCAGTGAAAGCTATTCAAATATTTCCCAGAACACGTGAAGAAACACGATATGTACGTATCTTGCCATGCCATCCTGACCTATTGATTCTTACCTTTACTGCACAAAAGGTAAACATGTTTTCATTTTTAGTTAATGATTTAATAGCTTTTTCCAACTCTAGAGAAATCCAGGAAGGAACCAGTTCATTCCGAATTTATCTCGTGGCGAAGGTTGGCGTTTACATGGATCATACGTCACAGATCTTAAATCAACGTTGCTACTTATATTCAGTTGAGGTAGGATCAAAATAGAAAAGTAAACATACATAAATATGCACATCCCCGATGTATGTATTTACAGCAGTTAATATCCGTACTTATTTTGCCTCTAGACAGCCTGAGGGACTTTCTCCATAAATAAAGTCTTAAACCATTCCTTTCTTATTGCATGCACTTGAATAACGTGGGAAGCGTTGTCTCTCTAAAAATGTTCTAGATTCAAAAAATGACCCTTTTTTGTGTGGGATATCATTCCCTCCGTTCTAATTTTGTCCGACACAGCCTCCTCTGCTCCTCGATTTTCCGGTTTCTTGGATTCATCAAAGTTGAGATCAAATTCTCCATGAGCACGAAGTCACGTTGGTCGGCTGTGACCTCTTTCTTCATTTCGTTTCGTTCGCTACTATCCAATCCAGAGTCAGAAATCATTATGTTCACTTCATTAAATTAAAATTGGTTGGCTTTGACTTTGAGAGAAACTACACTCTCTCGATCTCGATGAGAAGGAAGGAAGGAAGTAAAGTAGTCTCAGGTTGTGCAGGAATCTTTGAGAGGAGAAAAAGAGTCAACTTTCCCCAAGAAGAAAATCATGGCAAAAGTGAGTGTTTCAGGATTTTGTGTGACGCAAACAATTTTGACGACCGTTTACACTTTGACCTGCTCGAAATGCCAGTATATATGCTTGCCTATGACGGGTGGTAACTGGATGGGTGGAATTTATCCCAGAGTGATTGCTATGCATACACACACAAGTTTAGTTTCCACACAGCTACATAAGATCAATATTTCTTTTTGCCAGCTTTCTCCAACTTCCTGCATTGTGTCAGAATCAGTGGCCGCGGAAGCTTAAGGACAATGTCCCCACGGTTATTCGATGTCCCCATCATCTCCCCATCTTATATAAACCACTCCCTCCCCCATCCTACAATGTTAATGTCCCCAGATGTCCCCACAGCTTCCGCGGCCACTGCGACACTACATAGTTTTCCAGGATATGAATATTTTTTTCACATCAACCTTGAACTATGCATGCACAGGTCTTTACACTCCTTCTTTGAGTGCATCTTAGCATTGTAGTTTATGTACGAATTGTGAAGCGTGATGATGAGCGAGGATGGTTGAGCGAACAAATGTGAAACATCAATTTGGATTGCTTTCTCTTTGAACAGTTCTTTCTTCTACGTGGGTTTTTTTAGAGAACTGAATTATTTCTGGGTCATGTGCATACCTTGACATTAGAACTCTGCAACAGATAAATCGAATGCAAGCAAGGGCGTATGATAACGAGACCACTTTTGATTTAGTCTCAATTTTGATTAGATTTCCAGTCCTCTACTCCCACAAACAAGTACATTTTTTGCGTTGGTTTGGTGCGGAGACTGATACCTGATAATTGGAAAGTGGAACCTTGGTTCTAGATATTTTTTTCTGTGGTGAATGTGGGTGTGGGTAAAGAGCACTTGTTTTATGTTTTCAGAAACACCTACGCATCAGTCGTGCCTTGTCAAGAATTAATCTAAACGTGATGAGGATAGAAGCTTGGATGCCTTCGAGGCCTAAAATCTATCAAGGTATTCATAGCAAATCAAGGATTACTTTAATATGAAATAAGATTGCATTTCTCAATTTGGCACTGAATTATGTCAAAATAAGAAAGATTGGCAATAAGATTGTATTAATAGGTATTACTTATATTCGTACATTATAAATACGTTTGTATTACTGTATTAAAAAGTTGATCTGTCTGCGAACGATATCTATCTTTAATATTCATTAATTCCAGACAAATGAAATGGAAAATTGTGTATAATTTGATTAAAAATTTACAACTTTCTTTAAAAAACTTTTTTTTCAAAAACTTTCCACGAACGAAATGATCAAAAGAGTTTAAAAACTATTGTAATTGGTTGTGAAAAGAGAAGCAAAAGTTGCCCAAAGTTTTTTTTTGGATATCAAGCATTAAATTTCTATAAGCAAAATTATATTCCGAGTGACAAACATGATGAAAGAATTGATTGATGATTGGTTATAACGTCATTAATTTATTTTTTAAGAAAATTAAATATTGTACTGTTGTTCGAAACAGGTTGGTTTGGATGTTAATAAAAAATGACGGGTAAATATTTTACGCAACATTTTATATAACATATTTTGTATAACCGTTGGGAGAAATTAAGTCACGAGTCAACGACGACGTGATTAAGATTCAATTAATTACTTGAGATTAATTAAGATTTTGTCTGCAAATTATATAATTTACAGGCAACAGAAGATTTAAAGTCTTGCTATGTATTTTCACAATTGCGTCATTTTTGTGCGTACGTACTTATGCACGCCGTGCTAGAAAGTAGAGTCCCACTCGCCTGTTGCGTCATACAAATTTGGTGTCAATTTGCTTCATCATGAAAACTTTGCCTTAATCACATTTTGTATATATGAACCAAGCGTATAAGCGTTTTATCAGAGTTTCCGCTATAATGACGAATAAGACAATGGATTGGCGTCAGGTTGAACAATTGGCCATATTCTGTTCTAATTTCATTTGTCAAGCAGTTCCACTTGGCCAAATAACGCACAAAGAAGTGCTCACTCAAGTTCGGAATCCGAATGATTAAAAGCAATATACGCCTCTTGTTCTAGAGTTGTAATTCGAGTTGATTTTCGAAGTGTGTATACGATTGAGGCTGGAAAATTAAATAAATAAAGCGGTGCCTTTTTGTACGACTTATTTTTGGATGAATCGATCGCTTTGTTCAAATAATTTTATAAATCGAATAATTAATGTGAAACCTAAACAATTGACAATCACACGAATTCGACAGAATTATAAATTGGACCTCATTAGTTGTTAATGTGATTAAATTTTCGTATTGAATGCGAATTAATTTAATTAAATTGGGCAAATAAAACAGAGTTAAATACGTCATTCACTCAAAGCGAAAAGCATTTCTTTATTCTTTTCCCAATTGCTAGAAAACCAACCCGGGCCGGTTTCTTTTATGTAAAATGACTGGATCAGATAATAATTAAATCAATTTCGCAAGTGCTACATAAACTGTTTAGTTTGCACGCCTAATAGAACTATTATGTTTTTGTTATATTTTTGGGACATAAAGAGATACGTAATCCAAAATAGTTTATAGTATGCTTTTCAGTGATTGGATAGTTAGTGAGAAATGGCGAGTCTATTCATCTCTTAATTGGCAGAAAGATTGCGTAAACTTGCTGTCAGCATTTACCTTTCTTTCAATGTAAGGTAGAAATTCTACCTTAAACGATTTAGGCTGACTTTCTCTTCATTGAGCTATTAGTGCCGTGATTAATTCATTCTCGACACGCAAAGATGATACTAAAAATAGTACTGCGTTGTCTGATGGGCTACCAAATTTGAGGTAAGCAATTCTAGTACAACCTCAATCAAGCTAATAGATGAACATGTAAGTTTGTTTTCTCAATTTGGGCGTAATTGATACCGTTTATGATTAGTTTTTTATACAGATTATATGTTTTTTTTAAATAAAAATCACTGATGAATATTATTACAGTTTGTAATCGAAACCAATTAATTACCAAAATGCCATCCATGATATCCGTTAAAGAAGATACATATCTATACTGTCGTATGTATACTGTTTATTATATTCAATTTTATGATCATTACCACAACTTACAATTAGATTTCGGCTGCAAAATTTGAAATGTGAATAAATAAGCAGTGAAAGTTGAAACTATGTGTAGGCATTGAGTACAAACAAACAGAAACTTTGCTTTGCAATCCTTGATGAAAATTCCCTACCACCTTTACGGATGCATTTGGGACCCAAATTTTGGGTAAGAGTGAAACGATTGAACTCCGCAGGTATCAAAACAACTTGGAAAAGATGAATCTGCTATAAATTGGACATGAAATAGTTGTGTATGAGCATGCATAAATTTGTCGCGTTAAGCTTTCGACTTGATCATCGCACGAGTAGATTGTCCCAATTTCTCCGTCATCTAAAACTTTCACCCACATATTATCATACCCTTTGATCTCCACATGTACTATTACTATTACTACGACTGCTACGTACTACGAGACCGAGACGGATGTATGTACATACAAAATTGCGAATTCACCTAATTTCCATTTTAATGAGAATAAAGTTTTAGAACACTGCGAATTTTCGCATAAAGTCCAGACGATGAAATACACATTGGCTTATTGTTAGTTTCATTTTATCCCATATGTAGTAGGGTAGCCTAGCATTTTTGCTCACAATTTCAAGGGAAAATTTGCTATTTTGCAAATTATGGGCACAGTCATGAGAAATCGTGCTTATCATTCTCGCGAATTCCAGGATTACACTTGCCAAACCCACTACGCAACAGATTCTCAGACTGCACAGAAAAATGCATTGACACGAAATGAGGAATCCTTATCTTAACTCGCAGCACGGATTAGTTTCAGCATTACAAAGTTTTTATAACTCCTCTCGTTTCGTGTAGTACAAAATAAGCTGCTTTCACCAATAGTATTGCCGCCGTAAACATTTTCCGCGTCATATAAAATTAGTTGGCTTCTTGTGACGCAATTTGATATGAAAAATGGTAAAATTTCCTGATCATTCTAAATACGACTTATAACGTCTAGACCAACATAAAAATGGGATTCAACCCCCATCCAGATTCTGTTTTGTCCAGAAATCATCAATACTCTCGAAATAGTACGAGTTGATCAAGATTACCGTGTTGATGATGAGTATTATTAGATTTGTCATTTAATATTAGACGGAAGATGACATTGAACAGGTGGCAGAGATGAAAGGAGGTCGTCCTGGGAGGAGGATGAATTCGGATGGTGCAGTAAGTTCCCGACAAATCTCATCTATCCAAGACGCTAATTGGGTTCAACGGGTCGACTACTGCGTGTACAGAGATACTTTTTCATCAACAACACGCTATTTACCACCGCATTCAAATTCTCCTGATGACTCTCAAAGGGAAACCTTGAGACTTGACTTTCTCTCAAAATCTACGTCGCGTGCAACATATTTTCCATTCCTTCTTGAATAATTAACGAAAAGGAGAAAGTAAGCACCTGACCTGACAGAGAGTGCGGATGGATGCGGACCATACATATGCAAATTAGTAACGGCTTATGCAAATTCTTATCTCATTATGCCAAGGAAGTAAGTGATCTTAGAAAGCACGTCAGTCAGAGGAAAGCAACGCAACACAACACACGCAGCCGAACAACAAGTCGTTCCTTTATGCGTTTCCGACCAAATAATACAAAAAAAGTTGGTCTTCCTCCTAACTCATCTACGTTTTCGCTTTCTCTTCGTTATATCAGATTTAAAAATAGAATAGAAAAAGGGACGACGTATTTCTGGAGGGAGAAAGTAGGAAGAAAAAAAGAAGTAGTAAAAGAGATAAATTCAGCGGATGAATAGAGTTCAGGATCGAAATCCTTACAACTTTCTTTTCTTTTTTATCTATCTCTTCAAAAAGAAGAAGAAGAAAAAGTATCAAGCTGAGCTGAGAGTGGAAACGCTTTAAAATTTTAAGACTCTCCTCTTTCCACCTTTATTACCTCCTTGAAATCCTTTCTTATTTAGGGATTAGATGAGATGGATGAGAATAATGGGTTATAAATGGATGGATGGATGGACGAAGGAACGACATAGATACTTACCTTAGCTTTGATCTTCTTCTGCATGGGCTGCCCAGTACAAGGAGATTACAGTGGTTTTGAAATCGGTAAAATCAAGCGTATATCTGTTGCTCACGAATCTATAAATAAAAATAGGTATATATAGATTGAGACACCATTGTAATAAAGAAATTAGACGGAGTCAGTCACGCACAACGGTGAAATTAATTTGCCTTTTCGTCGACACAATACCAATTTCACCATTTGTTTACTTTATCTTGTTAGAAATGAGCTTCAATTTCAATGGAAATGAGACTGACTAATTGGATTAAAATTTACTCCAACAAAGTACACAAAGAAATGATATGCATGCATGCAAGATATTATGTGTATCTACTTTTACTCAAACTCACCGTACTGTACTCACTTACCAAACAAGTCCATTTGTAGAGAGAGAGAAAAAGTGTAAACAAGAATAAATGTCTAGAATTGGCCGAGATGGGAGATGAAGATTGATGAGAAATGAGGGAGATGGATGCGATGTATGTGGGTAACCTTGTTGAGGTCAGTGCTGCTGGTGAAAGTGGTGGAGAAAGCCAAGTAAGTACGAAGCAGGATGGATGCTGTCTAGAGTTCGACTAGGAGTGAAAGTGGGCTCGTACCGCATTTTATGGAGAAAGCAAAACCAAACCAAAGCGAAACCTTTTCTGCATCCGAGAACTTTCTCTTTCCGAATCAGGAAGAGAGAAAGTAGGATGATTGCCACAAATTCGCGAGTGTGGTGCAGCCTCAATAGTAGTAGAAATTTTGTACGATTGCATTTTTTCTGCGTAGTCGTTTAGACTTTTCTTCCTTATTATAGGATGTAATTGCTCGTAGTGTGTACGCATAGTATATACGAACTTATGCAGATGATATTATGCGTATTTGTAGGATTGATTTCGTCCTTAAAACAACTTTTACTACCCCAGAAAACAGACTATTTTGTCTGCCACAAAAGTGAAACTAAACTAATTTTCCTCTACGTAGACAGATGAGGCCTCCGGATGAAGTTGTAATTATTCCAATTATTTACGATAGTATGGGCAAATTTACTCATTTTCGGGAGGAGGATTCTGTCCCACATTGCACACGGGTTATTCATCTACCAGAACTGGGATTGTGTTACGTACGTAAATGTACGTAGGTGTTTTATTATTAATTTTCAAAAGGTATGTTCCGCACTGTTTCTCACCAAAATTTTGATGAAAGAACAAACTTCAAATACATTTAGGAGGCTGTGATTTTTTTCAGCTCTGTGGGTTAGCATAAACACTAGCAATAAATCGGCAAACTTTACCTCGACGGAAAAAATGCTAGATTTGCAAATTAAATATCGTAGTGTGATTTAATTTTTAATGCTGGATGGGCAATACGTGTCGCAGATTTATGATTGAATGCTTAAAATTTACGATGAAAACTGCCCAACACAAAACACAAATTCAATTGGGTTAATAATTTTAAATGATGGCGAAACGAGGTCTCGGGCAAAAAGTCGCCACGACGCTCAAAATCCGTTTCTTCCACAGAAAGGCTCCGGAAACTAGAAGAACCAATAATGAGAGATCCGCGATTGAAACTGTCCTATTTAGCAGATGAGATGGGTGTTCCTAAACCAGCAATTTGTTCCATGTTAACTGAAGACTTAGGTATGAAAATGGATTCCGTCCGTTGGGTACGAAAATTGCTTTCGGCATCTCAAAAACATGATCGAGTCGACTTTTGCAATGCCAATTTTAACCTATTAAATGAAGACTTGAACCTGCTCAATATTTTATTAGCTAAATATGGTACCTGAGTTTACTATTATGACCCGGTGACTAAATAATAATTCCCTCAATGGAAGCAGGAGGGGTTGCCACCGCCCGAGAATTGAAAAGTGCAAAAATCTGACAAAAAATTGATGATGACCATTTTCAAGGATATCAAAGGTCCCCTCCTTATAAAATTTATTGCTGGAAATACTACAATAAATGGGGCCGCGTATGCAGGTACCCAGAAGGAGCTGCGTCCTCCGGTTGAAAAGAAACGTGGGGTCAAAATATAGAGTTGGCCTTTTTTTAGACGACAACGCTCCTCCTCATACCTGGCTTTTTGCGAGGGTTAGGGCAGACGAAAATCGCTTTACCTGCACAAACCACACCCCGAGCAGTCCAGACTTGACCCTTAGTGATTATTATTCGTTTCGAAACTTAAAGAAAGACATCAGGGGAAAACGGTTTTCGGATGATAATGATATGAAGTCGTAAATTTTGGCATATTTTTCGAGGTAAATTTTAATGAGTTATTGCTAGTGTTAATGTTAACCTACAGAACTGAAAAAAATCACAGCCTCCTAAATGTATTTGAAGTTTGTTCTTTCATCAAAATTTTGGCGAGAAACAGTGCGGAACATACCTTTTGAAAATTAATAATAAAACACCCACGTATATTTGCATTGCCAAAAAGTTAGTTGCCGAATTAAAATGTAAATTGAATACGAATATTGGACGAGAAAGTGGTTATGTCAGTCAGGTTTACGACATACATAACTCCTGCAAGTAAATACATACAACGGATCAGAATATACGTAAAATCTGGCTTCATTCTGCTACAAGCAAACCAAGCTTTTATCGAGATTTGATTTCTTCTTGTCAGAAGAGAGAATAATCGAGTAGTAGCTCGAGGAACTGTTTGTTCCCGTGTTCATGCTCATAACCTTGTCCCCATGCAGCAATATATAGTTAAAGAAGAATAATGTATATAAACGAGGGCGGATTTTCTTGCGAAATTTATTTGTACAGGAAAATATATACACAAGTAAATACATCCCTCCTCACCCTTCACCCTTATTACTCTCTCAAGTAAGTAATATAATTGAGTTGATGTTTTTTTCCTGTCGAGTAGGAGTGAAGATCAACTCTGGCTTAACTAGAGTTTGCAAAAAGAAGGAAACAAAAACAAGGGCTTACGTACATACTCGCAAGAAAAAAAGACAAACAAATCGACACGTGCGAAATCTTAGCAATTTTCCGAGAAAGGAAAGAGCCTCCTTAATTATAATCACGACTTGGAGAGATGAAATTCGCCGAAATGGTAATAACGGTAATGTGATATTTACAAATTCCTTGCCAAGGTCAAGCTCAGCGAAGAACTGTGTATGTGCAAATGGACATGCATACATGTCCTCTTATCAGTGGCCGCGGAAGCCGTGGGGACATTAACATTATAGGATAGGGGAGGGAGGGGTTTATATAACATGGGGAGATGATGCGGACATCGAATAACCGTGGGGACATTTTCCCCTCAAGCTTCCGCGGCCACTGCGTCCCACGTATAATAAAGTTTAAGCAATATTAATTCCAATGTACTTATCACCAGGAGAGTTATTCACCCGTGGAGAAAGTAAGTGCTGCTGGTGGTGCTGCTACATATTTCTATTTTCTGCACAAAATATACAAAATCCCTGATCTCGATCGATACGAAATAAATGAACAATGTCAGGCATACATACATAGATCAGGCAAAAAGATGTTATCATAAAATTCAAGGACGAACAATGTGTTGCGTTATGGGTTCAACTACCGTTTCGCACTTTTACTTTACTTACAAACCTACAGGGACAGGACAACATGAAAAACATTGATAAGAAGACCGAGGAGAAAGATATGTCACTCAGAGTTGAGCCACATATTATGTTGGGATAGGATTAAATGTGCCAGTGTGTGGTTTGGTTTGCTATTTCGTAAATATAATTGATTGGGAGAAAGCAGACGTGTCCTTTTATAGACTCGTTACACTCGGCTGTCACTCATCCTATGCAGTGGCCGCGGAAGCGTGTCCCCCTGTCCCCACGGTTATTCGATGTCCCCATCATCTCCCCATGTTATATAAACCCGTCCCTCCCCTATCCCACAATATTAATGCCCCACGACTTCCGCGGCCACTGCTTCTATCTCCTCACCTAAAAATGAGTACCAACAAAAGTATGTACCCCAAAACATAAAACCTAATGCATTTTAGGTACTACCACCTTTTCACGATGGGATTGTGACTTTTGAACGACAGAGTAATGAAATTGGGGAATGATTGTCATCCGCAAGCACGCTGGCTGAGAGAGAAAAAGACATCACTTTTCGCTCTCCTGTGGTTTCACTAGTGACATGAGAGACTTGCTTTCACTGAGAGAAAGTGGTGCTCAATCCATCCGTCGGGATTAACCACACATACATTTATATAAATGTCTTTAGGTATATCTACGCCGCGCACATTCTTTCTTTCCATTGGCAGCTTCGAAATGCAGAGAGAACGACTTTTTAATAATTGATGTAGAAAAACATTTCTACAAATAAAGTGGATTCAGAGACAGGGTTAAAAAATAGCATCCAACCAACAACTTGATAAACTTTGGGTAAAAGTTGTGTCCTTGAGCCCCCAGTGAGACAAATTTGACACGGTTTCCCACTTTGTCGTGAATATGTATCGACTGGAAACCTCGGAGTACATGTGTACGTAACATATCAATAAAACGTGCAGAATGACCACACTGGGAATTTTGGTAAAAATTCTCGAGCCAACAACTATCCATGTACTTATCAGGAATACATTTTTGACTTGTATATCTACACTTTTTTTTGGACTTATGTATTTTGTTGTTGGATTCAATTCCCCATATTTCTGACGGATTTCATTTCACAGAAAGCGATACATAATCCCACGCCCAGCAGTGGGTTTGATGATAAGATGGGTACAAAAATATCTAATTAAGTGGAAAGAATTATTACTTTATCAAACCGCCCCTTTTTTGTTCTCTCTTTTTTATCCCTCTGGGTGTCCTATGGATCTTATTTATTATTTTAATTTTGTCTTTATTTTCGTTCCTAGCTACCTCGCTTTCTTTCTTTCCAAGTCTGGCTGGAGATACACTTGATGAAATTAATAAGATTCAGTGACGTCAAACCGTATAATTACAATGTTTTTTGTGGGTTGAATCCACTCCAACCAATATTGGGAAAAGTGTCACACATATAATTTCATAAGCTCGATGTTTTCTTTCTTTTCTTTATTATCAGAAAAAACACTTCGCTTCACTGACTGAACCCAATTTTAGTAGTTTCTCAGCTCAACACCAGAGCATGGATTCAATTATCTGGGGGATACCAAACCACGCCGCCGCTACCGCTGTTAACTGATAAGGAAAAGAAGCCACTTTATGGTTGAGGGAACAATTCAATTATGTGTTGACATAAGAGTTACACATATATCTAGACTTTCTCATGTAAGATGTGTAGTTCGGAGATCTTATTTTGCGTAACAGGAAAGATTATTTTGAAGGTTTAGAAATTTTGGAAGCTTTATGTAAGTCATAAATGGAATGAAAATGTGTGTAAGCTGGAAATATTATACAGCATAAGTGTTACGTACATAAGTATGGTATGATGTCCCACTAATTGCAGATGTGGTCTAATTGGGGCAATTAAATGGATGGTAGAGTGGATGCGAATTATTCCGTTTAGTTGAATACATAAACGGCACACAAATTATCTATGCTGGGTAAAGTGAAGGATCTCGTTTAATATGTTAAGAGGATATAAATTGAGAGTCAGTCATGCATCCCAATTACGTACGTACACATTTTCTGGAACGGCTTTTTACGGGAATGTTTCCAACTATTTATTTACTCGTTTATGGTCAAAATCTATGTAATTCAATTGGGGGGAGGTCAGGTAGTACAGTATAACATGGTTTATGTAAGCAATGTATTGGTTTGTATGTAACGATGAGGTGGAATAATCCGATTATATATAATGTAAATTATAACAGATGCCATACACTTATGAAAAACATGTAAATATTCTGATGGATTGAGATTTTAAAGAACATCACACACACGGCATGCAGACTTTCGAATCCTAAATGTGTGACCTATTCTGTAATACTCTGCCTGGAAAATGTTATATTTTACAAGTTTCACCTAATTAATATTTAGCATCAAGTCTTAATTAAGTAATTTTTAATGTAATTTAATCATTCTTAGCAATATGTATCGCCATATCAAGTTTTTTTATTAAAATAGATTATTAATCCAGTATCGATAATACTTCCATAGGAAAGATAATACTTTCTAAATCTGCCTCTGACGTTTCTCCTAGCTGCTGCTGAAACCCTTCCAAGAAAGAAAGTGAACATGGCTGAAAAACGATCTGGGATATCGGTTTCCTCCTAATTTCAGGATTTCAGACATGGCTGAACGCAACTCAATTATTTCAAGGTCAAAATCAAAAGATCAACTTCAACCGAAAGTCGCACAGTCTTTCTCTCTTCACTTCATTGTCGACAGTCAGTCATTACTTTCACTTCATTGAATTAAACTCGGTTCCTGAATTAAAAGTTGGTGAGGCACGAACGGGCAAAAGTTGTCTTGCTGATCAAGCTATTCAGTCAGATGCATACACAGCAAGAATAAAGAGTCAATAGGCAATTGGATCCTTAGAAGAACCAAAATGCCTCAATTTAGTCTGATATCTCGATATATTCGTTCAGGTTTCTTCTCCAGGAATTTAGTCGCATCGTGGGAAAATCACTCTGCTAAGGAATCTAGTGGGCCAAATTCTCCAAAATAAATGCCAATATACTTGTAAATGTCTTCTTAAGATATCGTAATCCAATTAGAACGAGTAGATTTGGAGTGATCACGAAGAAAGAGCAGTCACAAGACCATCCTGTTGTGCTTTGTTTTACACATTGTTCTCCAGAATCCCTACAGCCATCCATGAACTTCACCTACCTTTCTCCTGCAGATTCCTTCCGGTGATGGGCCAAGTAGAGCGTGATGATGATGGGTGAGCATTTCCTATTGGATTGGGGATCAACATCATTGTGAGGAGTAAGTAAAGTAAGACATCGATCTGTTTTGCTTTCTTGTGGGTTTTCTTCTCCTTCAAATGCTGCCAAATTTATTGGCAGCTTTTCCTCCTCAAGCCGTACCATCAGGTCTTCAGCACGTTCGAAAAACAGCCTATATACGGTGTTTTGTTGGGTGAAAGGTTTTAAAAAATCGCAATTTATTTTAAGTGCAGGTACAAATTGACAGGAATTGAAACCCCTTTGATTCATTTAGCCTTACAATTCTGGGTGATTTTTAGAAAGGGGTTAGTCGTCGTTTGTGGAGAAAGACTTTTGACCGTAAAGTAAAGGTTACTTTAAATGTCGTCGAATATGTTGAACCAATTAAGGGGTGACGTAAATTGAGAATGGCGAAGAGGACACTGTAGAGCACTTACGTTGTTAATGGACTACTAAAATGCGCTGTTTGTACAAATACTTATGTTGCAAATTAAGTTAGATATTTCTTGTCCCATAATGCTTCGATCTAATATTGAACATACAAATATATGTTCTGTAGTCCGTAAATGTCACCTGCTTCATATTTTGTTGGTGCAGTGAAAACACAAAGAAATCAGATTTGTTTGATGTATGTAAAGGTTAATATTTTCATATGCTCAATATTCAGAAATGTATAGCGTTTTGGAGACATTTGACTCAGTCAAAAACGGCAGTTAGAAATTTTTTCGATTTTACACCTGTAAAATTTGTTGAGTATCGAATGTAATCCAAAAATGAATTATCCCAATATCTTCTTCATATAATATAAACAAAATTCATAAATAACCCAAAGTGGCGTTGAACATTGCAAATATTTTGCAGATTTTATTTATTTGCAATTGGAAAAAAGGTCACAAAGTTTGGAGATTTTGTATACGATTAATACAGAATATCCACATACTTACGCGCACATACATATTATCTACATATTTCTTGTTATTGATAGCAAAGGTTTCCTCAGACTGCGTGGCCCTGACGCGTAGTGCATGGACTATCAGAATGTCATAAAATACTTGAACAAAGAGAACCGCAGATTATTGATAGCGCATTAAATTCCACGACCTTTATTGACAAAAAAGCATGTCCTGTACTTGAAATAGATTAAGATAAGCTCAAATTTTCCTGTCAGCTATAATACCGCGTATTAATGACAGACAGCATATTATTATTATTTAAGGACAAAGAATTAAAACTGCATGCATATTTAGGATAACCCAATTACTTCATTTTGGCAAAAACTATTTACCGTGACTGAACCGCATCATTTGTCGAGTTCCGTTGAAGCCGGTCATTACAAACGACAGGACAATGAAAACGATGAAAAATTTAGTACAACAGAAAAAAGGAAGCATAACATGCGTGTGCTATCTTTTACTGCAATCTCGCTGTACACAAAATATTACATACATGTGATCAGTATGTATGTACACAAGTACGTGTTTTTTACCACTGTACACAAAGTGAGGCAGGCAAAGGGTTGAGACTCGACTGACAAGAAAATGATAAAAATGGCACTATTTTTAGGAAGGTTATTCCCATCAGAACATAAACACTCATCGTTTACGTATTACTACATAAACTCACGAGATGATTTTACATAATTTGTTGGTTTTATTGCCGATCACTTATTACGAACTTTTCTTATCCCAAATAAAATTCTTAAAATGCTCGCCACTGACTGACCACTCGAGAATTTTCGAGTAATACGTACTTATGAAGATTCCTAATATCCGCTATCCTTGTCCTTACCCTTGCTCAGAGAGAGAGAAGATGATTAACAAAACAAACTCCAAAGATGAGACTCTTCCAGTGAAGATGAGGTATATATAATTATGTAAAGAAAATGATATCTACTGAAAGAATGAGACTGCTAAAACAATGGAAATATGAGATACTACTCCTACCCATAAGTATTGTCGGTTGGTGATTTGTCACGGTTGAGAGGAACTGCTTTGGGAAACCTTTTAGTAAGCATGTACATACACTTATGTACATTGAAACTGCACATAAAATGCGATTAATACGCTTCCGATAACCATCTTATCTCAGTATGGATGACGCATTGGTGCATTCAAGTAAATCTTCTGGAGGAGGGTTATTTTTGCTCAATAATTATCCAGGAAGACATTGTCTGGTCATTGTTTAGTTTTGCGCATATGCAAATCCAGTAATTTGTTTAAGAAATATTATAAATCACTTAAAAAAACATTAATTTTGACAGGACAGAATAAGATTTGACACATTTATGTCTTACCCAAAATTGCCTAAAGCTTGTCTATGCCCCAGTTTAATTACGTTTGAGTCCCAATTATGCAATCTTTCCGTGTTATTATTAAGCTTATCCTTACATAAATGCGCCTTGTTCCTTGAATATTTTGTCTTCTAGACTAATTCCACGCAAAAAAAGCAAGCCCTTTGATCCAGATTTAAGTGCGATAGGGCGCATCCTCATGTCATGTCATGCATATCATGAGAACTCTTTTAACTTTAAAGGAAGAGATGCCCTTGGTCAGCATCCTTAATACGTGGTACGAAATATGTACGTATTTTGACCTTCCACCGCCCAGTTCCCATCCCATCATTAGCCGTATTAATAATAAACTGCAAAACACTTATGCACAGCTACCTTATCCGTCTTCCTATTATTCCATTTACTACATTTATTGGTACTCTATTAAACGCAAAGTTTACTTAGTAATAAATCCTTCATTGTTTTCCATTTCATTTTAATAATCGCGTGATTACTTGCGCTTTTCGTTAGAGGTTTAGTCAATCGGAGCCTTTCCGATTGTGAACATCGTTTTACATGGTTTGTAAAACAATCAACGACTCTGTTTTAAGTTTCCAATAATGAGGTCACTCGTGATTTTGGTGAGTTACATAAAATTCTAAATTTGGATTGAAATTTTGAAAATATTTTACATATAATTTTCCAATCCATATTTTTCATCAGATGGGCGTGGTTGTAGCATTGGTGAATTCACAAAATGCTACAGAAACAAATAGTGATGCTCCAGCATCAAACTCTTCGACGCGACTTCCTCGAGGCACCGTTTATCAAATCCGTCCCGTAAATTTTGACGATACCTCGGACTCGAATCCATTCACCGCGTTGGATTCGATTGCTGGGATTGATTTGGCAAAATTGAAATCTAGAGCGATCGATGATAAGCCGAGTCAACAAGACAGCTCTTATCCGTCCCCTTCCTCCTCCAGTGTCAGAGTGATCAATCTGAAAGACTCTGACGCCGTGGAAGCCGTGGATATTCCAAAATTTCTTTTATCAGCCTCCTCTGGTCCCGTTGGTCGCAGAGAGTTTTCCAACGACGACCAAGAGGAAGAAGGAGCAGATCTTGGTAAGAGGGAACCAAAATCGTCGCCATCTCAACCTGTCCCGATTCACAGTGAGGATGGGGCCGAGGAGCCTTGGGATGCTTCATATGCGTTCGGATATACTCTAGAGGATCAAGCGAGACATGAAGTTTCCGATCCGGATGGAAATATTCGTGGGTGTTATATTTACATATTTAACTTTAAAATGTTATTAATATGCTTAAATCGATTAAAACTAGGTGGGTATTATCAGTACGTCGATGATGAAGGGTAAGAGTCATTTGGTTGGATTAAAAATTGGATAGAAATTAAAATTTTAGAAACTTTCAAAATTTCCTTCTAAATAGTTACGTTCGAAAAGTGGTTTACACTGCCGGCGCTGGGAAAGGCTTTGTCGTTCTGAACAAGGAGAAGGTAAAAGGACCACGTCCCTATCCCCCAAAGAAGACCAACCACCACCACCACAGCAAACCCGGCAATGCTCCTCCAGGCTATGATCCGAGACCTTCTTCGTCCCGACCTCCCGGTCCAAGGCCGAACAGACCTCGACCGAATTATCCGCAGTCATCTGACCCGGACTTTGATTTCCCAGAATCTCCAAAAGCACCTCCACAAGGACCATCCTCATCCCCACCACGACCAGGCTGGTCGAGTCCTTCGCCACCGTCGCCCCCGTCTCCACCTCGATTAGGTTGGACGAGTGGAAAAGAGGGTGGTAGCCGGAGACCAATTTATGTCGTTAAGATTCGCAAACCACAGCATAAACGTAATGCATAATTTAAGAATAATTTGCATTTAAATTTGTGCGATTAACATAATTATTAACACAATGATAAGATGGCGAAGAAGAGGACGACGGACCTCCCGGAGGATATTTTACCAACAAGGGCGGCGACTCAAGTGAGGATAGTGGTCAATGGGATGGAGACGTTGGATACGGTCCAGTTTACAAGTACCGTGGAGGAAAGAAAGGTCACGTCTCGGGACAACCGCGACCTGATGGTTCGTACACTTTTGGATATGAAACCGAGACGGCAAACCGATTAGAGAAATCTGATAATTTTGGAAACGTTCGAGGTAAAATGAGATTTTTCTTCCTATTTTTACTCTGCTATAATCATTTGCATAATAATTTTTCCATAAGGATCATATTCTTACATCGACAATGAAGGCGTCAAACGAACCGTTCACTACATCGCCGGTGCCACGACAGGTTTCCAAGTGTTGGGAAGTTCTCCGTCGTCATCTCGCAGCGTGAGAATCGAAGCACCCCCTGGTTTTGTGGTTACGCGACGAAATGCCCCACCAAGTTCTGCCTCAACAGTTGCCCCCAGTCTGTCCACGGCAGAGTCGGAATACCCCGGGTTTCCTCCCAACGTCATCGTCTATCACATCCAGGCCGACGCCAACTCACTCAATCTAAGCCCCTGGTGGGATGCTTTCGGGTATTCAAAGCGACCCCGAAAAATGCGTAGGATTATGCGAGTGCATAGAAAAAAGCCGAGAAACTTCCGTAAAAATGAAGAAGACGAAGAAGACGAGCAACAACAAGGGTTGGATAAAGAAACGCAAATTCAACAGGGTCCAATAAGTGACATTAAATTTGAGGATGATAACGGTAGCACGTCGTCTACCCCTCAAACGCCCACAAGAGAAAGAGCACTACCCCCCACCGACAATTTGGACAATGCTGTCCCACTTTCTGACGAACTTTCCCCTTCATCCGTCGACACGTCTTCCCCACGCCCCATGTACCTGATCCGAACTCGATCTGATAACGACCGACCTCGTCCATTTCGTCACTCGACTAAGGTCAACTTGGATAACAATTTCGACATGAAGACTTTCTTCGTTCGAGCGAGACGCCCCTCACATCGGGCATACACGAAAAACTTCTTTGGTCCCGAGTCCGACCCCTCCTCGGGATCCTCTTCAGGTGAAGAAAGGGACCACAACGACCCAATTTTACTGGGCCCGTCACATTCGTCACTGCGAGCACGACGACGTCTCCCAGTACCAAATCCCATCCTCCTAAAACCTTCCTCATCCAGGGTTTCGGTTAGAAGTAGGGGAGCTCGACTTGATGTCGCAGAATCGAATGCGTACCCAGTCGTGTCCACTCCTCCGTCGGGTGACGAGGTCCAAGTCCCACCCACTCCGAATCCGGTTGAGCTCTTTGCCGCAGGAAATTTAGAGACGGGTGACGCTTCCTCGAGAGAAGTGAGTACCAGCAAAAGTATGCAACTCAGCATTAGTTCGAGCACTACTCGAATTCCGGTATCCTCAGGTAAGAATTGATCCAAGTTGTCCCAATTTCTGATAATTTCTGAAATTTCTGACAATGATGTTTCTTACATATGCATTCAGAAACTCCGTCACCAGTCACTCCTCCTCCTACCCCACCATCATCCACATCATCTGAACCACCCACCACTCCCGCACCAGCATCGACCCCAAGTCCACGCGAAAATACCTTGACCCTTACCGACAAGGAGTTTGAGCATACCGGAATTGGTGGAGGAATTATGAGCAGCAGTACCAGGTTAATGCAGAGATTGGGCGTGCAGCAACCAAATTTAGGAGGAACTGCTGCCCCACCAGATAATCAAAACTAATTAACAAATTCTTGCAATTTTTAAATATTTTTTTACTTCTTTTGTGATATACATTGCATGTAAAATAGTTGTACTTGAGTTTTTACAAAGATTATGTATGCTAATAATTTATTTGCTGTTAATTAATGATGGCATGCTTTAAGGCCTTCCTATTTATAAGATTAACTGTATCGGTCTGTATTTATTTTCTAATCCATTACACAAGGGACATGGGACACGTATGTACATATTTTGTTAGCCTTCTCGCTTTGGTGACCTACCCAGGACTGAAGGCAACTTTAAGGAAATGCTTATGTAAGTACGATGGGATGATTGGTATTACTTACTTAATTGCACGGGCACAACAGAGGTGATGGGTTTTCTTTATAAAATATTCCCATAAAGCTTCATACATAATATTTATGCAAAACTACTAAATATTTAGATGAAACAATTCATAAATGTGTAAAATGTTCAAGTGCAATAATAAAGTAAATGGTGTGTGTACCTATGCATTAACCAAGAAACAATTGAACTCCACTAATCAAGCGAGCATTATTATATTTAAATTAATGCAAGAATTTCCAGAATTCATTTGATAGAAGTACTATATTTGTAGGAACAATGTATGTATAATAATAATCAGATTTGTACAATCAGAAAATCTCGCTGGTGAATGACGGGAATTAAAATTGCATTTAATTAGAAGCTTCACTATTTTTCTCATTCATAGCCTGAATTATTGTACAATATTCGTTAATAGCGATGACCACTCCCTATACTATTACGCAATACTGCTGTAGTCTTGATTTTACAGGTGTTGCGATAGGTTCTTCATAGTCAAATTCCCACTTTCTTTCGTTATAGTTCTTTTCCGACGTGGTGTTCATGATGTTGATCCGATTACGACAAAATTCCATATTTACTCGTAGATAATCATTTATCTCTTTGGCTGATTCTATATGCATTTGGTAGTGAAGATACCACTCCAGCCCATCAACTTTTGCTTGCAGGAATGTCAAATTGTCCTCAAACAGGGTCCTTTCAACGCTGTCCGCTAACAAGTAGATCAGTCCGTAGGAATGTGCCAACGTAGATCTCGCTTGTTTCAACAAGGATGGCAAATCGTCCAATAGTTTGATATCAACTTCACCTATCGAGAGTTGCTGGAAATCTCTTCGGGCTTGCTCCATATTTAAAGTTTGGACTTGACTGAAATGTCCACCCTAAAACAAAGATTTTGTCATTACTGTACGGCTATATGAGTTTATCTAAGCCTTTACTGTGATCATGTTGTGGTAGCGTTCGCCATAAAAACCGTAGCGTTCCCGACGATGTATGGCATTTACTACCTGCCCCGGAAGTGGAGGTGTTTGTGTTCTATAGAACCGGGTGCAGGTCTCCCCATGGCTGTGGTTGTGGGCTTTCTGTAAACAAATCCTGTCCAAACCAAATCCGGATAACAAATTTTATTTCCAGAATTTCCAGAATTCTTTTGTTTAATACCAGCAGAAATGATACCCACAGCCACGATTGGTACAAGTCATCCAATTGCACCCCCCATTTTTCTGGATATTAGTGCTGCATTTTGGACACGGTTTCGAATTTGCTAAAATCCACTGGTTACTTAGAATATCGGAGACATTGTGGAGGGTCAACCAAACTTTCAAACTTTCGCAGGACAGAGGTCCATGTCCAAGAGAAAGGCATTCCAGACATGTCAAGCTCCCACACCGACAGAGAGCGGACTTCCATCCGGAGTACGATTTTATGGGTAGTTTTGATCGAAAAATAAATTTACAGTCGGGTGCGGGACATGAGACGTGATGTTTTGAAGTCTGAATGAATTTGTTGCAGTTGTTAGCCGTTAAACGATCGACGACTGTACTGTCCGTAGCTAACTCTTGGACGAGGCGATTCTCTAAAAAGTTTGTAAAAAATGGGAAAGTCAGCTACAATTTGTGTCACCATATTTCTTCAACTCGTGTTGATAAGACCAACCTAAGAACATGGGACAGACTGGACAAGTCATGCAAGTTCTCCCATCCTCCGTAACACAAGTTCGTATATATTCTTGCCAACATACGAGGCAGATAATGGAATTACAGTCACCGTGTGTGTGGTACTCCTGGAAATTAGGGTACAGTTATTAATACGGATTGACTGCAATTAAACGCTAATTTCTCATTACTGTGACGGACGATGTGCAAATTGTGCAAATTGCGTTTTCAGCCACAAAAAATGAAGGGTTACTAGTTCCGTTTGGAAAAGGAATATACGATTTTGCGCAGTATCCTTCCACACCGTTCTCGTAAGTGGACAAAGTTGTGATTGACTTTTCGGAGTCCCACCCGTTCTGATCCAAGATAAGTTTTACCGTGTCCAAACTCACTTCCGGTGGGACAAACTGTTTCACCTGCATGACACTAAATATTAATAAAAAAATACCTTTCACAATGTAACCACTCGTACTTTTTCTATCATGTCATCCATATCTTTCTCCACTTCTGAATTTGTTATTGAATCTGCAGAGAATTTGATGGATCGAAGAGTGTCCCCTTGTCCTCCAAAATCTGCATCATCAAACTCTTCTGGACCATCATCGGCATCTTCTTCATAGTCCATCTCGCCCCCGGAATGCGTCATCTCGTCTTCAACTACCAGCGATAAGATTGCGTCGCCTTCCTCCGGGGACATGTCAACCGCTTCATTCTCAATGTTCATTGTAAAGTCAGTGAGGTCACCAGTAATTATTGGTATTATGAGCTGGGGGACTTTTGTAGTTTTTAGTACGACAATTTGACTTACAAATCGTCGTTGGAGCGTGAGGATAAAATTTCGCAGTCGTTGACAACGTTACAAAATGTCCTACTTTTATTCCACATCCTGCATTATGACAGTCGTTGTTATTAAGAAAGTTGTAAATTCTGTTATTGAAAATCACAAGAAACTTATAGCCAAAAATGAAACGGATAAAAACTGCACGGCATAATGCTCAAGAACTACTTTACATGCACATTTCCACTTCTACGTATGTACTTGATGGGGTGGTCAGACTATACTCATTAAATAGTCAGATAACATTTTGTTTAACCGATAACATTTTCACTAATCCTTAGAACAAAACAGTAATTGTTGACTGTGCAAACCAAATCAGGAATCAGGATAACAAATTTTATGTCACTTAATGCAAGAATTTCCAGAATTCATTTATTTAATACGTAGTAATTTTTAGTAGATTTGTAACAGCACGACTTTATTTGTAACTATATTTGTAATAGTTAGATTTATATAATTGGATTTATGTAATTAATCTTCTGCATGTTACAAAAATCTCACTTGTGAATTAATGGATGGAACGCGTTTATATTAAAATTACAGAAACACCAAGATTTTCAAGAAGAATGAAAAACATTTTTCTTATTCATGGCAAACAATATGACTGGAATTTGAGTGGTTTGTAGTAACTTACATTATAACACTCGTAACATAATAAATACTCAAAAAGGTACTTAATTAAATCAACTTTACTGGTTTTAAAGTGCTCAAGTTTAAAAAAGTACATTATGGATGACAGATAACAAATAATCTGGTAAATAACAATAAACCGTCCGCCCAGTATCATCCTCTACAATTAAATTAACATACTTTTTACAAGGAACATTATTAAAATTTCAAGCACGAATGCTATCATCATCATAGCAAAATGTAGTATTTACTTAGGTCACTTCTTCTAAGTACCAGCCAGATCTTACATTTCTATATCAGCCTTAAATTAAACCACTACATGGAACACTGGCAAAGGTAGCTGTGGCATTATCGTCAGGATGGAGGGAGGTACATACATACATCATAATTTGAATAAGTTAAGCTTGTTGTTGCTGGATAACGACGGTGACAGGGCGCCTCCCGTCGAATTCCTCCCTCTTCATGATGATGTAACAGGCGTGAATTATTCCAGGGACGAAACCTTAAAGAAAATAATTTTTTATCGTGAAAACATGACCATTAATATCCTTGAAGGAGTTAACGTTATTAAAACCGAACCGAGGATGGTGAGGCAAATGTTGATGAGAAGGTCACAACCACACCCACGGGCGAACATAACGCCCAGTGGGGGAAAGATCAACGCGAGGATGAAGAGGCAGCAGTCGGCGCAAGTCATCTTTGATTAAAGGTGTTTATTTCGGGATAAATCTGTTGAAATCAATTAAAAGGATACATAATTTACTTAGAGTCTTGTGCGAAAAATGAGAATGTCATGTTTTTCTACTAATTTCTAATTTACCAAAGATTCTGAAATGTGAAACAGCCGTAAATAAGTATTACTCTTATTTAAAGATCAGGTGCTAATGGAGGAACGACAAATATGATAAATTTGTAGGGAGTTAATGATGTTATGTTGCACTCTCAAGGACAGTTTTTCATTAATGATGATGGAAAACTGGATGACTACTTGCAGAGGAGTTTAATTTAATATGCTTTTGTAAAGGCAATCCACTTTTAGTTAGAAGAACTACTGCATTTGCATGTTACTGCATGTTCGTTCATGACGTAATCGTACAAATAATATACAGCGAAGATAATGCACGCATACCGCATGCACGGAATACAGAAGTCAACCTGATAAAAGTGTATATACAAATTATTCACTCACAAATAACATGGTGTGACCTATGAGTAATAGAAATATGCCACCTTTATGGAATATGACTAAGAATTGATTTGTTTAAACGGAAACTGTCACCAGATAGCAAATTCATTAACATAGAGTAACGTTTCAATTGTAAAATCAATACTTCAAGGAGTTAACATTGTTAAAGAAGAACACACAAAAAGTGATGGCAAATACACATGCTTATTACATTATGCACGCAAAAGTGTTCATTTTTTCGGTTGATTTCTATCGGAAACAGATAATCGATACTTGTAAATTGAGTAAACTTGTATTCGAGTAATTGAATAAAGTATTAATTATGTTATTGTAATATAAATGCGATAATTCGATAATTCGAAGTAAAATGGAAGAAAGAACAAAATTTGAACGTGATCTAGAATAATATATTTTAATATGAAATCCCACAAAAAAAGATTTCCGCCATCAAACTCACCCAATTTTTGCAGAAATACATAAATTAGTAAAAATTGAATTTGCGTACTTACGTTATCTTTATTAATCCAAATTTGTGTATACTTTTTAGCCGGTTATGAGGGAATTCCTTTTAATTCTTTAATCAAGGCTAAAAATCTGCTGTGCTGGAGGAATGTGATGTGTAAGACTCACGTAATGTAATGTTAGGTCTCTCGGTTTTATAGGAGAAAGTATGTATTCGCTTACTCACCAGTAATAACCATACCCCGGACAAATATTTTTTTATCCTACCCTACTCGTGTTGAGCTCAACATGAGTAGGGTAGGATAAAAAAATATTTGTCCGGGGTATGGTAATAACGTCATCAACATATTGCACACATATATACACAAAACTCCTTATTTTATTAAATAGCATGGCCAAGAATGTTTCTAGAAACTTAATGTTTCGTATGCTAAAAAATGTTTCGAGAAACATTTCTCAACTTAGATCAAACTTTAAATATGTACTTTAATTCAGTTGGAAGTAAGTAAGTACATATCACATACCCAGCCATTCATCTGAAAGTTTCAGTTGTTGCATAGCTGGATTTATCATTGCGACAACTTTTCTGCCAGAAGTGTCAAGATGATAAAGTAATTACAAATATTACATTACATATATATTTATAATGCATGTATGAATATGAACCATCGTCTTACAATAAAGATTCAACTTAATTTTAAAATTGCAAAAGCAAAATGGAATTAACTGCTTACGTATGTACCATCCAGTTTAACGCTCTGGCCCTTATCTTATTTTCCCAATCTATAAATACCTACGCATTTTCTGCAATGCACCTGCCTCCTTCGCTGGAAAGGACGCCACCAGATAAGAAGTCTTCGCTTGACGGGACCTAAAGGGACAAACGCGTCTTCCTCCTCAGTCTCAATCTCTCATTACTAGAAGACCAGACCAGTCTCTCTCACCTTCAACTTTAGCCCAGCATTTTTTTGAGTTCCGAACTATTACAAAATCCAAAATAATTTTGTTCGGAACTAATTTTATCGAAGTGAAATTTCCTGCGCCACAACTTTACCACGCTCTTCCCAAAGGACAAAATCTTCCATTTTCATTTGTGTTCGGAAATTATTTCCTCTATTTAAAATGTGTTCTCTAAGCGTTCCTAATGAAATTCATCCCCTGCCCGTTCGAGACGACGACGACGTCACCCTTCGCCCTCCTATCCGTTTGCGCATAAAACGAACTGAATGGGACATGTGGACGGTTCTAAATGACCACGACAAGCTATGCATCGCCCATGAAGTTGCCGAACTATATCGTGCCAATAAAAAGAATCGGAGGAAATCATCTCGCACTAATTCCGTACCGCCAAGAATTATCAAACGCTTCCGACGCCAGGCCAAGTTTTACAAAAACTTTTGGGGAACTTTTCGAAATTGGAACATCTGGGACTACACAATTCCAAAGTTAGATGTTGAATTTAATAATTGCAAGAGTTATCACTACGTCAGCCCGTTAGCGGATATACCCTCAGCCGAAATCGATTATATGGTAAGTATCTCATTATTTTGTATCACGCCATATTTTTAAAAACTAAATGTTCTGAATTTGTACAGCCCTGGGACTTGGCCTTCCAACTTGACTTCCTATCCGAACGAGATTACCGTTCTGAAACTATGCCTTTCCGTCTGCATCGACACGATCCTGAAACTGAACGAAGATGGAAAGAACTCGTCTTATCAAAACACTTGGAGAGAGGATGTTTGCCAAGTAGGACTAAGAAACCCGACGACGACGACCATGACGACATACCCATGATGATGACCACCAACCGACCATCCCCATTCTCCGACCCGTACGAAAATATGGTTTTGGAGGACCATTTTGACCCTGCAAGTTCTCCGTGTTCTTCGTCTACTCTTAAATTTGATCATGAAGCTCTACAAGCACCCTCACCTTCCTCCACGGACGACATGGACCTGGACATCCTTATTCTCACGGTGGATCGTTGGGACACATTGCCCATTCCGGGTTTTTATGTAGATAGGGTTAGATAAATCGGAGTAATGTTTGTTCGCAGTCAATTGAATTAAGACTACTATTTTGAGCTATTATGAACCTATTCGAAATTATGAACTACTATTTTGATGAATTATTGTAATCTTTCCATTGTTTAAGAAATGCGAAGTAGACTAAATACAAGATGCAATTTCTTGTGCAATTAACGGAACAAATTACAAGTACCTTAATTAGAATATAGAATTTAAACATTAATTAAAACGAAACGCGCATGTTTTTTATGAATTATAAGACTGTGGTTTATGTAATTTTATATTAGCAAAATTAAAAAGGAACTTGTTGCAACCAATCTGCTGTGATTTTGTAATTTATTCTAAATGGCGTGGCTTGTTTAACGTGGGGCTACATATTACCAAAGTTTAAGTTTTCAGGTTTTTTAGTATTCTTATTTTCTTTCATCTAATTAAAAAATTTAAATATCTAAATATTTAGTTATTACTTTACCAAGTATGAACATACAGATAAATCTTGCATCCATTTTTCAAAAACAGTTTAATTTATTCATAAAAATTTCAAAATTTCAATTCACAAAACAAAGTCAACCAACTAATTGTATACACATATTTACTAATTATAACTCATGCTAATTGTCGATGAGGCAGGAAGTCTCAAATTTCTAATCAAAACTTCACCACTTGGTTGCGCCACAAAATCAGTATGCGGTGCTCCATTGACGGTAACGCTAGTCACCGTACCAGCCCCAAGAAGTCGAATCGTCTCTACAAGTTTGGTTGTCATTCCCGGATAAGTGTTTCTTAACACGTTGGTCGTCAATGTGCGGTCAGTCATGTCATACTCGGCGTAGAAATAGACACCATTGTTCACCGGGTCAAGGGAGTCTCCCTCGTCGTAAAACAGACTTCCTTGCGCGTGACCATTGTCGTCCAGAGCGATGATGAGTCCGAGGGGGTTGTTTCTCGCTAGCTCCGTATTTCTTGCGGATTCCTGCGTCGGCAATATGTTGCCTCCTCGGACATGGAGGTTGATAAAGTGTGTGGGGGCATTTAGGGTAGTGGTGTCTCCTTTCGTGGCTTCTTCAGCTCCGTCGTAATAACTGTAAAATCTGGCAGAGGGGAAATACGCGTCTACACTAGTTGCACCTTGCGTGAGGACGGGAGTGATCATAAAACCAGACCCCCAGAAAAATTGTCGGTCAATGGCGGCAGTGATGGGATCGGTAGGAAATTCATGCCACATTGCCCTCGCAACTGTACTTCCTTCCGTGTAGTGCTTGTAAAAGAGGGTGTACAAGTAGGGGAGGAGGGTGTAACGGATTTCGAGAGCAGTTTTAGAAGAACTAGACACTTCTGGACTCCATGAACCTGGGTCTTGATCCTGACAAATAAAATAAGGAACTGAATTAGTAAAGATTTATTATTATAATTTAAGTAGTTATCCGGTTACCCTGTAATTGATTCCATTGTGATTTCTGCAGAATGGATAAAATGCACCAAGTTCCATCCACCTTTGGCATAGGTCTTCCTGTGAGTCGCCAATAAAGCCACAAATATCAGGTCCAACGAAGGGAATTCCCCACTGATTAAATTGCAATGTTCCAATGATACTGTAGTACATGTTGGCCCAATTGGAAAAATTGTCACCAACTGTTCAAAAGTTATATTCAGCTTTAATTTTGTAGAGTTGATATTTAAAGTATAAATTCTCTAAAAATTTTATTACGCCAATGTGCAGCCCAAACGCCTGACCCCAAGAATGTTGACCTGGACAATATTGTTGTTCGCTTCTTGACACCACGGATTGCTCCACTAATTTATAAATTATAAATCATTTATATTTGATTCTTTTAAGGCAAAATTATACTCGATTCTTACTCCAGGGTTGGTTCAGATTCAAACCATCCATACATGTTGTGGGTGTCGTAATGTCTTGAAAGGGACTCTACATGGGCCGGGCAAATGGTTTTGGAAGCGAGATAATTATCCGCAATTTCTACAAAATAAGTTAAAAATGTCAGCATTAAAGCTACCAGAACTAATCCCAAGCAGATATCTCAATTACTTGGAACGTATGGTGGGTTGTTCCATTTATTGGATGGACATCCTTCATTTATGTCACCAGTGACAAAATTGGCTGGCTCATTCATGTCCTAAAATCGACAATAATTAATTTCTTGGTCTACTCGATCGGTAAAAAAATCTTACAATCCAAAGTCCATCAAACTCGAGAAGATCATGGAATTCTTCAATGAGAAGAGCCCACCACTCTCTGGTCGAATTTTTACTGTAATCTGGGAAGTAGACTGGATCTTGCGGCCACACTTTTCCAGTGACTGGTTCCCCACTTTCAAGTTTTACCCACACATCCATTTCATTTCCTAAGTCGAAGGGTCTATAACTTCCGGCAGGTTCGCCAATGCTGATGCATGGGTCCTAAATAGTATTTATTATTATGGAATTGTTTAAAATGCGGAATTCAGCAAAATATTTGCATAAATAAATAAATACCAAAATCGTCACAAATTTGATCCCATTTGCTTTAAGTTCTCGTACGTAAACATCAAGCCCTGGGAATTTTTCGGTGGAAAAGGTAAAGTCAAGCTCCCGTTCCATAATATCTATGTAGAAAAAATTGGCCATGAAAATAAAATAGAAGCAAAAAATAGTAGTATGCAAAAAATAATAAAAAAATCTGTCTTTACCAATGTCACCATATTGAACATCCTATTAATTAAAGTTGTAATTATTAATTGATGTAATTTTCATCATCTGTTTATTTATTCTTCGAAATTTGCATGTATATCTCACATGTGGAATATTAGCAGCAGCGGTACGATCAACAGCGGCCTTCATATTTTCAATTGTGTTGTACCCATATCGGCAAAGGTGAAAGCCAAGGGCCCAATATGGAGGGATTGGCGAGCGACCAACCGCTGCGTAATTTTCCATTTATTTTTTAAGCATTTTTAGAAAAATTTCTTTACATGAGGTAAACTTATGTGTGTACCTTCAGTGTATTGTTGTACAGCATTTTCGGGGGTGGGGCCCAAGAAAAAATAGGTGTCAAAAATACCACCAATCGAAACATATCGAATTTTCGGTCCTTCCGAAAATTGGAACTCTGGATGAAATGCAAGAAATTTAATGGGATAAATTATTATTTATTATTGTGTACTTTTGTATAAATACACACCTTGAGCATTTGAATTCACAAGCGCAACGGCGTGAACACTCCCGTCATTTTCCAAGACTGTGTAATGAGGTTGAGACCCATACATGTTGGCAGTGAACTGAAATGATTGTCAATAATCGATCTATGAGAAACTTTAAAATTTTAAAAAAGAGTGACTTTACAGAGGGAGGCTGATCCCGACCCCACAATGCCCAAGTCGTTCCTTGAGAAAAGTCGTGTCTGTAACGGTCACAAAAACATAGAACATCGAATCTATATATTTAAATTGTTTGTACTACTTGAACGAATGTTGCTCATTTTCTCCGATGCCATAAACATTTTCAGACGGAAGGGTCCATGTCATTCCGATGTATTGATCGGCATACGTAAATTTTCCTGCAGACGAGTCAAAAAGCACAGCCCCACTGGATTTCCGTATAACTTTGAATGAGAAATATGGTTCATCAGAAAATTCGACGGTGTACAAAGTGTTCGCATTTCCACCAGTAGCTGGATTAATGTTGAGAGGAACTTCCCATCGAGATGTGGATGCATCAATGATCTAAGAGTAGTTAATTATGTAGTATAAATTGGTGAGAAAATAATTTAAAATTGAAATGTACCTTGATACGGAGCCTGTAATCTGAATGGAACTCGGCGTCCAAAATAAGATTTTCCACCTCATTTTCCCATCTTTTTTCTTTTCCTGGTTGAACTGGAGGGGCCCGGACTAAGTTTACTCTGATATCGAAAATTTTGATTCGAAATTACGGAAATTTTAGTAAATAGCCATTACTTATTTTGAAATTTATTTATGTACCGAATTCCATTTGGCGTGACGAGAGGCTCACCATCCATTTTATATCCTGGAGATTGTGGTTGTGGTTCCATTGGAATGTAACACCACGGAGCCCCACCGGGTGTGGTAGGACACCTGCATTACCAATTAAAAATATAATGTATAATTAAACCCCAAGAAATCTCATACATCATATTTTCATGTCATTGATTTGTACCATGTGCAGTTTCTATTAATCATGCAATCCGTTTCCGACGTGGGTTCACCAGGAGCACAATCCACCCTTTCGTCATCAGGGAGGTAATTTTCTTCACAAGTGAATCCTTGAGGTCGAACCACCCCCACGGTCGCCAGTACCAGCAAAATTGATGATAAAAACAGTCTCATTTTCATTTCGAGCTTTCCAGTCGCGTCTGGCAGGCAAAAACTGTAACGCTGAGGAAGGATAACCCACTTTATATAGTGGCACAATTTGGCATTATCTGCGATCACTCACCGGCCAGCCAACTATCTATCATCGCTTCATGTGATCAAGTGTTTCATTTGTTTAGTTTCAAGAAATGGAAAATGGATAACACAAATGTCCATGCATCGTGTAAATGCGAAAAATGTACGTGCATCATATACATAAATGCGAACGAGTTGGAATTCAATCTATTTTTAAGTAGATCGCATTACATAAACTGAGAGATAAACCGTGTTGTTCGCTAAAATAAGCGTCACAAAACTGGTAGTGTGTGGCATTCAATGTGATGTTAATTTATTTAACGGGGGCTACAAAACATAGGTTATCAATCATCGTTCAAAATGCATGATTATCCAACTGCTACATATGTGTCATGATAAAAGAGATCAGTAGTTTGATATCACGGGATTAACGACGGTGGTTACGTGAATGATTAACAGATTAAGCCAATTTTGCTTGCCTATTTGTACACAATTTCCTAGAACCCTTGATAGTAAAACTCAGGAAATTTTGTGATTTATCTTCCTTTTGGTTGAGAAAACCTCGAGTTGATTCTGATTCGGACAGCGCTCCGAGATGACCATTTTGCACTTTAATATGACCGTGTAAGTTTGTACATATGTATAAAATAGCAATAGGAGTTGTACTACCCATACATATCTATTGAACAATAGTCATGTTGAAATTATTATGAACAAAAAAAACCTTTTCGCCGACCTAATCTATTTGACCTAAGAAATGATGCATTTAAAATAAAATATATGCAATGGAATATTATGTACATTGTTCAACTATGCACGGCCAAATTGAAATTCAATAAATACAACGCGAAAGCTTACATGTTCATGACGGAAAGTGGTAAAAATGTATTGACTAATGGTTCACAACTTTCATGAATTTGAATTATAAGAACCTATTTTATAAAATTTGTTGTCCTTCATTCGGCATAAAAAAACCTCTTGAACTGATAAGTGTAAAATAACTATATTTAAAAGTAATAATGCCTACATTTAAGTATCTACTAGAAAGAATCCGATTAAAGGCAAACTACAACTTGTTAGTTGTGTTTAACATATCGTGATTATCCGTATCATGAAGGTATCACTGTGATTGATTGTTGGGGTCGTTGTCGTCCTTTTGCAGTTTAGCTTGGGCTCGATGAAGAGAAGACTTTCGGCGAAGCTTGAACGGACGGACAGAAACCACGGCCCATGGCGAGAACGGTCGAGATCGAGATGAATTTGTTCCTGTTGGTCGATTTACCGAGGTCTGTGACCCATTGCAGTTAAGATCACCTGCCGAATTGCATTTCTTAGCTTGTTGAATACGGTGAGGAATTTGGCTTTTAAACGAACTGGATTTGATTTCTGGTTTTGGGACAAATTTGACCATATTTGCCAGTTCTTTCTCCGAAAGTTTAGCCAACTCTACTCGACGTGGAATCTTGGTGGGGTAAATCTTATTGGTACTTAGTGCGGATGAAGACCTTTTCCGAGCAATTGTAGGTGGAGCCACCATTTTCTTCAATATTTGAGTGTGGGACTGTTCCCGAAATTTTCCACTCTTTCGACTAGAACGATGCAGGATGGATTGACGCTTATATTCAGGAGGGTTGTTCACTATCGGCGTGCTAGTTGACAAAGGGGTGCTGAACGGAGTCAGTTGTTGTCCAAATGGTGGTGGCGTATTGGTCGGAGTGTCTTCCTTTGCAGTATAATAACTGGATGTAGTGCAATTGCTGTACCGGCCACTATCCGACGATGGAAGAAAAGAAGTGAAGTCAACATTGTCCCTTCCAGCAGCGCCATCACCACTCAAGCTCTCTCCTCCATCAGATTGACGAGCAGTAGCACAGGGCTAAAATTTAAAAGAGCATAACACATTTATAAAAAATACATTTAACTACAAGTACATATGCTCGTTTCAAATGTATGCACTCACTGGAGTGAATCTAAATCCTTTGAAGATGTTCTTCAAATGCTCGGGAATCTGTGTGACAAACGAATCCATCTGAAAAATAAATCCCAAATAAAAACTTAGATCCTATGAAAACGTTGAGAAATAATAACATCATTAACAATTAGTAACTTACGGTGAAAGGCAAATAGTCGAAAGGAACGAGAGTGAAGGACTCCGAGCTCAAAGAAGAAGAACTGGCTCCATCAACTAACTGACCACGACTGATTCTTCTTCTTCCAAATTAGAATGGTTGTTAAACTTGTCGGAAATAAAATCAAGGACAGCCTTCTTATCGGTCAAATTGTTGAATATTCTTCGTTCAAATTTGTTCAGGAGGGGAGCACACATGTGAATCAAGTGACGATGGAACATGGTAAAATGCGTGTCCAGCCTCGTATTGATCTCGCACCATTTGTTAATGCAGTCTACAGGAGTTTTGACTTGTCCAGTGAATAAGGCAGGGTTTTCCAGGATACTTCGAGCACTCATAACCCCTGGAGTAGAACAAAGTGGCCAAGATAAGCAAATTAGTACATGGTAATGATATGCTAATGAATTGTTAGATATTATGAAGCTGCTACTTGCCTTTAGCACCAGTCACTTCTTGAACTGCATGCGCCTTCTCTAACGAGTCAATGTCCCCATTTGCAATCACAGGAATGTCCACCGCGTCTACGATGGCTTTTATGTAGTCAAGATGCACGGGTTCGTTCCGCTCGGCTTTTGTACGACCGTGAACCGTAAGAAATGATATTCCTGTAGCTTCTAGTTGTCGAGCAAGATCGACCGTCCGTCTAAAAGCAGATATTATTTAGATTTATGGTTAAATTAAAATTCCACATGTTTATCATCAGACGTCGGATATGAATGACCGATAAAACCTCAAAATATGAATGAAAAATTACTGTAAAAATCCCCATAATATGACCATAAAAATGACTTTATTTTTTAAATTTTTGGCTTAACTCTTTATATTTTTTCTAGTGATACTCAATTTTTAGCAAATAAAACAAGTTCTGGGGTGAATTAACTCGTTCCCAATGAATTAAATCACCTTAGGCGAAAGTGAATGTAAATTTCTGCAAGTTCCTCACAATGAAGCATTGTGAGAAAACTGAATCTTTTATCATTTTCTGTCGATTTGGATGCCAAATTTTCGAATTTGGCTAAAAATGATAAAATGAGCGAATAAAGCCAGAAATATGATCGGGAATATGAATATGTCCCAAAACCTGAAAATATGACAAATATAAGAAAATATGCTTTGACCTACGTGACCCACCAGTGACCGTAAACATTCTCAGAAAGTTTGGCGACTGTAGGTCAATAAATGGAAAAAGTCATTTTTCATTCATATCCGACGTATGTTTATCATCACACTAATATTAAATAGAGACTTGACTTACGCCATATCGAGGAAAATTCTAATTTTGCATGAGACGCCGAACGTCGAGTCAGAAATCCTATTCCTCGTTTGCCGTAAAATGTCACTTATGAGGTCAGGTTTGTTCATCATACATGCACCAATCCCTTCATGACTTGCCCATGATTGAGGGCTATTTAATTAACAAATATTTGTAATATGAATGTCATATGAATGATTAATTAATACCTAGTAAATGAAGTATTTAGATGATTAACTATTTACCAGCCACAGTTAAGGTCCACTCCAATGCAATCTCTGCATTTTAGAAATTTGAATAAATATAAAAATTATGCAAGCAATTTAACTATTTGTTTTCTTACTGGTACGCCAATTCTGTCGCTTCGGCGAATATCTCGGGAGTATTTGCAGCAAACTGAACAACCAGTGGATTGTCTTCTGAAAGAAAAATGTGTTAAATTAATATGCTAAATACTACCTGAGAAAAGACATTGGCACACAATTCAGTGAAATTACATAAGTTATAATTACTAATTACTTTCGCAAGTTACTGATTCAACTTTGCGATAATTGTCCGACTTTATAAAACTGTCGGCCATTAGCATGGGGGTGAAAGCCAGATCACAACCATATTCGCGGACAAGAAGACGAAATGGGAGCCTTAAATAAACAATGATTAAAAATAATTAAAATTAAAAGACGAGCATTAATTATTAATAAGTGAACAATGATTAATCATAATTATAATAATCGCAGTTATAAATATAACTGCGTTGCTCACCTCGAATACCGCACCATTGGAGAACAGACCTTGACTAGGGTGTGCTTTTCAAAAATGTCCATTGTATGTTTTGTCATGAAAAACTTGAAAAAACCAAAAACTACAACAAAATCAATGTGGAATCTGGAATCTGGAAGCGATCGCGGTGCCATGTGGAATCAAGTGGAATGTAAATACCGCTATCGTCGGGCCATGTGAAACGAGTTTTCATCGTTTTAAAATATGTAGAAATTAATAGACATAGGTAGAAAAGCCATTCAACTGTACACTGGCAAACGCATCTGTATTATACAATTGTAAGCATTTTGCATATGGATCTACCTACAAATATCTAGTCCCGTCGCCCTGAATAAGTAAGCGTTCCCTTCTGTGCGCTTCTTGGTTTTGCATAATTTTTGCAAATGTAGTGTCATAATGACAATCACACTAACTGTTCGTTATGAAATATTGTACGAAATTTTCGCATAAAATGAACATTTGAACGCAAGATTGTTACATAATGCTGTCAATTTAAAAGTTCCAAAATAATCATCTTAATTTCGATCAAATTCTCACATGTGCAGCCCAACCTCAAATCAAATATTGGTAGAAAACTTGGTGAAAAAGTCATCCATCATATTTATGCCGCATGATTATCATTGACTGCTCTTTGGAGAAAGTGGTGGCCCTTAAAAGGGCCGTTGGGTTTTTTTTTGTGATGTGATGGATGAATGACAACTGTTTAGGCACGTTCTCCACGGATTCGGCGAGCGAGTTGGATGTCCTTGGGCATGATGGTGACCCGCTTGGCGTGGATGGCGCACAAGTTGGTGTCCTCAAAGAGACCAACCAAGTAGGCCTCGGACGCCTCCTGCAAAGCCATGACAGCGGAGGATTGGAATCGGAGATCCGTCTTGAAATCCTGAGCAATTTCTCGGACGAGTCGTTGGAAGGGGAGCTTGCGGATGAGAAGCTCAGTGCTCTTCTGGTAACGACGGATTTCTCGGAGGGCGACGGTTCCGGGCCTGTAACGATGGGGTTTCTTGACACCTCCGGTTGCAGGGGCGCTCTTTCTGGCAGCCTTGGTGGCGAGCTGCTTGCGGGGTGCTTTCCCTCCAGTGGACTTACGAGCAGTTTGCTTGGTACGAGCCATTGTTTGTTTGTTTGTAGATTGGAGTTGTTGTTCTAAAGAGAAAGATGAGACAGCGAGTGATGAAGATTTCCACCTTGGGCTGCAGTTTTATAGAGAAGGGCTGAGTTCTGAGCGAGAAAGAGGATTGGCTGTAAGTAAGCAGTGAAAGCCCGCTCGCTCCTCAGAACTCAAGAGGTCTGCTCCGCAACTCAGCCAGTTGGTATAAATTCAAGCTCGAATCCAACAAAGTTCATCACAAGCTGCTGATATCTCAATCTGAGAACATCTCTCTCCAAGTTCCAAAAACAAACTACTCATCATGTCTGGCCGTGGCAAGGGAGGAAAGGTGAAGGGAAAGGCAAAGTCCCGATCCAGCCGTGCAGGGCTCCAGTTCCCAGTGGGTCGTATCCATCGTCTCTTGAGGAAGGGCAACTACGCCGAGCGAGTGGGTGCGGGTGCCCCCGTCTACTTGGCTGCCGTCATGGAGTACTTGGCCGCTGAAGTCCTCGAGTTGGCTGGAAATGCTGCCCGAGACAACAAAAAGACCAGGATCATCCCTCGTCACCTTCAACTCGCCATCCGAAACGACGAGGAATTGAACAAGCTGCTCTCCGGGGTCACCATCGCCCAGGGAGGTGTCCTTCCCAACATCCAAGCCGTCCTTCTCCCCAAGAAGACGGAAAAGAAGTCCGCCTAATTCCTCAGCTTTCACAGATCTACTCGCTAACAACCCAACGGCCCTTTTAAGGGCCACCACATTATCCAAAGAGCTCAAAAATAATCTAGTACCGACATATTTAATTATGGCCATGCACTTCTTCGTTCATGCTCAACTTTTGCTTCACCAATTATTTTCATGCATTTATTTGTTGGCGAGAAATTATTGTCAACAAAGTAGTGCAGTTAGTTAATGATGTAAACTAAAATGAAACGGATGGATGAATGAGGAATTATTTTTCCTTGTGCATTTTGTACTTTTACAATTGAAATCAGTAATTTCGCCCCCTGAAATTCATATATGCAATGAATAATACCCCTTCGTAGTTTAGTTATGCTTGATTCCGAATCAGACTTGTGGATAATATGAAGGTAAGCTAACCTATGACCTGTCCCCAATAAGACTCATGCGTATTTTACATGTTTAGAATTTTATAAATGCATCCATATTGGATGTCGTCGCTCCAGTCTCACCAAAATTTAATATAATTATTTGTATGCATTAAGTAAACAAACTTGAAACATGTATAAATTATGTGAAATTGGTTAACGGAACGGATCAAGAATTATTTATTTTCAGCTTACTTTGACATCAAAATTTGAGTCAAAATTCAATCTCACTCTGCCTCAATTTTAATGAGTTGAATAATAAACATACCCCGGACAAATATTTTTTTATCCTACCCTACTCGTGTTGAGCTCAACATGAGTAGGGTAGGATAAAAAAATATTTTCCCGGGGTATGATAATAAACAGTGATTTATAAATCATAAATCTTTTTAAATCATAATAATAATCCAACTAATAATAATAATAAATAATAATAATAATAATAATAAATAATAATAATAATAATAATAATAAATAATAATAAATGATCAACAATGAAATAAATCGAGAATGAAAATAAATGCAACTATTTGTTTAGCTCTTTGGAAAAAGTGGTGGCCCTTAAAAGGGCCGTTGGGTTTTGTTGTTTTATGGAAGTTGGTCAGGTCATCGTCTACTTGGAAGAGGTGTATTTGGTGACAGCCTTGGTGCCCTCAGAGACGGCGTGCTTGGCGAGTTCTCCGGGGAGGAGGAGTCGGACGGCCGTCTGGATTTCCCGAGAGGTGATGGTTGACCTCTTGTTGTAGTGGGCCAGGCGGGAGGACTCGGAGGCGATCCGCTCGAAGATGTCGTTGACGAAAGAGTTCATGATGGACATGGCCTTAGATGACACGCCAGTGTCGGGGTGGACCTGCTTGAGGACCTTGTAGATGTACACGGCGTAGGACTCCTTCCTCTTGCGGTGTCGCTTCTTTCCGTCCCCCTTTGGCAAGTTCTTGGACTTTGACACGGCCTTCTTCCCCGCAGCTTTCCCTCCGGTTTTTGGTGGCATCTTGCAAAGTTGTTTGAGATCTGCTTGAATTGAATTCAGAAAATTGAATGATGATGGGTCGGAGACACGACGAAGCTTTTATATGCGGAGGCTGAGTTGTGGAGAACTCAACGGAGTTGTGGAGAATGGAGGGAAAATTTTGGGTCGAGTTGCCGAGAGAATTCATGAGTTCTCACTTGCGAGGGAATTCGAGTTGGAGGGAACAGAGAGGAGGAAAGTAAGTCTACCCGGTTCACCAACGTCCGCTCTCGATCTCGAGGTGTATATAACCAATCTCATTTCAGTCATCTCTATCACTCGTCAACTTTACAGCTTTTACAAGTTCACTCTAATTCTCATCAAATTATTTCAAAATGACTGGTCGTGGCAAGGGAGGAAAGGGACTCGGCAAAGGAGGCGCCAAGAGACATCGTAAAGTCTTGCGTGATAACATCCAGGGAATCACCAAGCCTGCCATCCGTCGTCTTGCTCGTCGTGGGGGTGTCAAGCGTATCTCTGGCCTTATCTACGAAGAGACCCGTGGAGTCCTCAAGGTCTTCCTTGAAAACGTCATCCGAGATGCTGTCACCTACACCGAGCACGCCAAGAGGAAGACCGTCACCGCCATGGACGTCGTCTATGCCCTCAAGCGACAAGGCCGCACCCTTTACGGATTTGGCGGTTAAACATCTCGTCCTCCTCCCATCTTACCTGATCTCGTAACCCAACGGCCCTTTTAAGGGCCACCACATTTTCCAAAGAGCTATAAATCAATCAATCTACGTAATGCATATGTACATGCATGATGATGCGTATTTATTTATTGTAGTAATAAAGTTTGATCTGCGATGCAAATATCGGATCAAGACTCGTAAATTCAGCATAGTAAATCACTGCATGCTGTTCAAGTTTGGTAGGATTAATTTAATTTACGAATCTTGGCTTCCGTGAAGACTTTGTGTCGGTTAATGATTATAGAGGAAAGAACATATTATAAACTAATTCTTTAAAAAAACTTAGGTGAGGCTTGCTTAAAAGGGAGAAACAAGAGGTTCTCATCGTGTAGTAAAATAATATGCTACATCAATGTTCATCTCATGATTTATAATTTTAGGTGAATACAACAACAAATTATATGCGTTTCGGACCATTTGCCTCGCCGTGGGCCTGATTAATTGTTCCATACAAATACATATATGTATATATATAGTATGTGCGCCATATTGATGGTTGTACCTAAATATACATAAGTTGCAATCTTCGTTACTATTCGATTCTGCTTATACTGATGGCCTACATGAATATATTTCAAAGATAGGTCGAAGTTTTTAAAATTTAGTGTTCTGAAATATAATATTACAAACTAACTCAAGCTTCGTACATTACATCACCAATAGATTATGGATAACGAAATTATCTAACTAAATCCTGGGAGCTCATGCTCGAACGCATCGTTAGCTTAGCGACGTCGTAAAAATTAGCGACACATGCTCAAAATAATTTTTAGCGATGTCGGTATTGCTGAGGACACATTTGAGCATGTGTCCTTAGCACTTGTCGCTAGTAACGACACCGACGTATGCTCAAAACTTTAACTGTCGGTAAGACCATGGAATTTGTCGTAAAAGTTTTCGACGCCTAAATAGCTGTCGAAACGAGATAAATTTGTCGTAATTTGCTGTTAATTAGGATCAGTTCATATATTATGCAAATATTTTATGGTGGAGTGGGTCGAGAAGCTATTAACGATTGTTGACCAGGGAGTGGGTATATGTTGGTTTGCGTAGGTTGACGCCAACTTTTTTTTAGGATAAATTGGGTCGCTGGACTGCCCGAAATTTTGTTATCGGAGATTGGCACATAATTAAATTTAAATGCAATTTCTTTAATTTATATCTCAATTAAAATCAAATTTTAATTTTAGAGCTTTAATTATTACAAACGGGAAAAAGTAGTAATTATAGATCAAATGCAATTTCTAAACCTATCAGTACAGCTTTGCTTA